AATATGTTTTGCCCTGATTTGCCAGCTAGTTTCTATTATAACGTATAAGCATTAGACGAAATACTCCACTTTTTTCTTCCTCATTCCCTTTCTGGTGACTAGCCCTTTCCCAAAGGTGCACTTCTAATTCGCACTTAGTGCTTTTCGCGTCCCTCAAAATATGCTGAAAAGTGCTCCTTTTTCAGTGAAAACAGGCAAAAAGTGCTCTTTTTCAGTGAGGGATAGCCATGATACATGTTCAGATATAAACCCAAGCTGAGAAATGAATACGCACTCTTCCATTTATGGGTCCACGAAAGGCAAAACAGGAAGTAAAGTTTAAAAAAATCCACTTTTTACAGCATTCTGTACACCGGGTACAAGCTTCACCAACTTGTTGCCCCCCCCCCCCGAAAATGCGGCGTGCATAGGCCAATCCAGATCGAGCTCTCGGTAACTGTGACCGCATGCATGAGCAAACAGATTTTAGCACTTTTTCAGCTAAAAAGCTCAAAAAGGGCGATATTCACCAAAAAACGCAATATAAAAGGGCGAAAAAACGGGCTTTTCAAAAAAGGGCCAAAAAGGGCGAAAAAAGGGCGAACACCTTTGGGAAAGGGCTACTGGTGACCCTCATTTCTTTTGTTTCCTGTTCGACCTTCTTGTGAAATTGTACATCGTGCTGTTGAGGCAGCGAACTAAACTAAATCCAAAACAAACAAACAAAACGAAGTGAACAAGCGTTTCGGAGACAGCAGCTTTAATTAGTGCTGAAACGATTACGTTTTTTCCTTAGTGGCTTAGCTTATACCATAACGATCGGCTTATCGGCTAAACGATTATTATTGTAACTACATCAGTACATGTACATTCTGTGAATTTCAAAAAAATACGAGTCCAACATCGCCAAGGACGAAAGGCGGGCGCATAGATCCGATGATCCCGCGACAAGTCTGTCAGCTGTTCAAACTGACCAGACGAATACAGACAAGACAGAGGAAACTCACTGGTTGCAACCCAAGAGCTGATGGTGCCCTTCGCCTGTGACTTCGCTGACTCCGACGATGAAGTCAGAGAAGCCGGCCAGGGGTGCAGATCGGCGGATTTCGACGGATGAGCTGACTTGAGGCGCACCAACAAGTAACTAGTTGCTTTTCCTGTCTATGCTCAAAATAGGCCCAGACGCCAGGCCTAGCTCGTCGTCGAGCAAACTGGTTCGGGAACCGTCGACAGAACGGAAAACATGAAACTGAAGACCACTTTACTGTCTTTAGCTCAAGGCTACTCGCACGTGGAGGGAACTCCAGCCCCTGCAGCTAGTGTAGACACATACTGAGCCTGCCCGTCCTGCATGCTGTATGTAAGAAAAGTAGTCAGCTCAAAAGAGGGCGACAGTGATCGCGTCGATGTTTCTCAAATCGCGCTTGTATCTTTACACGTACATCGATGTTGCAAGTGTACAGGCATGTACATATTCGTGTCATAGATCTACTCGCAACACTTTCGGAGCATGCACGCTTTGTGCAACCCGCAAAAAAGGGGGGAAATCCCGTACCGAGCGTAAGTACCATACTTGTACTCGTTTAGCCGATAAAATCGAAATAACCGTTCGATCTATTTCTTATCGAGTAAGTATCGAGTAATTGATATAATCGTTTCAGCACTAGCTTTAATACAGCTACAAGGAGGACTATTTTAGCTGTAAGCATTTCCTATAATCATCCTTGTTACATTCTTCTCCTCCATGTATACAAATAGGAAATGCTTGCAGCTAAATAAATCTCGTTAAAGAAACGCCAAAAGAATGGGCTACTCTTCCACGCGAAGAGACCCATGTGGAAGTCGCTACAAATGCCAAGCAAGGCTCAACTGTATCCAGGAGCTGCCCACCAGGCAAGGACATGCAGAAGGAAAATCCCCGCATCAGAATACATGCTACTGCAAACTAGTCGTATATGTAACCCCGGAAGAGCTGCATACAGTGGGAAAGAACCTTCTAGATCTACCCCATGACAAGATTGGTGCGATGCATTGCACAGTTAGGACTAATAACCCCATGCTTCCATATCCATAGCTGTTACCACGAACCTTTATAGCGGACAAGGCTGCACTGGTTACCGCCTGGTGATTGATGAGGAAGCCAGGAGGAGGTGTGAACGATGTGCGATTTAAAAATGGTGTGACTTGGACAAAGACACATGGGTAGACTTCACAGCTGGAAATATGGCAAATATTGTTATTAGATTATATGTTTTGCCATGATTTGCCAGCTAGTTTCTATTATAACGTATAAGCCATGTTTCTTGAAGTAAGTGGGCTTAGACGAAATACTCCACTTTTTTCTTCCTCATTCCCTTTCTGGTGACTAGCCCTTTCCCAAAGGTGCACTTCTAATTCGCACTTAGTGCTTTTCGCGTCCCTCAAAATATGCTGAAAAGTGCTCCTTTTTCAGTGAAAACAGGCAAAAAGTGCTCTTTTTTCAGTGAAGGATAGCCATGATACATGTTCAGATATAAACCCAAGCTGAGAAAGGAATACGCACTCTTCCATTTATGGGTCCACGAAAGGCAAAACAGGAAGTAAAGTTTAAAAAAATCCACTTTTTACAGCATTCTGTACACCGGGTACAAGCTTCACCAACTTGTTGCCCCCCCCCCCGAAAATGCGGCGTGCCAAGGCCAATCCAGATCGAGCTCTCGGTAACTGTGACCGCATGCATGAGCAAACAGATTTTAGCACTTTTTCAGCTAAAAAGCTCAAAAAGGGCGATATTCACCAAAAAACGCAATATAAAAGGGCGAAAAAACGGGCTTTTCAAAAAAGGGCCAAAAAGGGCGAAAAAAGGGCGAACACCTTTGGGAAAGGGCTACTGGTGACCCTCATTTCTTTTGTTTCCTGTTCGACCTTCTTGTGAAATTGTACATCGTGCTGTTGAGGCAGCGAACTAAACTAAATCCAAAACAAACAAACAAAACGAAGTGAACAAGCGTTTCGGAGACAGCAGCTTTAATACAGCTACAAGGAGGACTATTTTAGCTGTAAGCATTTCCTATAATCATCCTTGTTATATTCTTCTCCTCCATGTATACAAATAGGAAATGCTTGCAGCTAAATAAATCTCGTTAAAGAAACGCCAAAAGAATGGGCTACTCTTCCACGCGAAGAGACCCATGTGGAAGTCGCTACAAATGCCAAGCAAGGCTCAACCGTATCCAGGAGCTGCCCACCAGGCAAGGACATGCAGAAGGAAAATCCCCGCATCAGAATACATGCTACTGCAAACTAGTCGTATACTTAACCCCGGAAGAGCTGCATACAGTGGGAAAGAACCTTCTAGATCTACCCCATGACAAGATTGGTGCGATGCATTGCACAGTTAGGACTAATAGCCCCATGCTTCCCATATCCATAGCTGTTACCACGAACCTTTATAGCGGACAAGGCTGCACTGGTTACCGCCTGGTGAGTGATGAGGACGCCAGGAGGAGGAGGAGGTGTGAACGGTGTGCGATTTAAAATGGTGTGACTTGGACAAAGACACATGGGTAGACTTCATAGCTGGCAATATGGCAAGTATCATTATTAGAGTATATGCTTTGCCATGATTTGCCAGCTAGTTTCTATTACAACTTATAAGCCATGTTTCTTGCAGTATAAAGTGGGCTTCGACGAAATACTCCACTTTTTTTCTTCCTCACTCCCTTTCTTGTGACCCTCATTTCTTTTGTTTTCTGTTCGACCTTCTTGTGAAATTGTACATTGTGCTGTTGAGGCAGCGAACTAAACTAAATCCAAAACAAAACGAAGTGAACAAGCGTTTCGGAGACAGCAGCTTTAATACAGCTACAAGGAGGACTATTTTAGCTGTAAGCATTTCCTATAATCATCCTTGTTACATTCTTCTCCGCCATGTATACAAATAGGAAATGCTTGCAGCTAAATAAATCTCGTAAAAGAAACGCCAAAAGAATGGGCTACTCTTCCACGCGAAGAGACCCATGTGGAAGTCGCTACAAATGCCAAGCAAGGCTCAACTGTATCCAGGAGCTGCCCACCAGGCAAGGACATGCAGAAGGAAAATCCCCGCATCAGAATACATGCTACTGCAAACTAGTCGTATACGTAACCCCGGAAGAGCTGCATACAGTGGGAAAGAACCTTCTAGATCTACCCCATGACAAGATTGGTGCGATGCATTGCACAGTTAGGACTAATAACCCCATGCTTCCCATATCCATAGCTGTTACCACGAACCTTTATAGCGGACAAGGCTGCACTGGTTACCGCCTGGTGAGTGATGAGGACGCCAGGAGGAGGAGGAGGTGTGAACGGTGTGCGATTTAAAATGGTGTGACTTGGACAAAGACACATGGGTAGACTTCATAGCTGGCAATATGGCAAGTATCATTATTAGAGTATATGCTTTGCCATGATTTGCCAGCTAGTTTCTATTACAACTTATAAGCCATGTTTCTTGCAGTATAAAGTGGGCTTCGACGAAATACTCCACTTTTTTTCTTCCTCACTCCCTTTCTTGTGACCCTCATTTCTTTTGTTTTCTGTTCGACCTTCTTGTGAAATTGTACATTGTGCTGTTGTAGTGGAACCCACGTTCGACCAGCCAGCACTAACGCAACACTTCGGATTAGGGAATGAATTATTTACAAGAGAATTGGAAGAGACATAGAAGTTATCAGAACCAGACTGAAGCACACTGAACTAAAGGATCGACTCAACTACTGAAGTACAGAGAGACGAGCATGCAATCTGAGAAAAAAGTGCAGCTACACAGCTGACAAAAACTAAGAAAAACTGAAAGGCGACATGACGTATATGCAGCGCAGCTAAGCACGTGGCTAGACACATGCACAGCATGAGAGGTGTACACATAAAGCAGAGGCGCGCGCACGCGCATATGGGTGAGCGTGTACACAGCATGCATAGCAACATACAGTGTGACACAAGAGTCATAAGGCACCTAATATAGCAGTTCATAACACCACTCCCCTAGGTGCCATTGATCATCCACTGTATCTAGCTGGCTGTCGTCGATTACCAGGGCCTCGGAGATCGTAGCGCTGAGTCGGCATGTCAGCCGCAAACTCGATGCTCACCACATTATCACAGGCAGCTGGCTCTGGGCGATCTTCGGCAGCATCATGGTTACTATCATCTAGTGTTCCATCTACCTGCTGGGCGTGTCCAGGCTTCACGATATCAACGTTCACGACCTTCTCTCTGCCGTCAGCATGCTGGATCACCAGGGTCGATGGCGAGACTATCTTCAGCACCGTCCAGCCACTCTCATATGGCGTCATGAGCTTCTGACTCCGCTCTGGGCGACGTAGCATCACCGGATCATCGACACGGTATGGTGACTCTGTTGGACCGCCTGACACAGAGTCATTCGAGGACAGTAGCGACTCAACAAGGTCTCGAGTTCGAGCAGCGCGCCCGGCGAGTCGGTCTACCCATTCACTGGCGCTGTATGCTGTCGGGTCGTGATCAATTACTAGATCGCGCCCTTCCCAGCCCGTGATGGCCAGCCTTGGCGATATTCCGGTTGTAGCATGGCGACGTCTATTGTAGTAGAACAGAACCAACTCAAGCTCAGACGTCCAGTCACTGGTTTCCTCGAGCGCCTTACGCAGGAGACCGATGATCGTACGGTTGAGCCGTTCAACCCCTCCTTGTGATTGAGGATGTCGAACTGCACCCGTTTTCACCACCACACCAAACTGTTCCAGGAGGGCTGCTACGACCGCGTTCCGGAACTCAGTGCCGTTGTCCATGCGTATGACAGACGGCGGGCCCCACCGGCAGCAGATCTTGGTCAGTGCGGCTGCTACGCTCGCTGCATCGTGTCGACGTAGTGGCTGTACCTCCGCCCACTTGGTGAACATGTCGACGCATACCAGGCAGCAGTGGTGCGCTCCACTCTGGCCAAGCTCCAACGTGTCGATCTGTATGACCTCCCAAGGTCGTCCTGGTACGTCTGGACGCGTTGGCTCAACAGTCGGTCCCCGTGCCGGGTTAGCTGCAGAGCAAGGCACACACGCTTGGACAACACTCTGGCATTTCTCGGCCATCAGCGGCATATAGCAGCGCTTGCGCAGTGAGTCATGCATTGTCGTCCAGGTGGCATGGCCAGAGGTCTTGTGAGATGCTTTCAGTACTTGGTCTTCAAGCTCAGGTGGTATGACTGGCACTTGCACGACACCGTCGAGTGGCAGCTTTACTGAACGCATCAGCACACCGTCATGGTCCAACAGCTGATCACGGACCGGTCTGTACAGCTTCGACGACAGGGGGTTCCCGACTTCAGTTCATCCAGCAGCTGTGATATCTCGGTATCGGCTTGCTGCGCATCCTTTATCTCACTGAGAGTAACAGGCCCGATAGCATGCTTGTGCGTTGCCACAGAAACAGAACAAACATCACTCGGCTCGGCTGTACCCTTGGGCCACCGCCTCGGGACACGGGTGAGCTCATCGGCCGGGTTCTGGTCAGTCGGCACCCACTCCACTCGGACCTTGAGGCCGACCGTTTGGACGAGGTCAGCAATCACTTCCAGTCGCCGCTCAACCAGTATCTTGTGCAGCCCACCAACTTTCACTCGGCGCACATTGTCGAGGACCTGCTTCAGCCAGCCGTACACTGTCTTTGAGTCGGTGACGAGTCGTACCGTCTGCAGGTGCCATTGCGCTGCAAGCGACAGTCCACGCACCGCAGCATCTAGCTCCGCCACATTGATGTGCTTCTTATCGGCTGTGTCCCGCAGCCATGTACCGTCTTCGATGACTTGGCCGTTCAGCTGGAGGACCACACCGACTGCCAGATCCGAGGCATCGCAGAACACAGCCCAATCTCCATCGGACTCGGCTGATGCATGCCACACACCACGGACGGGGTCTTGAGCGGACAGCTGCTCAGCAACTTCGTCAGCACACTGAAGAACGCTAGGTGGAACCGGCGTGTCCCATCTGTCCACTGCACTTGATAGCCGCTTCAACATTGAGCAGGCTGGGCGAAGCCATGCGCACACTGGATAGTGGCTTGTGAGCCGACCTGTCCATTGGAATACACCACGCTTCGTCAGCGGTTGGCGGAAGCTGAGGTCGACTCCATCGCGGCGAACCCACATGATGGTACCATCAGCAGTCGTCGATAGCTTCAGGCCAAGCACTCGCGCCTCGGGTAGATGCTCTGGTGGCTTTGTCGGCAAGCCATACCGTGCTAGCTCTGCAGCGACGGCCTTGCGCTTCTCCGCTGGCGTGAGGACGTCATCAACGTAGTTGTCCACATCAGGCCATCGTCGCGTCACCCACCGAACAATGATGGCCATGAATTTTGGTGCAATCGATAGACCAAAACCCATCCGTGACATGGCGTACAGCTTCCCACGCCACACCACGACTTGGTAGCGCAAGAGGGATGGGTCGACTCGTACCTGCAAGTACGCCTTACGTATGTCGACAAGTTCAAACTGGCTGTCTGCAACCTGTCGCCACTTGCGGATCTTCTCACCGCATGCTGGGGCATCAGTGCCTGGGTTCGACTTAATCACCGCATTCAAGCCACGGTAATCAAGACAAGGACGAACTGGGGTCGACTCCTTGTGGGCTTGGTCCTTGGCGAGCAGCGGAATGATGGCCGCCGGAGGACCGTACGTAGCCTCGTCGTACTCGATCAGGTAGCCATTCTCGACCCAGGCGTCCATCTCGTCACAGAACTGCGACTCCTGCTTGTCTGACAGGTTGTGCCTCGCGTACTGTCCGATCCCTGAGCCGATCGGAGATGTAGGAGCTTGCCCATCACGCCACTGCCAGTGCAACGTCCAATGCTGCTTGTCGTTGTCCCACCGGAGCTCTCCGTCTTCGGCCTTCAGGGTCACACCACAATCGTCCTCTGTGACGTCCACATGACGGAGTGTGCTCTCAACGTCAGCTGCAGCAGTAGCGGCTGCACCGGTATCTCTAGGTTGAGGACCAAAGCACACGCCATTGACCTCGCCGTCCTGGCCATAACTGAGTCGAACGCCACCAACACCAGCTATAACGTCAGCACCGAGAAGGAGGTCTGCTGCCACAGCCGTCAATGAGTCGACAACGCAGGCATTCACACGCACTCTTGGCAGACTAACCGGTTCACCATCCCCTTGGCGCTGCAGTTCCAGATCAACTGCTCCTCTGATCTTCACCTTGCTGCTATCCACGGATACAACAGACACACGTGGCTGAGCAGTGAACGGAATCCTGTGAAGTTTGAGGAACTCGACCGTAACCATTGTGTAACTTGCACAAGTGTCCACTGCTGCTCTAGCACGTGCCCATTCGCTGCCTACCACGCCTCGCACGTCAACATAGATTCTGGGCAGTGAAGCTCTAGTAGCCTCGGCTACAGTGCACAAACACGCACCCCTCGCCAGGGAGCCACTGTCTGCAGCCGTTGCTGCTCCAGACAATTTCCGCTCTTGCCAGGCTTTACGCTCCGGACAGTCACTCTTCATGTGACCTGGCTTGTCACAGAAGTAACAGGTTCGAGGGCCAGTACGCTCGCCGCGCGTTCCTTTACCAGCACCACTCTTGCGACCAGATTTCTTCGCTTTCGGGCACTGCCGCGCCATGTGGCCAACTCCGCCACAGTTGAAACACGCCTGCTCATCCGTGGTGGCAGCTGCCACAACAACATCGCCACGCACTCGTGTCAAGTGGTCCGAGGTCGCAGCCTTCAACGCCCGTACCACGTCCAGGCAACCCGTCACACTCAACTCTTTGCCCGCCATCGTAAGTCTTAGCTCTCGGGCAAACTCTACCGGCAGTCCCTTGATCAGCTGCTCTATGATCATCGGGTCCTTGTCGTCATCAGCCTTGTGCCCCGCCATAGTACTCAGTCGCTGCAAATCGGCAACGTAGGCGTCGGGGGACTCATCCACGCGCATCGTCCGTGAGGTGAATCTGGCGTACGCCTGCGCCTTCGTCAGAGTGAACGACAGTCCCATTTTCGCCAAGACTTTATCTTTGTCTTTCTGATCGCTTGCCGGCATCCGTGAAAATACAAGAAACGCGTCATCCGTCAGGAACAACGGAAAATTCTTCACTTTCTTGTCGTCCGTGTCCCAACCTTGTATGTTTGCAAGCACCAGAAACTTATCCCAAAAACGTCCGAAATCGTCCCCGTTCCCACAGAACGGCTGGAGGAAGTTGTCAAACTTGAGCGACATCTCGCTGGCGTGGCAGGGTTTGCACTCGTCAATACAACACACACGTCCCGGGTTTCGGCACCAGTTGTAGTGGAACCCACGTTCGACCAGCCAGCACTAACGCAACACTTCGGATTAGGGAATGAATTATTTACAAGAGAATTGGAAGAGACATAGAAGTTATCAGAACCAGACTGAAGCACACTGAACTAAAGGATCGACTCAACTACTGAAGTACAGAGAGACGAGCATGCAATCTGAGAAAAAAGTGCAGCTACACAGCTGACAAAAACTAAGAAAAACTGAAAGGCGACATGACGTATATGCAGCGCAGCTAAGCACGTGGCTAGACACATGCACAGCATGAGAGGTGTACACATAAAGCAGAGGCGCGCGCACGCGCATATGGGTGAGCGTGTACACAGCATGCATAGCAACATACAGTGTGACACAAGAGTCATAAGGCACCTAATATAGCAGTTCATAACACTGTTGAGGCAGCGAACTAAACTAAATCCAAAACAAAACGAAGTGAACAAGCGTTTCGGAGACAGCAGCTTTAATACAGCTACAAGGCGTTTCGGAGACAGCAGCTTTAATACAGCTACAAGGAGGACTATTTTAGCTGTAAGCATTTCCTATAATCATCCTTGTTACATTCTTCTCCGCCATGTATACAAATAGGAAATGCTTGCAGCTAAATAAATCTCGTTAAAGAAACGCCAAAAGAATGGGCTACTCTTCCACGCGAAGAGACCCATGTGGAAGTCGCTACAAATGCCAAGCAAGGCTCAACTGTATCCAGGAGCTGCCCACCAGGCAAGGACATGCAGAAGGAAAATCCCCGCATCAGAATACATGCTACTGCAAACTAGTCGTATACGTAACCCCGGAAGAGCTGCATACAGTGGGAAAGAACCTTCTAGATCTACCCCATGACAAGATTGGTGCGATGCATTGCACAGTTAGGACTAATAACCCCATGCTTCCCATATCCATAGCTGTTACCACGAACTTTTATTGCGGACAAGGCTGCACTGGTTACCGCCTGGTGATTGATGAGGAAGCCAGGAGGAGGAGGTGTGAACGGTGTGCGATTTAAATATGGTGTGACTTGGACAAAGACACATGGGTAGACTTCACAGCTGGAAATATGGCAAGTATTGTTATTAGAGTATTATGCTTTGCCATGATTTGTCAGCTAGTTTCTATTATAACGTATAAGCCATGTTTCTTGAAGTAAGTGGGCTTGGACGAAATACTCCACTGTTTTCTTCCTCACTCCCTTTCTGGTGACTAGCCCTTTCCCAAAGGTGCACTTCTAATTCGCACTTAGTGCTTTTCGCGTCCCTCAAAATATGCTGAAAAGTGCTCCTTTTTCAGTGAAAACAGGCAAAAAGTGCTCTTTTTTCAGTGAAGGATAGCCATGATACATGTTCAGATATACACCCAACGTCCCAAGCTGAGAAATGAATACGCACTCTTCCATTTATGGGTCCACGAAAGGCAAAACAGGAAGTAAAGTTTAAAAAAATCCACTTTTTACAGCATTCTGTACACCGGGTACAAGCTTCCTCAACTTGTTGCCCCTCCCCCGAAAATGCGGCGTGCCAAGGCCAATCCAGATCCAGTACTCGGTAACTGTGACCGCATGCATGAGCAAACAGATTTTAGCACTTTTTCAGCTATAAAGCTCAAAAAGGGCGATATTCACCAAAAAACGCAATATAAAAGGGCGAAAGAAACGGGCTTTTCAAAAAAGGGCCAAAAAGGGCGAAAAAGGGCGAACACCTTTTGGGAAAGGGCTACTGGTGACCCTCATTTCTTTTGTTTCTTGTTCGACCTTCTTGTGAAATTGTACATTGTGCTGTTGAGGCAGCGAACTAAACGAAATCCAAAAACAAACAAACAAAACGAAGTGAACAAGCGTTTCGGAGACAGCAGCTTTAATACAGCTACAAGGAGGACTATTTTAGCTGTAAGCATTTCCTATAATCATCCTTGTTACATTCTTCTCCTCCATGTATACAAATAGGAAATGCTTGCAGCTAAATAAATCTCGTAAAAGAAACGCCAAAAGAATGGGCTACTCTTCCACGCGAAGAGACCCATGTGGAAGTCGCTACAAATGCCAAGCAAGGCTCAACTGTATCCAGGAGCTGCCCACCAGGCAAGGACATGCAGAAGGAAAATCCCCGCATCAGAATACATGCTACTGCAAACTAGTCGTATACGTAACCCCGGAAGAGCTGCATACAGTGGGAAAGAACCTTCTAGATCTACCCCATGACAAGATTGGTGCGATGCATTGCACAGTTAGGACTAATAACCCCATGCTTCCCATATCCATAGCTGCTACCACGAAGCTTTATAGCGGACAAGGCTGCACTGGTTACCGCCTGGTGATTGATGAGGACGCCAGGAGGAGGAGGTGTGAACGGTGTGCGATTTAAAATGGTGTGACTTGGACAAAGACACATGGGTAGACTTCACAGCTGGCAATATGGCAAGTATCATTATTAGAGTATATGCTTTGCCATGATTTGCCAGCTAGTTTCTATTATAACTTATAAGCCATGTTTCTTGCAGTAAGTGGGCTTCGTCGAAATACTCCACTTTTTTCTTCCTTACTCCCTTTTTGGTGACCCTCATTTCTTTTGTTTCCTGTTCGACATTCTTGTGAAATTGTACATTGGGCTGTTGAGGCAGCGAACTAAACTAAATCCAAAACAAACAAACAAAACGAAGTGAACAAGCGTTTCGGAGACAGCAGCTTTAATACAGCTTCAAGGAGGACTATTTTAGCTGTAAGCATTTCCTATAATCATCCTTGTTACATTCTTCTCCTCCATGTATACAAATAGGAAATGCTTGCAGCTAAATAAATCTCGTAAAAGAAACGCCAAAAGAATGGGCTACTCTTCCACGCGAAGAGACCCATGTGGAAGTCGCTACAAATGCCAAGCAAGGCTCAACTGTATCCAGGAGCTGCCCACCAGGCAAGGACATGCAGAAGGAAAATCCCCGCATCAGAATACATGCTACTACAAACAAGTCGTATACGTAACCCCGGAAGAGCTGCATACAGTGGGAAAGAACCTTCTAGATCTACCCCATGACAAGATTGGTGCGATGCATTGCACAGTTAGGACTAATAACCCCATGCTTCCCATATCCATAGCTGTTACCACGAACCTTTATAGCGGACAAGGCTGCACTGGTTACCGTCTGGTAATTGATGAGGAAGCCAGGAGGAGGTGTGAACGGTGTGCGATTTAAAAATGGTGTGACTTGGACAAAGACACATGGGTAGACTTCACAGCTGGAAATATGGCAAATATTGTTATTAGAGTATAGGCCCTAGGCCTGTGGGACTGCCCTATTCAAAATTTAATAATAATAATATGTTTTGCCATGATTTGCCAGCTAGTTTCTATTATAACGTATAAGCCATGTTTCTTGAAGTAAGTGGGCTTAGACGAAATACTCCACTTTTTTCTTCCTCACTCCCTTTCTGGTGACTAGCCCTTTCCCAAAGGTGCACTTCTAATTCGCACTTAGTGCTTTTCGCGTCCCTCAAAATATGCTGAAAAGTGCTCCTTTTTCAGTGAAAACAGGCAAAAAGTGCTCTTTTTTCAGTGAAGGATAGCCATGATACATGTACATGTTCAGATATAAACCCAAGCTGAGAAATGAATACGCACTCTTCCATTTATGGGTCCACGAAAGGCAAAACAGGAAGTAAAGTAAAAAAAATCCACTTTTTACAGCATTCTGTACACCGGGTACAAGCTTCACCAACTTGTTGCCCCCCTCCCCCGAAAATGCGGCGTGCCAAGGCCAATCCAGATCGAGCTCTCGGTAACTGTGACCGCATGCATGAGCAAACAGATTTTAGCACTTTTTCAGCTAAAAAGCTCAAAAAGGGCGATATTCACCAAAAAATGCAATATAAAAGGGCGAAAAACGGGCTTTTCAAAAAAAGGTCCAAAAAGGGCGAAAAAAGGGCGAACACCTTTGGGAAAGGGCTACTGGTGACCCTCATTTCTTTTGTTTCCTGTTCGACCTTCTTGTGAAATTATACATTGTGCTGTTGAGGCAGCGAACTAAACTAAATCCAAAAACAAACAAACAAAACGAAGTGAACAAGCGTTTCGGAGACAGCAGCTTTAATACAGCTACAAGGAGGACTATTTTAGCTGTAAGCATTTCCTATAATCATCCTTGTTACATTCTTCTCCGCCATGTATACAAATAGGAAATGCTTACAGCTAAATAAATCTCGTTAAAGAAACGCCAAAAGAATGGGCTACTCTTCCACGCGAAGAGACCCATGTGCAAGTCGCTACAAATGCCAAGCAAGGCTCAACTGTATCCAGGAGCTGCCCACCAGGCAAGGACATGCAGAAGGAAAATCCCCGCATCAGAATACATGCTACTGCAAACTAGTCGTATACGTAACCCCGGAAGAGCTGCATACAGTGGGAAAGAACCTTCTAGATCTACCCCATGACAAGATTGGTGCGATGCATTGCACAGTTAGGACTAATAACCCCATGCATCCCATATCCATAGCTGTTACCACGAACCTTTATAGCGGACAAGGCTGCACTGGTTACCGCCTGGTGATTGATGAGGAAGCCAGGAGGAGGTGTGAACGATGTGCGATTTAAAAATGGTGTGACTTGGACAAAGACACATGGGTAGACTTCACAGCTGGAAATATGGCAAATATTGTTATTAGAGTATATGCTTTGCCATGATTTGCCAGCTAGTTTCTATTATAACGTATAAGCCATGTTTCTTGAAGTAAGTGGGCTTGGACGAAATACTCACTTTTTTCTTCCTCACTCCCTTTCTGGTGACTAGCCCTTTCCCAAAGGTGCACTTCTAATTCGCACTTAGTGCTTTTCGCGTCCCTCAAAATATGCTGAAAAGTGCTCCTTTTTCAGTGAAAACAGGCAAAAAGTGCTCTTTTTTCAGTGAAGGATAGCCATGATACATGTTCAGATATAAACCCAAGCTGAGAAATGAATACGCACTCTTCCATTTATGGGTCCACGAAAGGCAAAACAGGAAGTAAAGTTTAAAAAAATCCACTTTTTACAGCATTCTGTAAACCGGGTACAAGCTTCACTAACTTGTTGCCCCCCCCCGAAAATGCGGCGTGCCAAGGCCAATCCAGATCGAGCACTCGGTAACTGTGACCGCATGCATGAGCAAACAGATTTTAGCACTTTTTCAGCTAAAAAGCTCAAAAAGGGCGATATTCACCAAAAAACGCAATATAAAAGGGCGAAAGAAACTGGCTTTTCAAAAAAAGGCCAAAAAGGGCGAAAAAAGGGGAACACCTTTGGGAAAGGGCTACTGGTGACCCTCATTTCTTTTGTTTCCTGTTCGACATTCTTGTTAAATTGTACGTTGTGCTGTTGAGGCAGCGAACTAAACTAAATCCAAAAACAAACAAACAAAACGAAGTGAACAAGCGTTTCGGAGACAGCAACTTTAATACAGCTTCAAGGAGGACTATTTTAGCTGTAAGCATTTCCTATAATCATCCTTGTTACATTCTTCTCCTCCATGTATACAAATAGGAAATGCTTGCAGCTAAATAAATCTCGTTAAAGAAACGCCAAAAGAATGGGCTACTCTTCCACGCGAAGAGACCCATGTGGAAGTCGCTACAAATGCCAAGCAAGGCTCAACTGTATCCAGGAGCTGCCCACCAGGCAAGGACATGCAGAAGGAAAATCCCCGCATCAGAATACATGCTACTGCAAACTAGTCGTATACGTAACCCCGGAAGAGCTGCATACAGTGGGAAAGAACCTTCTAGATCTACCCCATGACAAGATTGGTGCGATGCATTGCACAGTTAGGACTAATAACCCCATGCTTCCCATATCCATAGCTGTTACCACGAACCTTTATACTATTCTAGCGGACAAGACTGCACTGGTTACCGTTACAATTGCCAAGTGAGTGATGAGGACGCTAGGAGGAGGAGGTGTGAACGGTGCGCGATTGAAAATGGTGTAAGTACATGTGTGAACTATAACAAGGTTTATCTAAAACTAGTAGTTTTGAACTAGTACTGGGTTATATAATGTACAGGTATAATGGTATGCTGAATGGCCACTGCTTGGATGGCCACTGCTTGGATGGCCACCACACCAAAGCTTTTACTAGTGGTAGAACATCGCTGGTGATAGCTCAGCGGGGTTCACTGGTTCGAGTACTCTGGGTGGTGGCCGTCATATTTTTCTTCACACTTTCCTGTTGCAACTCTAAATTATTAGAACTTTCCCATTCTGAACACCCTCCGATTCAAACTGATGAATATCTTTGATACCTTTCAATCGGATATGCATATACACTTCTAGTCGTCTGATTAGCCAGCTGTAAAACATGCACCAGGGTTCACTTGGTATGGAGAGCAACAGAGCGATTTGCACAACAATCAACAGTTGTTTTGCCTCACCTCACTGAACTACTAGAAACTGAAGTTCTATTCAGTACTGAAGGCGGCGTGACGATATGCAGACAAACATTCACAGACATGTACATGTATGGTATGATGGCATCAAGTGTTATTGCGCTGTTCCATGGCGTTGGGGGGGGGGGGGCAGTGCACTGTGATTTGGCAAGCATGTGTGCCACTCACTATCGGGACCTGGGAGCCATGCATGGAGCCTTTGGGGAGATATACATGTACTAACATAATTGTTAGATTGACAGCATGATACAAGGTGGAGGACACTGTGTTCGGAAACAGTGACCTTACTACAACCTTCCGCGGTTGGCAGAGCCCAGGTCCCTGCGGACCATTTGAACCATATGGGTATCGCACCCGGTTCTGACCCTCATTATGCTAGGGGGTTAGGAGACTACTCCTGATGTCGTCTTGTTTTCTTCGCTCTTTTCTTTAACCTGTATAAAGACTTCTTTTTCTTTTTCTTTTTTCTTCCAACTTCTGCCCATGGCGTCCTTCTCTCAGCTCGTCAACTGTCAACAGTTTTTTTGTCATCACCATGACACTGTCGCGAGAAGGTGCTTTTTGTAGACGGGGTTGGTGATGTCCCGACGTGGCCATGGGTAGGCCTTCACCACGTCGGAACACCCCGGCTACACGTTGGTTACCTCCACTCGTTAACCTGCCTGCTGTTGATGCTGCCACGCAAACTAGTACTGGTCAAGAAAACTTGAATTTCATCTACAAACCTGAGCAACTGCTTCAATTTTGCTACACGTTGGTTACCTTCATCAGTACCGCTTGGAAATAACTCGTATGTTGTTGATGTTGTCACGTAAACTTGAACTGTCAAAAAAACTTGAATTTCATCTGCAAACCTAAATAACTACAAGTGCCTCAATTGGATCATGCAGTTTTGTTAGTTACATGTACGTGCATACCCTCACAAATCTAAAGAAGAAACGAGCTTGAGTTACGTCTTACCTCCGGTGTCAACTCGTATCACGTGGAGTTAATCCTGGGGTGAACATGGAGAAGTTGGAAGAAAAAAGAAAAAGAAAAAGAAGACTTTATACAGGTTAAGAAAGGAGCGAAGAAAACAAGACGACATCAGGAGTAGTCTCCTAACCCCCTAGCATAATGAGGGTCAGAACCGGGTGCGATACCCATATGGTTCAAATGGTCCGCAAGGACCGGGGCTCTGCCAACCGCGGAAGGTTGTAGTAAGGTCACTGTTTCCGAACACAGTGTCCTCCACCTTGTTTCATGCTGTCAATCTAAAATTTGCGTGAACTATAACAAGGTTTATCTAGTACTGGTTTTTTTAACCAGTGTGAGGTTATAATTATCATGTACTACCAGGTACATGTATGTACGGTACCTGGCTATGTAATATCAGCGTCTGTACTTGTACAATGGTTAATGCCGGATTACTTGGGTAAATACTACTAAATAGACCCGCTGGCACTGCCTGATGGTAAACGTTTTGTGACTCAGTCTGCACGTAGGCAATACGAGTAATGGCCTTTGGACATGACCTCACCTGTGTCATGAGCAAGACTCCTTGACAGACTACCAATGACACTTGACAGCGACATGCCATCCAAGCTGTCATTGACACGCGGTGCTGTTGAAGAAATACAATCATAATTATAGACTCTACACTCGTACAAATGACGCTTAGTCCCATGATATCAAGTAAAACATGGAGACAGGTCATAGCGCGACTTTTTCCGGACACACGAGTAGACCTAATTCCTAGTATTTTGAAGTATTTGTAAAATCTGGGTGTTTGTGCTGAGTACGAGTCCGACTTACACTAATCTCTGAAGCCAATGTACTACTACTACTAGTATACTACAGGACTATTGTTTACCACTGTTTACCAGGTTTACTATACTGGTCCAGTGCCCCAGTGCCAGTGGTCCTGCACCCACGGTGGGTTAGGTACCGGTACTGGTACTAACTGATTACTTGGTAGATCTGCATCATACAGCTACAGACTCAGTAAACTACTCTACAGTCAGTATGGCATGCAGCTTGCAGCTAGCTCACGTGTGATGTATTTTTATTTTAGTCAGACTCAGTTAGTCACGCGCCCTGCAGAAGGTCACACACTGGTTTGGCAGTTCCGCTAGCATAAAACCGCGACCCTAGCATCCACGTTCAACAGTAACTGTTGTTATTTTTTTCTTGGTTTGAGTAGGAAAGCATAGTGCAGCTATATAGTGCATGCAGTGACAGACAGTGTGTGTTGCTTTTTTGTTGTTGTCGGAGACTGCCGGAGAGGCGCTCCGTTTCGCTATCGATTGTCAGGAAAGCGAAGAGGAGTACATTGTTTCGAGGTGGGCCTTTTGCCGGCACTGCGGCGGATAGATTTCCAGGTCAAAATGGGGTCGCTATTCCGTTCGGAGGAGATGTGCCTTGCGCAGTTGTACTTGCAAACCGACTCGACCTACTATTGCATCGGCGAGCTCGGCGAGTTGGTACGTGACTTGCTAGTTGTCTAGTGTGTGCTCCCACGTCCCGCTGCCTGGCGTGAGCTGTTCTCTCATCCCATTATGTTCTTTCTTGTGTTCTGCTGGTGTTCCTGTGCTTTGCAGGGTCTTGTCCAGTTCAGGGACGTAAGTACATGTACATGACAATTTACTTGTATTGTGAAAATCAGTAATGTTGCTCGCCAGCTTCCGAAATTTACGTAGCATGCTAGGATCCTCCCTTGAAACTACAGAATCTGATGCTGTCAAATATGCCGGCGTCCCGCTCTCTAACTAACTAACTTTTGTACGTCTTCGCTGTCCACTGCTTGTTTTCGCTGCGTAGCTGAACACGAATGTGAATGCCTTCCTGCGCAAGTATGTCAACGAGGTGCGGCGTTGCGACGATCTGGAGCGCATTTTGCGTGAGTAGCTCTGTCGACTGACCTGTAGTATAGTACTACTGGCTGCAGCTGCTAGCAATGCTCACTTGCCTTCCGGTAGCTGCGGGTCATTTCTGCAGCACGTGGTGCAAGGATGACATAGATGTAATTGATGTACATGATAGTGCAGTGTGTTGTAAGTCCAGTTTTCCCCTCACTGTTATCTCCTTATGTCATGATCACATCCACATGTATGTGCATCTGCATTCTGCTATCATAATAATTATGCCGGTCATGTGGCTGCAGGTTGTGGCCAGGTGGTTTGTTGTTTTCAACAACATACCAAAACTATCTGCTTTGTTTTGTGCCAATTTGTAATGTTGTGGACATCGAGATCCGTTGAGACGTCAAGCGGCCATGGGGGCGCTGGCCTTGCAGCCGTGGGCACTGCTAGTCCATTTTTACAGTGTGTTCACGAGCTACAGTGCGTGTACGCGCTAAGGTAGTAAGGGCGCCGGCCCCGGTCATTCCACCGGATTTCAATATCCGGAATAGTAGCTAAACTAACTGCAGTGTGCAGTTACAAGGCTGTATGCTCAGCTGGGTGCAGGTGTGCTTATCCAAAAGTGATTGCTGCTGCTGCACTGTTGGGCTAGACACAATGTTTGCTATTGCCTGTATTGGCCATACAATTCAATACTGTGGAAAGTATCCCGGTAGGCGAGGGAGTTAGATAACCGCTGTGTGAAGGATAGCACACTATTCTACTCCATGGTACATGGTGTTTACTGTGCAAAACTGCTTTCCACCGGCTGCCAAGACAACCGGATGCCTGTAGTTAGGTTGATGACGTAATGTGCTCTTTCAGTGGGAAATGGAAGCAATGTGCCAACCGCAGTGTTTCAGACTTTGATCTGATTGCTGATTTTCGGGAACTGCTTGGCTACTGCACTGGCCGTGTGTTGAATGGATCTAGCTAAGCATTGCATGTGCGAGTACTATCCTGTACAACCTTGGACTTGCATTGTGCTTAGTACATCCCAGACTAGCGTGACTGTGTGCCGAACTGTGTGCATTTGGATGCGAAGGTTTCATGGACAAGGAGCTGGCAAGAGCAAACATCACTGCGCCCGATTCAGAGTCGGTAGCCGATGCTCCGCCACCATCGGAGATGATTGAGCTGGAGGTTAGTACGGCGGTCACCGCCACTGAGAAGAATGGCCAAAGCAAGGGTGGTAGACTGAGAAGAATGACCGGCAAAGCAAGGGTGGTAGTACACAGGACACTGGACTATTGGTTCGGATGGTCAGTTGGGCTGTAGGCAAGTCCTATTAGGAGTGCATGCGTAGGGTACCGGGTAGAAAGCTTAGAAACTGCTAGTACTGTCCCAGATCTGTGTGTGTGTGTGTGTGTGTGTGTGTGTGTGTGTGTGTGTGTGTGTGTATTTGTCGTAGGCGCAGTTCAGCAAGATTGAGAGAGAGCTCGGTGAAATCAACTCTAACCAAGAGCGACTTAGCCGCAATTTGCTGGAGCTGACAGAGCTCAGCCACATCTTACGGCAAACTGCACAATTCTTTGCTGAGGTAAGTCTCAGTATTTTTACTCAACACAGTGGAATAGTGGTGCACACATCTATGTGTGTGTGTGTGTGTGTATGTTTACGCGCACTTATCAGTTTATGCAATTGAGCTATGCTCAAGTGCTGATGCTACCGGCCACTCTACACGATGCGTTTCCGCAGGATCATTGCCAGAATACTCCTGCCTGTCCCTAATGTCCATGGAAATAATAGACATCCTTAGCAAACAACGGTAACGCTATTTTTTTTACGGTACTCGTACCTTGATCACCCAAATAGCGTTGAAGCTGCAGCGTATAAACGTTATGGGGGCTGATTTATCGTTGTGACCAACGGTACGTGTTTTAGCCAAATATTGCATAGTCCGTACGCATTTCACCTTGTATCGCGTATATGGTGACAAAAATGGTTGTACCGCGCGAAATCAAAGCTATTCTCGTGGCAACAGCGTACTAAAAATAGCGTGCATCTTGCTAAAGGTCGAACCAAAATCACGGTATTTTCCCCCTTACGATAATACCGTTACAACATAACGTTTTTTGCTAAGGGTGTCTATTATCCACGCAGTCTACCGAATGTGTGGCCTACACATTGCTGCTGCAGAGCATGGAAACAAAGTTGTGATGTGCTCTTATGTGTTTGATTGATGTGCATGCATGTGCACGCGGGCATGTTTGTGTGTATGTTTGTGTGTATGTTTGTGTGTGCGTGTGTGTGCGTGTGTGTGTGTGTGTGTGTGTGCGCGCGTGTGTGTGTGCGTGTGTATGCGTGTGTGTGTGTGTGTGTGTGTGTGTGTGCGTGTGCATGTGCGTGCGCGTGCCTGCCAACACGCGTGTATGCATGCGTGTTTTGTCTTTTCCTGCCACTAGGCGGAAACAGCAATGTTGCAGAGCACAGACCCTATGAGATCAGATGATGAGGCAGGTCAGTCTGTGTACCGTTGAGTCAAAGGACCTGGCTTGTGTTTCTATAGGTGACTATGATCGGCCCTTGGGAAGTAAACCATCCCTATACCAATTCAAACACTGTATTCTAGCAGTGACATGACATTGAAGCCATATACCAATGCAAACATTGTATTCTGGCACATGCCATGTCATATTGATTCAAAGTGGAACATGGCACTGTTGGGACTGGAAGGAGTGATTGTACATGCACTGGTGCAGTCACAGCCATGAGATTGTCGGTGGAAGTTAGGGTACTAGGCACAATCCTGCTCACACATGCCAGACCTAATCATCATAGTTGCATTAGCCGACCATATGGGGTCCATACGCTGTTTGGGGCGGGAAGGCTGCTCGCCTGGCGGAGCAGTGATGAAGGGAGAGAGAGAGAGAGAGAAACAGAGAGAGAGAGTGAGAGAGAGAGAGAGAGAGAGAGACGGAGAGAGAGCGCGAGAGAGAGCGAGAGAGAGAGAGAGAGAGAGAGAGAGAGAGAGAGAGAGAGAGAGAGAGAGAGAGAGAGAGAGAGAGAGAGAGAGAGAGAGGGAGAGAGATGGAGAAAGAGAAGAGCTCAAGAGAAGGTGAATCTGGCAAATTTTGAATCTCGTGGGAAATGGTGTCACATTCCCTGATGCCGATCGCTCTTTCCAGGCAGCATGTGCCATGGCATCATGTGCATATTCTTGCATATCTGCTATGCGTATTTCAATGGATGTTCACCTATACATGTATTGAATTCTGTTGCAGCAGGCACCGCATACTCGCCTCCAACATGTCTATGGCATTCACACATAACCGTTATTTCATCTGGGCAAGGAGATTTTTTCAAGTCTCTGATGTACACAGGTTGTCTGTTTTCGGTAGTACGTCAGTCAGAAATGCGACTATTTTGGCACAGGGTGTCAAACATGCAGCCAAGTTGCTGTCTATTAATATTGGAAGATGCAGGGTTTATCGGATTCTGTGTCTATCCCCTTGTATTTTGCAGCTCTCCTCGAGGACGTTCGCTCGGCGTCCAGCCAATTGTCGTAAGTAACCTGCTGCTACACACTGGTTGTGAGAGCTGATGTGCGGCAGTTTTATGTGCTAACCTACTATACAGACCACTGTACAGATAGCCGGCATGTGTTGTATCCGCCCCTTGGTTGACATGCGTCCGAAGGACGACCATAGCTGATCAATGCCGATCCTGATCTCCAGTTAGCAACATTCAAGATCATTCTAACTACTTCGAAGTGGGAGGCTACCCACGGTGAGGACGACCGGCTATATTCATAGCTCCCAGTTCGTGTGAATATGAGCACCAAAACTAATCCTCTCCCGTCTGATGATTGCATTCTCTTGGGACTGGGAGTTAACAGATATAGCTGCCAGTCGTCCGGCCACTGTGTTATGCACTATGTATTTTCAAGCACTCGTACTGGAAGGCTGATAGACTGCACTCTTTTGAGGTTAACAGGAGTCTTCCCGGGCCACATTGGTCCTTTACAGATTTGTTGCCGGTGTGATCAATCGTGATCGCATTCCGACATTTGAGCGTCTGCTGTGGCGTGCTTGTCGCGGCAATGTCTTCTTACGCCACCAAGAGATTGATGGAGAGCTGAAGGACCCAGCCACTGTGAGTACCAGTGATGTTTGTTGCCTGTATTTTGAACCAGCTGGGCACTTTAGTTCTCACACTGTGTGTGTGGGGGGGGGGGGCATGTGTATGTATGTGTGTGTGTGGGGGGGGGGGGGGGGGAGGGCATGTGTATGTATGTGTGTGTAGTTAATTTCAGATGCGTTTTTCTTTATTGTACTCGCAATGCTGTGGAATGTGTTGATGATTTGTCTTTGTTTCTGCAGGGAGATGCTATGCAGAAGTGCGTTTTCATCATCTTCTTCCAAGGCAATCAGCTTAGATCTCGTGTGAAGAAGATATGTGATGGGTGAGGGACCAGAACGATTCATTGGACTAGAACCCGAACGAATCATGAACCACTTTGCCGTTTTTGATATGGCTGTCTATTAGGGGCCGGTTTGTGAATGCCTCCTGGTTTCAAGCTGAGCTTTGCTGACCTTAGTTCTGGGTCTTACCACTCTGCTGACTTTCTTTCTACGGTTTTTACAGCTTTCGGGCCACACAATATCCGTGTCCGGAGACTGCGGCTGATCGTCACGAGATGATGCAGGGCGTTAGCACCCGCATTGAAGACTTGACGACTGTGATTGCGCAGACCTTGGAGCACCGGTATCGTGTGCTGCAAGGCATCTCTCTGAACATCAACGTGTGGACAGTCAAGGTGAGGCGGTAGTAGAGTGGTGTTGCTGACACTGCACACTCTAGATACACTGTATTATCAGGTATGATGGCACCTATGATGACATCATGCATGGGCATGGAGGGATATACACATTAGGAAGCCGGGTGTTTTGTAGATTGTAGAGTTTATGCGTAACTGAACCCAGCTTCTATCTGCACCGTATATCTTCAACCAGGGCTCTGCGTTGCAGACATGTAGACCCAGGCAGGAAGCTTACTGGAGTACTGCCTTTTGTAAGGATTAGTTCAACGGGTGACTTACTGATGCATCGCTACATTCCTGTCTTGTCCTGTAGGTTCAGAAGATGAAGGCCATATATCACACGATGAACTTGCTGAGCGTGGATGTGACCCATAGGTGTCTGATCGGCGAGTGCTGGTGTCCGACCGATGATCTGGACGATATCCAGTACGCTCTGAGGCGTGGACAGGTGTGTAAGGGGATGCACGATTGCTTTAGGGGATACACGATAGGTAACCTACATGTGCAGGATTGTGACAGGGAACTGAGGGAAAGCTACACGACTAACTAATGTTCTGTTTTTGTTGTAGCGTGCTACTTTAGAAAGGTGTGCTTGTCGTAGACACCAAACGCATGAAGACCAGTTTGGACGTCGATGACACACACCAGCGAAACAGAGCCAGGCGGCTTTACGACAGTAGCTAGATTAGCTAGGCAACGGTTGTCTTACTTGATGCGAGTGAGGCCTTGGAAGCCAGGTGTAAGCGCGAAATATCTCCAAAGTAATATCAGGTCACGGGACCCATTGCTTGCTTACCGTTGCTTGCCCCGTGCACACAGGAACGCAGTGGCTCTTCTGTGACGCCTGTCCTCAGCGTGATGGCGACCAGTCTGAACCCACCGACCTACAACAAAGTGAACAAATTCACTGGAGGCTTTCAGAACATCATTGATGCCTATGGTATTGCAACGTATCGAGAAGTCAATCCAAGTAAGTGCTCTTTGTGAATCATGTCAGTGACTCTTTGCTCAACATACATTGCACCTGTCCATGTACTGTCGTGGACGTGGAAATCCGGTCGGATGACCGGGGCCGGCGCCCCAAGTGCGTACAGAAAGGTATAGCCCGTTGCATGCTATGAAGTGTCGAACTGAACGCGCCAGACGCCTGCTGTGAGGTGATGTCGTTCACAGCTACTACCGTATGGGTACTCACGGCTACACGGCCAGCGCCCTGGGGCCCGGGCCGCTAGACCACCGACTGGATTTCCATGTTCACAACAGTACTGGCATCAAAGGACATATCCATCAAGCTGGCATGCTGAATATACCCATCAAGCATCAAGCTGGCATGCTGAATATACCCATCAAGCTGGCATGCTGAATATACCCATCAAGCTGGCATGCTGAATATACCCATCAAGCTGGCATGCTGAATATACCCGGCACCCACGGAGCCGGACAGCTATTCAGCATGGTGTTAGAAGGTGCTCGTATGTGTTCAACTCCGGTTCATTAGAGAACCTGCTGATTTCCAAAGTGCGTGCGTGCGCGCGCGCGTGTGTGTGTGTGTTTGTGTGTTATCACTGCGCAATTTTCATTGGCAAGCCCATTTGACTTGTGCTATTGACTTATGGTCATATTACCTCATTTCGCTTTTGACTTTCCTTTCCCGTCCGGCAGTGCTTGAAGTGAGGTGTAACTCGGTGCTGTGTAATGCTTGAAATGAGGTGTAACTCGGTGCTGTGTAATGCTTGAAGTGAGGTGTAACTCGGTGCTGTGTAATGCTTGAAGTGAGGTGTAACTCGGTGCTGTGTAATGCTTGAAGTGAGGTGTAACTTGGTGCTATGTAATGCTTGAAGTGAGGTGTAACTTGGTGCTGTGTAATGCTTGAAGTGAGGTGTAACTCGCCGCTGTGTAATGCTTGTGCAGCTGAATATGCATGCAGTGTGCGTTAGTGTTTGTTCTTTTGTTTGCTTTGATTCCTTTTCCTTTCAGCTACATTCACCGTCATCACTTTCCCGTTTCTGTTTGCCGTCATGTTTGGAGACTGCGGCCATGGTCTGTTGATGTTTCTCTTTGCGCTGTTCATGGTACTGAAGGAGAATGACTTCTCTAAATCTAAATCTCGTGGCGAGGTAATCTATCAAAGATACAATGTCCCTTCGCATATCCTTGTTACTTTTATGGACTTTTCTGCAAGAGAATTCAGAAAGTTTTCATGCCGTTAAAATCCCTGGTAATAGCTTCTTGGAGACCAGTTGAGGAGATGTCTGCCATTCCCTGCAAGCGTTGTTGAGCGGGCAATAATTGAGTGCAGTCAACCTAGCTTATCTGGTTCCCTTGCCAACAGGTGTAACAACTGGTTATAACGTTAGTCGATGTAATGTTGCAGTGAACACCGTGAAGTGCAGTCAACGTGTTTCACACGGTGGCTATCTGACTCACTCGGAGGGTGATACGTGCGTGCAGTAAGCATGGTCCACTCATAGCTGGCTTCATGGGAGTACTTGCTGTGCTGCTTGCTTATGCTTTACAATTTCTGGAATCAGTCTCGAAGATTCATTGTAAGGAAAAATATGTCTCTCTTGTCTCGAAGGAGAAAACTCAAAGAACAAAAGACAGTGAAGCAAACCGCCAGCAAATCAAGCTACCGTACGCTTTCCAACGGCGAAAGGCGATAGTGCGGGAAAACACGAAGATACAAGGAGAAGACTGTAAGCTCAGGTAAATGCGAGAGAGGAGTTGGTGATAATCAAGAATGGAGAAAGGAAGATCAAAGGAGAGAGAGAGATAGTGAGAGAGAGAGAGAGCGAGAGAACGAGGCTGTCTGGCGATCGTATGCAATATCTCACATATGCTGGTTGTGTGCTTCTTCTCCGTTGTGGTATAGATCTTTGGTTCTTTCTTCAGTGGACGCTACATCATCCTGTTGATGGGCCTTTTCTCCATTTACACTGGCCTGGTGTACAACGACTGCTTCTCCAAGTCCTTCAACATCTTTGGCTCGTCTTGGAGTGTCCAGGAGACGTAAGTTCGTCATTTTCAGTATGCTGTAGATGTTAAAATCTGTGTGTGTGTGTGTGTGTGTGGAGGGGGGGGGGGGTGAGGATATGCTGTGGAACTGCGGTGCTCAGAATGGCCAAGATGGTTGAGTAGTACTGAGTCATACTACGGCTCTGGAAATTGCTTGTGGTGTCGTAGCACAATAGCCACCGTGGACGGAATACTGAAAGTAGATGTGAGCTCACTCCCCATGTGACAAGCATTGAAATCCAAGTAGGACACTCTGTAGTATCCAGAATCTGTTATTGATGCCACCTCCCGTGTTTCTTCTTGCCATGTTATGCTATACACATATGTGTGCAGTGATCTGTACACATCAACTGACACTGTGCAGTTGAAACTTGGCAAGGATGGCAATTTCCGAGATCATGAACCCTACCCGTTTGGTCTCGATCCGGTAAGTGTATCATTGCCCCTGGGAAGTGAGGGCATAGTACAAGCGGAGGCATTTGCCTTCATGTGAACGAACGGGGAGAATATTTCTCGTTTCAAAACAAATATCGTGGTCTGTGCACCTGGCAAGTGTTTCCATTGCTGCGAGCTGAGTTACCTAACAGTTAGTTGTATTGGCGGAAGGCGTGGGAAGGTAATGATTAAAGTCTCTATACTAGCTTAGTTAACTGAAACACAATACCCCCGTGTGCTGGGTGAAAAGAGCCATCATACCTCATTATCCAATGCTGAGACAGCCAGTGGCAGTTAGACTTATGCATCGCAACTCTCATCGGTATGTTCTGATCAATGGTGTATCACCAACTTGGTTTCTGCCGGCACGCACAGATCTGGCAGGTGGCCAGCAACAAGCTGACGTTCACCAACTCCTACAAGATGAAAATGTCCGTCATCCTCGGTGTCATTCAGATGATGTTCGGTATCGTCCTGAGCCTATTCAATCATCTGTGAGTAGAGACCTCTGTGTGTTAAAACATTGCTTCAACAACTTTCCAATCAAACTCTATACCGGCGTTGCTGTTATCCAGTAGTCAAGTCTATGAACTGCTGACAAGGTGCCACTAGCGCTGACTGTTGACTTCAATTTGGACTGTGTAATATCTCACTCACATACCTATGGCATAGAGCAACCACTGACACCCTGTGCTGTTGTGGCTGCATGCACCACAACCACCATTGACGACACTTCCTTTGGCGCTTTTGTGATACTTTTTTTTAGCTTATTAAGTAAAGTGTGAATTTACTACCGCCCTCCAGTTAGCTGTGGAGGTTGGGCGGATAGCGGATGGGTGGAATTCAGCCGCAAATCCTGTTGTGGCTTAGGGTTTTTCTGGTTAAATCCTATCCCCACAGGTATTTCCGTCGCTACATCAACATATTTGGCTCTTTCATACCCGAGGTAAACATATTTACGTAGTGGTGACTACCATTCTATAATGACTGGGCATGCCTCCAAGCTTTCTGGTGTGTGTGCGTGTGTGTGTGCATATGCATTTGTGTATGCGGGCACAATGGCACCGTTATGCAATGACATGGATAGATTGCTGTATAGCGATAAACATTATGCGATGTGTGCAGTTACAGCAAGTTATAGAAACGAAAAAGGACCAAGGAACTACAAGTTACACTATAGTGTCCACTAACACCACCAGTTACTAAACAATCAGCGCATGCGATGACATTGCACGACACTGACCGACGGTACCGACGTTACAGCAAGATTGCACTATATGTTATTCCAGTGAATTGTGTACTTTGTCTCCTCCAATAACGATAACATTGCCACGTCGATGTATGGCCTGCACCCTAAGCTTGCACTAATGTTTTCCCCTCCTCGCCTCTCGCTTCCCCTTGTGTCCAGGCTACCTGTTTTGGACCACCAGTTGCCTGATGATCGTGAATAATGTGAAACTCGGAGTTGCGATCGTGAATTCGTCTTTCTTTCTCTCTACTGTCCGTATCTCCTCCGATATGCAGGTCCTCTTTCTTGGTTGTATATTCGGTTACCTGGTCTTCATGATCTTCTTCAAATGGCTGTTTGTCACTACGGAGACTCTTGCTGGTGATGGAGGGGTGAGTAATTAGTTGCCTCTGTGGAACGTGAAGCCGTGCATAACGTTAGTAAGAACACTAGTGCCTGTTTCATCGCAACTGCTGCAACTGCTGCAGCTCAGTGATACAGATCGAACCATCATATTATTATAGCTTATGTGTAGAGGAAGAAGAGTGATTGTGGAAGTGTGAGTCCAGTGTAATTGTTGGTAAGTGCCCGTCACTGGAAAACACCTGCCCACGCCAAAACCCATGCAACATCTCGTACACCAGTTGAAAGCACCGCCCGCTGTTATCTGGTCTACTGGTATGACAAAGTGTGCACGTATCGGACATAGCATCTTTTCCGAAGAAGGACATTTCCTGCACGCCAGGATCGATGCTTAGCAGCGATGGTATGGTACTGTGGTGAATGAACCGTGAAACTGTATATTTGGATTGGTAGATCCCCCGGCACCAGCTTAAGCGCACACAGAAAGTCGTCATTTCTTTGTTGGTGACTGACCAGTTTCATCTTTGTAAAGAATCATCAGAGGCTTGCGCTTAAGCTTGTGTCGGGGATCTACCAATCCAAATATATTGTTGAATTAGGAGTGTAAAGATTCTACCCAAGCGGATGACCATCAGAGGTCACCACCTAACTTCAAGCCGATGGTCACCAGAGTGTCTCTTCGTTCCATTTCTCTAAGAACTCACAAGCTCCAACACAGCCATTTGCGCAAATAGTCAAATATAGAATCTCAACACTTGTACCATACAGCAGCACCTTTTCACCCTTGAGATGGGCAATGGCTGAAACATTTATGGAAGTGAAACCGTTTTGAAGCAAAGAAGGTACATACACATAGTTTGATTGTTCTCTAAAGAGACTTCTTCCTAGTCTTGTGCTCAGTTTCGTAGTAAGTTCCGGGTTGTTGCTAGTCTTGTGCTCAGTTTCATAGTAATTAACAGGCTGTTGCTAGTCTTGCTTCGTAGTGCCTGTCAGAAATACTTGTAAGAGCATTTGGCAGCTGGTGGTTTTTTTTAGGGGCTGGCTATAAGTTCTAAGTCACGGTAGTTATTGTATGCCATGTGTATCCTGTCCAGGCACCTAGCTTGCTCATCATGTTGATCAACATGTTCCTGAGCTTTGGCAGGGTCAATCCTGAAGAGCAATTCTATTCTGGACAGGTCAGTGCTGCCGAGTATTCGTCCATGGTTCCTTTTTTTTGTTGTGTGCTCATCATTGGAGTCGCAGCATGTGACTTTTGTTTACGGGAGTTCTACCCACACCACAATCTCCTTATATGCGGTAGAGAATTGAATTGACCATGCTGCAAAGAGTGAAGTGAACGATGTTATCGGTGTTGTCTAACGCAGAAATGGGCTCTGAACCTTTTATTTTAGTCGTGATGTTTCGAACGCATAGTTTGGAGCTGTACTGTATTGGAAGGTGTCAAGAAATTCCGCAAACTGGCTGACATAGGTGTTCATATGAACTACTGTAGGGTCGCGTATAAAAGCATGACCTGTATAGAAGCATGACTCGAATAGAAGCCGATTTTTCGAAGCGCACCGTGACACAGAAGCACAATTTGAATAGAAGCCGCTCTCTGCAAAGTACATGTGCAAGTACATGTGTGCCAGTGTGCACTGCGCAGTGTAGACTGATGATGTTGACATAGAGGCATGTCTTGAATAGAAGCATAACTTGAATAAAAGCATGGTTTGAACCCCGGCTTATACGGCCGTAAGCACCTGCTTTTATACACGACATTACGGCATATATGGAGGAACACACACCCAGTGTAAATGCAGGTTTCACTTGATGGAGAGCAAATCATTTTGAGATTAATTTTAGGCTCAGAACGATATTGGTTGGAGCCCAATTCAAATTTTGGAGAATGCGGCTCTTCGGATTTCTTCACTTTCGCCCAGAGTCTGTAACCGTCAGTATGTACACATGCAGTTTTGCGACCTTATTTGCCATGAGCTGCCCGTCACGGTGTTGCTTGTACACAAGTACACAGTTTCAGGTTTTAGTAGTGTGTTGCTACTCGCATTGCCGCCTACGTGCGCTCTTGTGTGTTTCTCACATGCTCTGCTGCCAGGCTGCTGTTCAATCGACGCTAGTGGTCATCGCGGTTCTCGCCGTGCCATGGATGCTGCTGACCAAGCCAGCGTTTGCGAAGATAATGGCTCGCCTTAGTGCCACACGGGTGAGGATGTGATTGACAGAACATAGTGTTCTGCATGTACCTGTGTACCTATGGGCCCCAACGGAGGAAACATTGCAACACTGATCCTGTGTATCTCTTATTAAAAAAGTTCTCATGTCCCTTGACAGTCGAGCTCAGTTTTCATCCAGCCCAAGCCTGCTGATGATTAAGGTTGTTGCTGTGCAACAGTGGGTCATACTCGGCCTGTTACCCTAGATGGACCGTGGAGCCCACTGAGCACCTTCTGTCACAATGTGACCAGCAGCCAGCAGTAGTGCTGCCGGTACATGTAGTTGAGTGAGAACATGCATAGCACTATGTACGGAGGTATGCAGAGAGAAGAGCCACGAAAATGTCCCACTGAAGGCAAGACACTTTCTCTGTTTTTTTTATTGAAAACCAAAAGGAGTTCGGGGACAGTTTTGGCCACGATTTCATCAGTGTAATATTCTCCTCAAATTTCTGTGGATGTGTAGATATCTCTGTAATGTTCCTGAGTGAACATCAAGTTAGTTCCCGCACTCCATAGATCAACTTCACTCCACAAGTCCCAGACAACAACTAAAGTTTATTTACATAGAACAACGAAAGATAAAGATGCACAACCAGGATCCATAAATGTACACAGTACGGGAATGCATATCGGTAACCGATCCCGGAACGGATCGGGTACAACAACGGGACCACAACATCTCCCTTTTTATGTTCGAAGAGAGAGAGGTTACAGAGGTAACAGCTCGAAGAATATTTAGTCATATACATACAGAGGAGATAGGGTAGAGACACACAAATACTACATGCAGTTCACGATCATCAGCGTCAGCGACTGGAGTGATCATAGCATGAGCAATGACTAATGCGTTTACAGGTCGAGTCTGTTCAGCGGCCGGGATGGACGTGCTGATCGGCGCAAGGTAGGTTGGAACTCGACATCAGCGGATGGAGGTTCTGCAGGTGTAGTGACATTCAACTGCGGTGTTGGTGTTGGTTGCACATCAGGTAGCAACTTGACGTGGCGACGGTTGCGGCGGTACTCGGACAGGTTGTCGGTCGTGACAATATAGGATCTGTCGGAGACGCGGTCTGCAATCACGGCTTCGGAAGCGAGATCTTGCACCCAGACTCGGTCGCCTTGGGTCAATGGTGGCAGAGATTGTGCTCGGTGTGACGAGTCGTACGTCTCACTCTGTCGGTCTTTCTGCCTCACCTCGAACTTCCTTAGCTTGGAAATATCAGGCCAACTTGGAGCGAGGGATTCCGCTGTACATGGGAGGTGTGTGCGTAGACGACGACCAAACAGGAGCTCGGCTGGCGAGTAGCCATTTGCGAGGGGTGTTGACCTGTAACTGAGTAGGGCATTGTTGAGGCTGTTGTTGGTCTTCAGGAGACGCTTGAATGTTCGAACTGCTCGCTCAGCTTCACCGTTGCTCTGTGGGTAGTGCGGGCTACTGGTGCGGTGGGTGAGCTGCATTTGGGCTGTGAATGCGGCGAATTCAGCACTTGCGAACTGTGGACCGTTGTCCGACACAAGAGCTTGAGGGATGCCATGGATGGCGAACAGCTCGTGGAGTTCCTTGATGACGGCTCCAGAGGTAGTCTTCCGTAGCGGGATGGCGTGAATGTACCTGGAGAAGTAGTCGACAGCAATGAGGTACTCCTGACCGTCATGTTGGCAGAGGTCGACTCCTATTCTCTCCCATGGCAAAGAGGGAAACACAGTTGGAGACAGAGGCTCTGGCGGCTGAAAACGATGCTTGGTGCAGGTCAGGCAGTTCTGCACGCATTCTGAAATGGCACGTGTGATACCTGGCCACCAGACGGAGGATTTCGCACGGGCCAGGCACTTGGTTATGCCTTGGTGGCCGTCATGCAAAGTGGCAAGTGTAGCTTTGCGCTCGGATGCCGGGACTACGATCCGAAATCCGTGGTACAGTAGACCGTCGTGAACTGAGAGCGAGCCACGTTCGTTGCGGTAGGCTTCCAGGTCTGCGTTGACCTTGGTCGGCCAGCCATGGAGGGTATGCTGGATTACTTGTTGCAGGACTGGATCGTCAGCAGTGGCTGTAACGAGAGCGTGTTGCTTGGTAGGACTGCATAGAGACGACAGGACAGCGGCGATGGTGGCTTCCGAGTCACTGTGTAGGTCGGATTCGGTTGCTGGCGTGTCAGGAAGAGGAGCTCTGGACAGCGTGTCGGCGAGAACCATGTTCTTGCCAGGCACGTACTCCGCCTGTACATCGTAGCGCATGAGTCTGATCAGTAGACGTTGGCAGCGTAGAGGTACTCGGTCGAGGTCATGCGTGTTCATTAGTGGGACCAGCGGCTTGTAGTCCGTCTGAATGGTAAATCGGGGCGCTCCGTAGAGGTATTGATGGAAGTGTTCACATCCCCAGACCGAGGCGAGGAGCTCTTTCTCGATCTGGGCATACCGTTTCTCTGCTGCTGTCATGGTGCGTGAGGCGTACGCGACCGGCTTCCACTCATTGACATGGAACTGTAGCAGTGCAGCACCCAATCCATAGCTGCTCGCATCAGCCGTGACGATGGTCGGTGCAGACGGGTCGTAGTACGCGAGACACGGGGCTGAGGCAGCTCGGCATTTGAGCTCTGTGAAAGCTAGCTCATGTGCTTTGGTCCATCGCCACGTCGCGTCGCACCGGAGTAGCTCGCGCAGTGGGGCGGCTACGGTCGACAATGACGGCAGAAACTTGGAGAGGTATGTGAAGAGTCCGAGTGCACGACGGAGCTCTTCCACATCAGCTGGTGCTGCGAGGCGCTCAATGGCATCCAGCTTAGCTGGGTCAGGGTGGTCACCCTTGTCGCTGATCCGATGGCCCAGGTACTTTAGTAGGGACGTGCATCTGAACTTAGACTTGTTCGGATTCAGTGTCAGACCGGCATCGCGGAGTCGGTTCTCGACGGCGAGCAGAGCAGCATCATGCTCAGCCATCGATGAAGCATAGACGATGATGTCGTCTATGAACACTGCTACGTTGGGAATATCGCTGAGTAGACCTTGTAGCCGGCGCTGGAATATCTCAGGCGCGCTCGTTATGCCGAAGGGAAGGCGCTCGAACTTGAAGCGGCCATAGGGAGTGATAAACGTCGTCAGCAACGACGCTTCCTCGGAGAGTGGGATCTGCCAGAAGCCAGACGTGGTGTCCAGCGTAGAGAATATGGTAGAACCGTTGAGTTGTGCGAGCGTGTCGTCCACGGTCGGTAACGGGTAGTGCTCTCTCTTGACGCTGGCATTCAGGCGCTTGAGGTCTACGCATACACGCACGTTGCCGTTCGGCTTGAGGACCGACACGAGGGGTGAACACCAGTCAGTCGGCTGCTCGACTTTTGTGATGACACCTGCTTTTTCCATACGCTCCAGCTCGGTGCGAACCTTGAGGCGAATGTGTATTGGAATGCGTCGAGCATTTACACAGTTGTATGGTTTGCAGTCTGGCTTCAACTCAATCTCGACTGGCTTGCCTAGCATGCATCCGATTTTCGGCTGGGCATCTGAAGAGCCAACATGAAGACGTTGTACTAGGCCCATCTGTTCAGATGTCTGCCTGCTCAACAAGTTGACACCACCGGTGGCAATGACCAGGATAGTGACTGGGTACTGTACATCACGGAACACAGCACAAGTGTGAAACTCACCCTGTATCGTGAGCTGGTTCCCATCAGGCCCAATCATACGTGTCTGGCACGGACTGAGTACTGGCGGTGCAGATAAACCGTTGTAGCTGGCCTGCGTCATAATGTTGAGATCAGCTCCAGTGTCGATTTTGAAATCGAGGTGTGAGCCGCACAGATCCAGTCGGACTATCCACGGCTCGTCAGCGGTGTGGGTAGAAGCAGCTCCAAGGAAATTTTCGCCGACGGGGTCCGACTGCATGTCAAACTCAGCTACATGCACATAATCGTTGTGTGCTGCACTGGCGGAGGCAGACCGGCAGACGCTGGCGAAGTGTCCAGACTTACGACACTTGTTACAAGACTTGTCCTTGGCAGGGCATTCGTCACGGTTCGATTTGTGGTCTTTGGAGGAGCCACACCACGAGCACTTCTTACTGTTGCTCGAGTCTCGTTGGGACTTGACCTGTGGTCGCTTTCCCGTTGATCCGTAACTTGCGTAAGCAGGGGACTTGCCGTGTTTCCGTTGCGGTGAGGTAGCTGCAGCAGCTTGGCTCACCCGGGGCGTTTGCTGGGCGACCTCGGCGTTTACGGACTCCGTTTTGCGTGCCAAGCTCACGGCAGTCTCGAGTGTCAGCTGAGCGTGATCCTCGAGCTGTAGCTTCTTCGAAACTTCTCGGTTCGTCATATGGGCCACCAACCTGTCGCGGATACGCTCATCTGACTTGTCAAACGCGCAATATTTGGCTGCGGCACGGAGACGACGCACATACTCTTCCACGGATTCACCTGGGTTCTGGACACACCTTTCAAACAATGTCCGTTGGTGGATTACGTTTACACCCGGGCGAAAATACTTGTCAAAGGCCTCCAGTACCTTGTCGAGTTTCTTCTTATCATCCGCGGACAGAGATAGAGACTCAAAGATAGGATCGGCTTCGGCTCCCATGGAGTAAACTAAAGTGTCTACTTGGCGTTGCCCGTCCGCCTCGTCCAATTTGGACAAAGAACTAAAGCGTTCAAAACGGGTCTTCCAGAGTGGCCATGCTTCTGGGGTGGAGAAATCGAACGGGGCAGGTACAGGAAATTTGGCAGACGACATGACTAACTGCTGCTTCTGACACCATGTAATGTTCCTGAGTGAACATCAAGTTAGTTCCCGCACTCCATAGATCAACTTCACTCCACAAGTCCCAGACAACAACTAAAGTTTATTTACATAGAACAACGAAAGATAAAGATGCACAACCAGGATCCATATATGTACACAGTACGGGAATGCATATGGGTAACCGATCCCGGAACGGATCGGGTACAACAACGGGACCACAACAATCTCCTTTGAAAGTCATTCTGTCATCCCAGTGTTCTTACTACTGTCCAGTGGTCGAAAGGTCCCAACTGTTGCTTATTTTGCCTGGAATTCCAATGTTCGAACCTCAATTTCACAAGGAACGGGTGTGACACTCCAAATCTTATTGCAGATTCAGAATCAGCATGATTTTCTCTGTTAGTCCACCGAAAATGAGCGAATCATTACATTGGTGAAAGTGTTTGTGAAAATTGACCACAAAACTGTGTGGCAATGGTTAGAACTGCAGCAACTACCATACTCCATACGCATACACGACCCACACACAGCAAGACTTAGTGTTGGTTGGCACTACAGGGTAACTGTACCCGTTCATCACGCACAGAAGGAGGCAGTGTTGTTGTTGGATTCGACATTGTTATCAGAACAAGAAGGTTATTACTAGCAGAGGAATTGCGCGTGCACATTACACTCACACGTTACGCTGACAGGCTGTGTAGCCTAACAGTAAGCTGGCGAGTAACAGCTGGTGATGCAGCACTCGCAGCAGTCACACTGTCACACTGTCACAGTAACTGGACAAAGGAGCTGGCCGCCGGGGTGTGACCATGGAGGCGGCCGACCCGCCAGAGGCAGGGACCGAGCGTGAGACCGAAATGGCGGCTGACCTGCCAACCGTAGTTACCGTTGTGTTGAGCCGAGCCGGCTGCCTGCTCCAGACGAGTTATCTTGTCGGCCAGAGGCCGCTGAATAGCAACAACAACGGCTTTGTTGGGATAAGTTTGAACGTTTCTTGTATGTCTTTTTCCTTTGACGTGTTCATAAAGGGCAAATGCGGCAGAAATCTGGTTTGCCAGCGTATCCGGTGGGGGTGGTTGGCCGGTAGTCGAGGGTGCGGATGATTGACCAGGTACAGAAGTAACACTAGACTGCGCGGAGTCTTGAGCATGGGCTCCGGCTTGGGTGATGCCAGATGTGGGTGCCACCTGCCCAGGAGCAGCGGAGGATGATGTTCTAGCGTAGGGGCTACAAGATGCCCTGGTGGACCTGCGGGGCATCTCTTGCCTCTGCGGGGTGAGACACGTTGCTAAGATTACTTGACGGGGATTTCCCCTGCACTCGGAACTCCAGGGGATTTCCCCTGCACCCGGAACTCCAGGGGATTTCCCCTGCACTCGGAACTCCAGCCAACCCAGTGGCACTGCGTGCAAATTCCAGCCAGCCCAGCCAGCCCAGCCAGCCCAGCCAGCCCAGCCAGCCCATGGGCTGCACACCACAACTAGGAAACAAGAGAGAACCGAAATGACGATGTCGCTTAGGACAAGGAAATCTGAAGAGAAAAAAACTCCTGTGTTTTTAAGAGTCACGCAAGCCAATGCAACTAGCAAAGAGAGCCCAGCAAGAAGGCTGCTAAAAATGTGTACGTATGCAAGGCCAGCTGCTGGGAGAGTTTGCGCATGCGCACAACGGCGCCTCCGTGAGCTGGCACGAACACATGCATGATAAAGATAGGCATACAGTGACAACATTATGTCACTGCCGCGTTAACATAGTTTAGCTACGCGCAACCTGCATGTTGTGCGTGCAAACACCTGATATGATCCTCTTTGACTACATGTGCTGCTATTTGACTTCTACAGCAGGCAACGTACACCATGATAGGATCTGATGTAGATGATGATGATGCGGCGGCCAGTGGTCTTGGTGTGCAGGACAACAGTGGCACAGACGCCGGCGATCACACTGTAAGCCATAGTGAGCACGGTGTGGGGGAGGTGAGCTCAGCTGCTGTGCTTGCTGCTGTGCTTGCTGCTCAGTGTGCACTGCCGCTATGCCGTTTTCCAGCTTGCCACGAAACAGGCGTGACGCCTTCGTCTGTGCTATAAGTTTGTGTGTAACCGCTCAGCAAGCATATCCAAGCCTAGGACGTTATTTCCTTGCAAACAGTACAGATCTCTCACTGGTAGATTGACTAGCATGACTAGCATGAGTAGCATGAGTAGCATCAGAAATGAATCTTCACTTGACGTGTGATTGAATGTTGTGGTAGCAGCTGCATACAGCACGCAGCTTTGTGACCCTGATTGCATACAGCACGTAGCTCTGTGACCCTGATTGCATACAGCACGCAGCTTTGTGACCCTGATTGCATACAGCACGCAGCTTTGTGACCCTGATTGCATACAGCACGCAGCTTTGTGACCCTGATTGCATACAGCACGCAGCTTTGTGACCCTGATTGCATACAGCACGCAGCTTTGTGACCCTGATTGCATACAGCACGCAGCTTTGTGACCCTGATTGCATACAGCACGCAGCTTTGTGACCCTGATTGCATACAGCACGCAGCTTTGTGACCCTGATTGCATACAGCACGTAGCTTTGTGACCCTGATTGCATACAGCACGCTATAGACTGGCTATAGCTAGAGTAAAACCTGTCAAAGCGACCACTCCGATAAGGTAACCACCTTTTGTGCACGCGCACATGTTGTCCAGGCGTCAGGGGCCCAGCCTCCCTGCCCATCCGACCCGCCACACACAACAACGAAACTGAACTGAGAGTTCTACATAATTTCTTGACAAGACGGAGACAGACAGACAAGAAGACCGGACACGACGAGGTAAACTGAAAACTGAAGAAAAAGACTAACATTTATGGCAGCATGCGCGAGCATGCGCGCAACAAAACACAACGTATGACAATGACGTAACCGTTACTTGGATCATGTACAAACTATACATGCAACCAAAACAAGTCAAAGCAGAACGCAAAACAAACCAAAATAAACGAAAGGACCACAACAAAAAGAGCCATGAAAAGTCTTTCTACCGATACACAACATATTCCCCACCAAAGACCTTTTCAGGGTTCTACGAGGACTGCGAACACTGTGCCCTACGAGTATACGCCGCAAGCGTACTAATCAAGCTAACTACAAGAGGCAACAAATAAACAAATAAACGATCGACACGCCAACAAAACTCCAACGAAAGGCAACGTCCGACCAGGGACAAACAAATCAAACTCAAACAAATCGAGCAAACCGAACTACCAAACTCGAACTAACAAACAACTCGAGCAAAACAAACTAATCAACAACTCGAGCAAACCGAACTACCAAACTCGAACTAACAAACAAATCGAGCAAACCAAACCACTCAAAACAAATCGAATCAAACTAGTCAACAAATCACAGCAGGAGCACCTTCTAAACTCCGCGTCACACTCACATGGGGTTATTTGCTCACGATGCGTTTTCCTTCGCACCGTCCTTGTCGTAGGAACCAGCCACTCATCGCAGACGTTTATCCGACTTCGTCTACCCTCAGCGCATTCAGCTCCAACGACTTCCGTCGCACCAACCTCGTCGTCTTCACCAGCCACCTCGCGGGACGTCCCTGCCCTCAGCGCATTCAACTCCGGCGGACCAGCCACTCCTCGCAGATGTTCATCCATTTCATCTGCCCTCAGCGCATTCAGCTCCGACGAGCCAGCCACTCCTCGCAGACGTTTCCTCGCTCAGCGCCTTCAGCTCAGACGACGTCGTTTCGGTGATTTGTTCACGATGCGTTTTCCTTCGCACCGGAGTTCCTTCCAGTTCCTCGTCTCCCTGACAATCCTATCGTGGTCGCCAAATTTTGTGCACGCGCACATGTTGTCCAGGCGTCAGGGGCCCAGCCTCCCTGCCCATCCGACCCGCCACACACAACAACGAAACTGAACTGAGAGTTCTACATAATTTCTTGACAAGACGGAGACAGACAGACAAGAAGACCGGACACGACGAGGTAAACTGAAAACTGAAGAAAAAGACTAACATTTATGGCAGCATGCGCGAGCATGCGCGCAACAAAACACAACGTATGACAATGACGTAACCGTTACTTGGATCATGTACAAACTATACATGCAACCAAAACAAGTCAAAGCAGAACGCAAAACAAACCAAAATAAACGAAAGGACCACAACAAAAAGAGCCATGAAAAGTCTTTCTACCGATACACAACACCACCTGTCCTAGAGGACCACTACAACTCGGACTTAGGGTTGTAATTTCAGACAAATAACCTTGGATAAGGAGACCACCTGTACGCAGAGGTCACATTTTGAAGGTCCCTTGACCGGTCGTCTTGACAGGTTTCCGTGTTACTTTATACCTATGGCTATAGACTGGCTTGTCTGGCTGGCTCACAGACTGGCTCTGACAACCTGTGAGTACCGTGATTACCATTGATGTCATGCACACATCCAATGGTCTCTCTTCTACCGCTCCCTGTTGTGTTTCTAGGAGAGCATTGGTGACATATTCATCCACCAGGCCATCCACACCATTGAGTTCTGCCTGGGCTGCATTTCCAACACTGCATCCTACCTGCGTCTCTGGGCTCTCAGCCTGGCACATGCCGGTGAGTGTTTTCAAGGACAATGGGGACGGGGCCAGCGTGATTGTTCCACTTCAGCGACCAAACATTGGCTACTTTTACTGGAAGTGTCCTGTAGTGACTGTGTCCTGAAGGCGAAGAGAGTTTACATTTTAAGCTGAGATAGTTTATTTTTACCGGTTCATAGACGTGTGTTGCTCTGCATAGACGTGTGTTGCTCTGCATAGACGTGTGTTGCTCTGCATAGACGTGTGTTGCTCTGCATAGACGTGTGTTGCTCTGCATAGACGTGTGTTGCTCTGCATAGACGTGTGTTGCTCTGCATAGACGTGTGTTGCTCTGCATAGACGTGTGTTGCTCTGCATAGACGTGTGTTGCTCTGCATAGACGTGTGTTGCTCTGCATAGACGTGTGTTGCTCTGCATAGACGTGTGTTGCTCTGCATAGACGTGTGTTGCTCTGCATAGACGTGTGTTGCTCTGCATAGACGTGTGTTGCTCTGCATAGACGTGGTGTGTTGCTCTGCATAGACGTGGTGTGTTGCTCTGCATAGACGTGGTGTTGCTCTGCATAGACGTGGTGTTGCTCTGCATAGACGTGGTGTGTTGCTCTGCATAGACGTGTGTTGCTCTGCATAGACGTGGTGTGTTGCTCTGCATAGACGTGTGTTGCTCTGCATAGACGTGGTGTGTTGCTCTGCATAGACGTGTGTTGCTCTGCATAGACGTGGTGTGTTGCTCTGCATAGACGTGTGTTGCTCTGCATAGACGTGTGTTGCTCTGCATAGACGTGTGTTGCTCTGCATAGACGTGGTGTGTTGCTCTGCATAGACGTGTGTTGCTCTGCATAGACGTGTGTTGCTCTGCATAGACGTGTGTTGCTCTGCATAGACGTGTGTTGCTCTGCATAGACGTGTGTTGCTCTGCATAGACGTGGTGTGTTGCTCTGCATAGACGTGTGTTGCTCTGCATAGACGTGGTGTGTTGCTCTGCATAGACGTGTGTTGCTCTGCATAGACGTGTGTTGCTCTGAGAATATGTGCAGATAAGTAACAGTTACAAGTGCACACATTTTCTTTGCAGACATTTGTTAAAAAATATTCTCCTGCCGTCGTTCTGCTGCTGGTCGTTGCCTTGCAGAGTTGTCTGAAGTTCTGTGGACCATGGGCATGCGGATCGCCATGAAGCAAACTGGTGGTGTTGGTCTCATTGCCGTCTTTGCTATCTTTGCTATGTGGGCTGGTAAGAGATACACAGTCATACACCCAACTTCTGAATTTGTCTTGCGTATATCTGTTTTCCGGCAAGCCTGTTTTAGAATGAAGAGCGTAATGTCAATGGGCACTGTATTTTTTTCTTAGTAAGGTGCATAAGCACCACTGCGGCCACTATATAGTATGGAAAGCCCTGACCAAAAACTTCAGTTCGCTTACTGACTTGCATTTTTGATGAGGGTGGTGTACCTATCAGGGGTTTGGAAAAGCCAGTTAAAAACTTAATGTTATGCGAGTCCTAAAATGTCTGTTCCTAAAAATTGTTATCCTGTTCACGCCTGGTCAAGATACAGTGTCTACGGGTACGCTCAGTCTGAGCCTTGCTTGATGCAGCCTATACCAAGCGAATTCTTACTTCTTTGAAGTAGAACATTGTAGTCCGTGAGTGCTGTCTGATCATCGATAACGTGTGAAACTCCGAGTACCAGCAACATCGCTCTGTTTTCTCTTTTCCATTCTCTTACCTACTGGCTGGTATACTCGTCTATCTACGGGTGTGCAGTAGATAATAGCTAGGTTGCGAATCTCTTAGGTTTGTATTCTTCCCTAAAAAGTTCTTTGTCAGGGTGTGATTTCAGTATAATGTATACAAGTATGTGTGACTATGTGTACAGCTGAGACAATTGCGATCCTGTTGGTGATGGAGGGACTGTCTGCATTCTTGCACGCTCTACGTCTTCACTGGTATGATAGGGCAATGCATGGGGTTTGGAGTTTGAACTGTAGAGAACTACAATCAGTCATGTAACTACATGCTGCATTTTGCCAGGAAGTATAAGTAGAAGTTCATCTACCGGTAAATAGTTGTGACAGTGCAGCTAGTGTCATGCACTTTAGAGGTCTCGGAATGGAATACACCGTCATGCTCATGATGTATTATTGATAGAATCCTGGCTGTGGCATCTTACTGGACCTCTGTCTCTCTCTCTCCTGCCTTGGTGCAACTGCACTATTCATCGCCCGCATGTTTGTGCCCTGCCCGGTATATAGTCGGCCTTATTTACATAGAGCTCGTAGCTGCACCGGTGAGGCATGGATGGCCAAAACTGGCTACAGTAGAGTCGCGCGCTGAAGAACGTGGAGCCCAAGAATGTCCAGCCTGAAATTCTAAGAACGCCACAGCCTAAAGCTAAGAACGGCGGTGTTGGTTTTCTGGCAGCCTGTGGGATACATAATGATCCAGTACGGATTGTTTCTAAGAACGTGCTATAAGAACGCAGCCAGATTGCTGAAAAATAAGAACGTCCCAGGCTAACCCCTTGGAAACAACGTTCTTGGGCGCGCGACTCTACTGTAGCTGTTTACAGCACTGAAGCATCATAATAATTGTAGGAGCAGTGCACTTTCAGCTGACACGACTGCCAGCCAACGTTGTTTTGTTGCAGGTGTCGCGCGAAGAACCCCCAACCTGAAATACAGAACACCACCGCCTTCGCTTAGGCTAACATTGTCGGTGTATGCTTTGTAGAGTGCAGTGTACTTTTCAACGGGTTGAAAGTAGTCATGTAACTTTTACTTGCCAGGCCCGACAGTGGTGTTTTGTTGAATTTGGCTTTTTCTAATCTGCAGGGTGGAGTTCAATGGAAAATTCTATAAGGGCGAAGGCTACAAATTCCTTCCATTCTCCTTCGCACGAGTCCTAGAGGGTGGTGATGATGAATAGTTTCTTTTTATTGTAATTTAGCCTTTTTTCTTCTTCTAGATTCACAGAATGCCTAACAGTACCACTTGCTCTCTCTCTCTCTTTCACAACCATCCACACAAGGTAATTCACTTTTCAGTCAAGCACATAAAAAGCACGAAACCTGAATTTGCAAGCATAAGTTGATTCGCCTTTTTCTACTTTATTTTCCATACACACACGGTGACACATATTATTATGAAACTGCACTTTTCTGGAACATTGTTCTGCTGGTCTAAATGGTTTGATATCTATCCTACAAGACCCGCACAAAGTATAATTCCATGGTAGCAGACGGTTTCAGAAATAAACCGCACGTGTTATTAGTAAGTAACATAGTTGCTACAGCAATTATTAACAATGCACAGCAAAATAATAATAACCAGCAAGCAGTAATTTCCAATCGTGTGTACGATGTAGCTAGCAGTCACTGAAAGAAATCACTGAAAGAAATACAAAATGGGCAAACACGGATAAAAACAATTTGTGCAAATGACGGCAGATAAATATATTATACACTACTTCATTGTGCACAGATGAAATGAGAAGAAGATGACAAAACTATTCATATTGCATCAGACCTAAATATAAACTAATGTTGCTCTTGCGCGGAGCAAATATTCATTGATAGTGAACGCTACCTAGTCACCACCAGGGATGAGGGCTAAGAATTGAAAGAATCTAGAGGAGAGATCAAGAAAGACAACAGGAATAGGATGTCAAATACATGTAGAAATAGACCTACCAAGACTGAACTTTTCTGGATCTCAACGTCCCCTTCTGGAAAGGGCAAACTAAAAATACAAGGAGGGGAAGAAAGGTTATTGCGGATTTTGCTTGCTATCATTATTGGTTGATCTCGGCGAGAGGCGTGCGCACAGAGGTGCCCGCTTTCTTCTGCGGCGACGAGAAAACACCACTGGGTACACGGGGCGGCGAGAGAACATCCGGAGACAGCTTGGTCAGGAACGCTGTGATCTGCTCCATCATCTCGTTGTGCAGATCCTTGTTCTGCACCACGTCTTTGTTAGCATCCAGCACCTAAACACGGCAGCAACAGCAAGTAACAACACATCATATATCTAGTACCTACAAACCCCCAGCAGAAGAGCACCATTAGGCTCATCGCCCCTCTCCACATGCAGTGCCTTTGCAACAGTCTCACGAGATAAGAATTTCGGACACACAGCAGTCAAAAAGGGGGACGGTTCCACTGGTGACTTCGATCGGGCTGTTCAGTAAAAGCATGCAAGTCACACACACGCGCACACACACACACAAGCGGTAAGCCACCAGGCCCTAAGATGTGACATGTACAGGTACAAGCACACAAACCAATCGATGATCACAATGCATGTGTGTGTGTGTGGGGGGGGGGGGGGGGGGGCAGGAAGCCTACATACCAAGACAGGAGTGTTGCCATGCCACGAGCGATTGGAACCCAGCCAGTTCTCATAGCGAGAATGCAGGGACTTCAAGTAGTCCTGGAGCAGGAAGCAACAACAGAGAATGCCGCATGCCCGGTCATAACATCTACCCGACTGAAACCAGTCCCGTGCTTGCCTAGAGTAAAATACAATGTAAATGTACATTAGTGATTCTACACAATAGAGATTGGAAGCTTAGTCACAACTCTGAGTTTCACCTATTACTACGATCATCAGGCAACTGATGGCTCCAAAACGGGCAGCCAGAACACTCTTCCAAAACGGGCAGCCAGAACACTCTTCGGACAGTGAGCAGTTGGTAGACTGAACGCCATCCAGGTCGAATCAGAACAAGTCTCTCTATCAATTGCAGAGTGAGCAGAGGGTGACTACGCTGTACATACCAAAGACACAGGGGCCTCCTCAGCCCTGGCACGCTGCAGCAGCCGCTCGTAACACGTTTCTGGAGACGTCCGTAGATAAACTGTGCAAGCACAAAATACACACACACGCGTGCGCGCAAACACACACCCACACCGAGATACACTATAGCAAAAATATCTACCAAGGGGTCGTACCAGCACAAAAGTAGCAAGGAAGTATGTGCCATATGGACGCACCCACACACATAGGCAGTGAATAGACACATGGCCAGGCAAGCAACCAGAGAGAGAGAGAGAGGGGGGTTGGGGAGCCGCCGGGAAAAGAACCTGCTTACTGCATGTAGCCTAAAATCAAGCGCCAGCCAGACATTGAACACAGCACGCGGAATCGTAGCTCACCGATGAGATCCAGCTGCGGTCGCTGCTGGGACATGATCCAATCGAACCATTCCGTGTAGCAAGCAAACTCCGTCTCATCCATGACACCGCTATCGCATGATCCAAACAAACAGCCAAGATCGACAGACATCATCACAGACAGCCAAACCTACTACAAATGCAGGGGAAAGAGAAGGCCATGGTTCCGAAATCACAGTGCCTGACCCCCAGTGTTGGGTATTCAAAGCATGTCTACGTTTATATCCACATACCAAGAAAAATCAGAAAAAATCTGGGAAAACCCGAGCTTGTGCTTCGATAACAAGAAGAACTGAAGTGCTGTCCATGAGAGAGACTGAGAACAGGAGTGTTTTCCGTGAACTTACCTGGCTCTGAGGTTCTCAACAAAGCAGTACCGTGCACTATAGACAGACCGCTCGATCACTGCCAGTGGCTTGGACTGAACAAACAACAGCGGAAAGATACGTTGTACGTTCAGAACTTTGACCCATGCACATAGCCAGATACACCAAGGTAGCAACAGCTACACAAGAGACCCAGTCTGGGAGCAACAGCGGCGTAGTAGCAGCAGCAAGGCCGGAATAGCACAACACACACACACACACCTTGGACGAGCTGCCATATTCTGGCTATGCGGAGGGGACACACACACACACTGCTCGCTCTCACCTGCTGTGAGTGGTGTACTTGTAGCATTGTCAGCAGGACGTACGACTGGAAGGTGAACGACCAGCGCTTAGGGTCTTGATACATTCGGTCCTGAAGCACATGGCAAAGCAAATACAAATCCTTCGGCTCTGGAATGAACATCTTCTTCTTTTTTGAGAAATAGAGTGTCACTGGCCAGAAAGACGGGTGATCATAGGTGAAGTACATGTACAAGTAGCCACCAAGAACACCAGAGCACTTGTACCGCTGTGACCATGGTGACATCTTCTTGATATCCTACTACAGTGTACAAGAAAGAGCACCAAAGACCAGCTGCAGTTGCCAAAGATGGAGGACACCTGTAACTTGTACAGGCGCTGTAGGACGGCCATAAATTCTTATCCTGTGTGCAAGCATATCAACACTCACGCCAGGCCTATGCTTTCCATGCAATCATGTGATTACTGCACATACGTCATGTACGTGCAGACACCACATTCGACCTGAAAAGCAGACAATGGCGCCTCCTTACCAGTATATTACTCCCGCCGAGATTTCTCCATTTCTCAACTGGTTCTGTGAGTGTCTGAGTGAGGTGAGAAGACAAACAAGAGCAAGTAGAAGGAAATGTCAAAATTAGTCAGCAACAAGTTCACTCAGCATGACGGCAAACCCCATTTACTCGGTCATATCAAGTAATCAGTGAGCTCTCTGCTGTTGGTAAACATACTGCAATAACACACGCAGGACGAGAAGCTGCTCTGTTCCCGGTGGAATACCATGACAGACCATGCTGCAGTCAACGCTAAGTTCAACGAACTCCTCGGCAAGTACCGGCAAGACGTACTATCGGCTGCGGTTCCTGACTGGGACCAACTATCTGATCAGGAGACGGAGTAGCTCTCAAATCTTAGTCTGATGAACAATCACTTTCGTGGCCTCCACATGTTGCTATCGCCGAGCAGTGTAATGCTGCCCGGCACAAGTACGAGAGCAGCCCGATGGAGGGAGAAGTTGCACAAAGAAGAGTGAAGAGGCTGCGACCATCCGTCTTATCAGGACTGCATGCAAAGCTTTTGAGCACCATGGTAGTGAGACGGCAGGCCGAGTGGTTGATCAAAGGCAACCGGTTCAATATCCTATTCTTCGATGGTGCGGGTGTAGTGCATACTATCTTCAGCAGCTCATAACGTAGTACAATGTATTGTTCTTTCGCAGAACAGCACAGGCTGATAGACTAGAGGCAGTTGCGAAAGATCCGGAAGATCAATGTTTTTAACCGCCTGTCGCGCACTAGGCATTGTTGGCAAAATTGCCAATGGGCCGCCGCTGTGGCGGTTTCTTGTATCAGCTCTCCCATTCATCGACATCTTCACAATATAAGTTACCTTCAGCTAATGCAGGGGGCAGTTTGGGTGGAGGATGCTCCAAATGTTATTGCATGGTAGCGGCAGGCCATTTCCGACGGGGGTAGATCTTACCACCAACATTGCAAGACACGCTCAAAGTGCCAGCTCCGCTTTCGAAAACATGTGATGGCACAGTAGAGCAAACAAAACCAAGCCAGCTTTGCCTTCTCTCCCTTATCGCTGCTAGTGCTACAGTAGAGACCACATCGACAACATGATCAGCACCAGCAGAGGAGGAGCTGGATGGGCAGCGGAACTACCTCAGTAAACTATGTGTTGACACTTCCTTTGCATATCTACTTGTGGAATAGTTCTCGTCTTGCAGCTTGGCCCTCAAGTAATTCCAATCGCAAGGCTTCGTCTGCTCTTCAAACGTCTTCTACACTTTGCAACCAAGAAATATAAACTACAGGGTGCTAGTCAGGAGAAATTGTAGGGGAAACAAACAGTTCACCCACTTTTCTCATGTTCCATTACTGCCTTGTCAAAATAAAATTAAAAAAATGCAATGTATGGGTGAACAGAGCGCCCGGAACGATCGATTGGTGGCTGCATTTCCACTGGGGCGCTGCGCCCCCTTGGCTAGAACTCTGAAACTCTGAACATCTTGCACAGTGCACAGTATTATTCACAACACGCGATGACGCATTGTGGAGACCGATTCAGTGCTGTGCCTTCTTTCTGGTTTGTGCAACTAGCAAGCTCGAGTAAGCTAAACTCAGGTCTTGAACCAAGGCACGGACAAGTCTCAAAAGCAAACAATAAGCACTCATCTGCAATTGGCTATCAACACATGGTCTATTTTATGTATGCAGCTGCAGCAACCAACTATTTTTATAGCATTCACCGCACTGAACAGCAGAGCATAATGTCCAAGTAACGACTTAAATGTACATGATTGTAGAGAAGTAAGAATTTCCTTTCTCCGCCTGTTGCCACATATTATCCATGCATATTCTTTCAGGCCCCTGGCCGAAGGGGTGGATAAGCGAGGGACTACTAAGTATGTAGGACGTTGCCTTTATGACTGTCGGTCCACACGGATATCGGTATGCATTCCATGCTACAGTACTACATACCTCAACGAAAGACTGCTTGTTGAAGAGTTCTAGAAGAGTCGACTTTCCGCTGGAGATATTTCCCTCTACTGCAATCTAAAAACAGGTAGCCATGCACATGACACACAGCAGCAACAATAAACGGACGGTCAGAAGTCAACTGAAAACTTTCCAGTGGGGGTTGTGCAGCGGGAGAGTTTGAGGTCCACCAACCTTGAACGAGCTCTTGGATGTTGAGGGTGAGGAGGGCGAGGACAACAGTTGTGTGTACTGGCTGCTTTTCTGTCCTGAACCTGGTGTCCGGCATTCTTGGTCTCTGCACAACATGGTTGCTGGGGGGTCTGTATCGCTACTACTAGTACTATTGTAAACTAAGACGAGAACGGCACACACGCAGCCTCCGCCAGATGATAAACAAAACCCAACAAGAACTCAAACAACAAGTGCCAGCTCTCGACTCGACTCTCGTCTCGATCGACTCATCATAATATTATACAGCTAGTGCAGGCATGCCGCATGGCATGTCCATGCTTGTCAGACTTTTGAAGTCTCCCGCCATTTCTAACCGCTGCTCCGCGCGCTTTTGGAAAATCTCGCCAAAATCACGAAATCGTGCTTCGAAATGACGTCAAGACTGCAGGGCTTCTGTGCATGCAGGGCTTCTGTGTAAAATAGAAGAGTTCATAGAGAGGTTCCGCACTACGTAAAGTTGAGCAACTTTACGTTAGTGGGCGGGAAAAACCCGTGACTTCGCGAGTTTGCACTCCACTTTCGGAAAGTTGTCTTCGGAGAGTACGTAGATAGTATAGGGCTCTGATAACGTAGCTGATCCGTTAATGGATTGGGTACAAATTTATGACTCTCTCCCCAGGTCGATCTGGTTGTACACTGCCGCGTTCGGAGTTGCCAAGGGCAGCTACGTGATTTGAAAACTCCGTATGGCGGAACCCAGATCCGCATGCAGTTTACGTAAGACTTTCCGTAGATCGACTACGTTTTTTACTAACGTAATTACGTTACGCGGAACCTCTCTATTGACAAGTCTGTACAATGTACTGTACTTCTGTAAGACTACTACTACTTGTAGTACTACAAAAATTTTAATATTTGTAGAAGTGCATTACGGGCATAGTAAACGGAGCAGGGCCAAGGAATATAGCCTACGTACGGTACCTGTACTGTGTGATCATGCGAGTCACAGGCATGGTACTTACACGGGAATACCCCCGGAGGATGCACTCTTGGTACTCCCTGGTACTGGTAGAGAGGGTCTGAACCAGGGAGTCGTAAAATATGACTCCCTGGGGTGGTTCAGACCCTCTATATTACAGTAAGTCTATTATATACGCCTCTCAGGTTTACGGGAAAACAGAGGGTTCAGTCGTCAGTACTAGTAGGGCAGACCCGAATTTGCTAGCAATTCTTCTAGCAAAATATCGAAGAATTTTGAAAGGGAATTTGCTGGCAAAGTGGAGCAAAATATCGCCGGGTGTGTTGGCTGGGAATTGGGAGATTTTACACATATACGGTGCACATGACTCATTTCGGCACGGTTTTACCAACACGTGACTCACTTTTTCTCATTTTTGCCAACACGTAACCCACTTTCGGTCAGTTTTCTCACACGTGACACAAATTTTGGAGCAAAAAGGGAGCAAAATATTGAGTGGCCTAGCAAAATGAAAGCAAAATTTCGACGATGCACGAGCAAAATTATGCCGCAAAATATCGAGATTCAGCTGGCAAATTCGGGTCAGCCCTAGTCGTCAGACCATGCTCTCTCACGTGACTCTGGCATGATTTTTACGGCTCTCTGGTCTGACCCCCTTCCCGTATACGCGATACCGGTTCTGGTTGTGGTGCATTACGGATTACGGATATGTGCAAATGTGTGCCCATGCCTACGGAAGTCTTGCTTGATAGTTTACCAAGTCATGATGATCAGTGTGCTATGCAGTCATGATACCTGGTGACGCGGCATGATTGTGACTATACCCGGTATAGGCTATATAATAAGCAAGAGAACATAACCGGCACTCTGGCTGTACGTATAATGCCGCAAACTTGCAGAATGAGCCGATGATGAGGCCGCCGCATACGAGCAATATAGGTTATACTACTGTCGTGGACATGGAAATCCGGTCGCACTTCTAGCGGCCCCAGGGCGCTGGCCATGCATGCAGCCGTGGATAAGCGGTACACACATGCATTTATGCGCTGCAGCGCTCTGGTCGCATCGAATCAACACGTGCACTGCACGCAGCGTTCTGTACGCGCTGAGAGCGCCGGCCGCGGTCAATCGACTGGATTCCATGTCCGCTACAGTAGTTAGTAGCTAGTGATCAGTCCAAGAGAAAGTTCTGCATTAGAATTCAATTTTCATGAGCCGCTGACACTGTACTGCAGCACAGTCCCGGCATAAGTAAAGAGGCATCTCCGGTCTTGCAACTTTCAAAACCATATCAGGAGCCGTGCAGCATGGTATGTCGCAGTATATCCCCACGGACCAGAGTCACAGCTGTAGCCTTGCACTCTCAGTGGCATGGCATCGGTCTCAGTACAGAACTACACGGGTCATGATCGCTGATGCACCCACAACGGCTCAGGTCTCGGCCAACTAGAATATGTGCTGAACGGTCACATGGTTCAATTGTGGACCGAGTTGAAGCCGCTCTCAAACACGGTGTTCCGATACTGTACTGGGCCAAGTGAAGCCTCGGGCCAAATCCATAGGTACGAGTATGTGTACACCAGTGAAACTGCAGTCACGGTAGCTGCCGCGACTGAATCAGCACCTCTTACTAGCAGTACGTCTGCACAGGAGAGATCAATGAATCGTGAATCAATGAGTATATTTGACCATAGAACCTGCCATAATAATTATTATGGATAATTCAAAACAATACAATAGCGTTACTTTTTAAAAGATTAACAACAGAGCAAAACTATGATGTGCACTCGGTGTACAATTCCTTTCCAAAAAAATCTTTTGGGTTCAAGCTGCCTGTCGCAGGACAACCGGGAGATTGAGTGACCTGACCACCCGTACACTGACACCACTGTGCTACTACTACACATCGTGACCGTGATGCCCGCGCCGATGTGACAGCGCGGCGGCCGCTGAGTGGCACGGATCAGTTTAGTCCGGCATCATCCATGATCCTTGCGACTGTAGTCATTCTAGCACATTGCATGTGGTCATTCATTACCTCCCGACTGTTTTTGGTGCAGAGAAAATTAAAAAAAACGTGGTAAAAGCCTGAATAAGAATAGAATAATATGGCCAGTATAGGAAAAGGACTAGAATCATCTGAGGATATCAACGGGAATTGGCAGCTATAAGTTACAAAGCGGTTGAATCAGTGCCAAGCAAATTGCACAAAGTTAGTCAAGCCAGCTCTTACAAGCTAGACGTCGTCCCCTCCACCCTCGAGAATCAGCTCAAACGAGAACGGATGAAATTTGTAGCCTTCGCCGCGATAAAACTTGTTGTTGAACTCCACCCTGCAACGAAGCCGGAGAGGAATACATGAACACATGCAACTGTGAGTGCCTTCCTAACTGACATCATTCTTTACTGACTATTTTTTCCTCCTTTTCAATCCCTCTAAAGCTGATCAGTGAACATAACACAAGCAGCAGGTACTATGACTCATTTCAACCAAGTCAGTGATAGTGAAACTTCACTGTGCCATCTTGTATGGTATGGCACAGTTTACTTCACTGTGGTGTGTAACTGCGGGCCAATGAAATTCTGGCTCATGAGTAAAGCAGTTTGTGACGTGCCCCTGCAGTACCGCCGTCCAGATACATCGTATTTGCACGTCTTGGAAAAAGAGTCATGCCTGCGTGTACCCAAGGCTGAACTGGTGGCAAGGTAACCGCCATCTCACTGGCCAGCGGTGTGTGCGGCTTGTGGCACGACTGTGAACACAGTGTGTGTTGACACAGGAATAACGTTAGTATAGCAATGCGTGTGAGTTGATGATCATGTAACTATGGCTTACCAGTGCAGACGCAGTGCATGCAGGAATGCTGACAAACCTTCCATAATCAGCAGAATGGCAATGGTCAAAACTGAACACAGAAAACATCGGCAGCAGCATACAGGGTATGTTCATTTAAACCCACCGATATGACGATTATGACGTGGTGAGTGGGCCCGGGCCACACAGTCCGGCAGCGACTCAAAAACTGTGAAATCTGGTAAGAAGCCTACCATACATCAAACGTCTGTCAAGCGGGTGTGCGTACCTGTTTTCACGTCTCTATGCCTCTTTCTGTGGACCTTCCGGGGGGGGGGGGGGGGGGGGGAGGAATAAGCGAGGGCTACTTTAGTGTAAATATTATAAAAACAACAGTCAGGCCTCGTTAGGACGAACACTGATAAGGCGAACTTTCCTTTAGTACAAACTAGGGCCAATCCTATGGTTGGCCAGGCATCATATCAAGTCAAAATTATTCGTTTACGACGAACTCCTGTACGGCGAACTTTCGTGAAGACGAACTAATTTCAAGCGTGATTCGAACAAAATCAGCATGTAGTACGAACTTTCAGTCCCAGTGGGTATGGTGGCTGTAATGTTGGTCTCTTACTTTATTCCAAACAACAACTAACTCGGAGCTCCGGAAAGCCCCGCAATATGATGCCAACAGAATGTCATGGTGTGCGTGCATGAGTACAGAGTCGGTGCGTACCGACTGTCAGCACAGGTGTGGAAAGCGGCCTATGTAAATGGATAGGAGTACAAACGGCGCTGTGTACATATATATGCGTGTGACAGTCCATATATGTATGTGTGAACACTACAGTGGCTGTAGTTTTTTTTCCGATAGTCAAGGCCTCTTGTACTGGCAAAACATGTTACAAGGCAGAGGACATGCTGTCATGAATTCATTGAACATTGTACTTACCTGTTGCTGGGTTATGTTATGAAGAAATGTTTTACATTTGCCACAGCATGCACCTTCACATAAATACAATCCACATGATATCAAGAGTCCATAAACAAGAGTATGCAACTGTGATCTCTTTTCTATGGGCCAGATGCGCGGCGTGCTGCCTTCATTACATCATTCAGCTGAAGTCTGCGCACCGCGGAAAATCAAACACCACACTTTCCCTCTGGTTTGAAATGGACTTTCGTACGGAACTGGAGTTCACGCGCGCCAGAAGTTAGAGATCGCGTAGGTACTGGAACGAATCGAGCAAAAACGGATGGGCTTGTACGAGAAATTGTAGGTTTGGGTGCATGCTTTCAGAGCGTGATGGAGGCAAGTAATGTAATGAAGGCAGCGCGCCGCGCACTGACCCATAACCACAGTTGCATACTCTTGTTTATGCACATCAATTTGTTTGTCAGATCTGGACTCCGGATAAGACAAACAAACTTGTTCGGTCCCTTGAAGTTCGTCCTAATGAGGTTTGACTGTATTTGATAATTGTGTGGTAACATGCAAGTACCAAGTATGTGGCGAAGCAGTGCGACAGGATCCGAAACACGAGCAAGAAAGTGGTGTATTCGTGTCTGTCGCAGCCATATCTTCCTAGATATGCGCCTAAAACACCTTGACGCAGACATTGCTATGACGCGGTGCTGGCAGAGCAATGCCAGTACAAGAGTACATACCTGTCCAGATGGCAAACGTGCTGAAGAGCAGGAGAGGGCCGGCCACTCGGGCAGCCGAGTCCAGTCCAATGTGAAGCATCATTTCCCACAAGACCTCAGAGAGCTCTGTACTCACAATACACACAGTGCACAAAGACAATGCCATTGACCAACATACAGAAGAACAAAATAAGAATACATTAAAAGAAACACGAGTCACATTGACTTTTAAAACTTGTGAAGACGTCATCATGAACTTATGGCGCTAACAGTGGTTGCACTGTGACACCTGTAGCTACGTCTCTGCAGTGGGTTCTAACGGCAGCTTAAAACTCATCAGTATACGCGGCCAGTTAAAGCTGGGCTGCCTCATGACCACAGCATTCCCATGTCCAGATAGCTCAGCGTTTGTAGAACGCGGGTCGTGTAGCTCCCAATGGTTCACACATGATAGCAACATTCACTGGTCACCATGACCACATTCACTGGTCGCCATGGCAACATTCACTGGTCGCAATTGGCAGAGTGCAGAAGCAATAGTTGTTGTGATCCTGTAGCTTCAAGCATGGCCAACTCACCAGCATGTGCCAGGCTGAGTGCCCAGAGACGCAGGTAGGATGCGGTGTTGGAAATGCAACCCAGGCAGAACTCAATGGTGTGGATGGCTTGGTGGATGAATATGTCACCAATGCTCTCCTCCTAAGCACAAAAGAAGTTATACATGTACAAACACAACTCAACTGATCGAAGTTAATTAACAGCACGAGATATCCCAATTGCATGTCGACACACTTAGCACTTCCGGTTGTTATGGCCAGAATATACGGTCTACATTGAAGCATAGCCGTAAATACATGGAGGAACGAGGCTTGACTAGTAACCTCGGGGTAATCACTGAATAGACGTTTGCGTCTTGAAAAGCATGTCCTTGCGCAAAACTGCAAGGAAGACGCCAACACCACTGCCTGCCTCATTGTGGCACATATACATGTACGTTACAGTTTAACACCCCCCCCCCCCTCCCGCACACACGTAGGTGCACTTGTAGCAGCTGCACTAACCTCTACGTCCTCTTCTTCTTCAGTGTTGTCATGCCGAGCCTGTTTGGAGAAGGATCCATTTTCCTCCTTATCCGCCAGTGCAGTGTACCTACGCTGTACCATTATGTTTGCGGGGAACAATAACAGAACACCATGTAGCTTAGCGCAAATAGACGTAAAAGCAGCAGTAGCAGCAGCGGCAGCAGCAACAGCAACAGCAGCAACAGCAGCAGCAGCAGCAGCAGCAACAGCAGCAACAGCAGCAGGAACAGCAACAGCAGCAGCAACAGCAGCAACAGCAGCAACAGCAGCAGCAACAGCAACAGGAACCGCAGCAGCAACAGCAGCAGGAACAGCAACAGCAGTACCAATAGGTCACTGGACAGTAAGTATACCAGCCTATAACTGAGCTGGGACCAGCTGAGCGGCACACTGTTACAGACCGCAGGAGTACTGCTAGCTGCAGCAGAAAGCAGGACTGAGAGGAAAGCCGTATTGATAAGCAGTGTGTGACTGCAGATCACATGAAGCCGGTGTGGTCCACGCAGGCAGCACTCCAGGCGGGCTTACCTTCAGGTGATTGCGTTGCATATAGACGTAGACTGGCTTTGTGAACAGCATCCAGGGCACGGCCAGGAGAGCCACCACTACCAGGAAAGATTGAATTCCAACCTACGAGGGCAAGACATTGTCAACGGGACACAACATTACATGCACACACATAATCAGTCGGGAGAAGAGGTATTGATATCAAACCCGTGATCATATACTCAAGCGCCGGCATGAGACCAGGGAAATAGTTCTGCATGACATGCTTCAGGGGCTATTATTTATCAATGAATAAAGAAAGCGAAGATCTACATTAGCCGATATACACTGGCTAATCGATATCATAATGAGACGCTTTCGGCCTGTTGCAGCAATGATGTTGCTGCAACAACAATACCACCTACTTGTTTAGAAGAGTTTACAGAGCTGCCTGGTACTGTAGCTGGATCAGCACCGCCATGTCACTAAACATTTTAAGGTAGCTCATGCCTACCGTATTATCTCTAATATAAGCACGGTCCTTTATTTTTTCAATGTACCTCCGCCCCGTGCTATTAATGGAGACGTTCCTTTATTGGAGACTGTTCCATTATTATTTCAACCTCATTTCAGAGGCATGTTGCCATGCCAAATTCATGTCAAACACACACATTTCAGGGATTTTTTCGCTGGTACAGATATTGAATTTACACAGTGTGCTTATAATGGAGACTGAGCACTTTATTTTTTGAATGCCGCCCCAAGGTGTTCTATTATTGGAGACTGTGCTTATATTAGAGATAATACGGTAAATGAATTTTCCCCAAAATTGCTCTTTGGACTGTTTTAATTCATGGGTAGGGGTGTCCTGATTGAGAAAATCAACATAATAGGGTACCTCTTTGGACACTTTGGGGGTTTAAGCGGTGTTTAAAGGTCAGCAAATGTGCGATATTTAGCGAAATATGCCAGATCTTATCACCTGGGTTGTTATGCCCTTCACCTTTATCTGCTTAATACACTTTCAAAATAAATAAGTCAGCGGCAAGACCGGGACGGCATGTGTGGGACTGAGCCTCAGAAACAAAACAATGGTACATTAGAAGATGATTTTAGCTAGATACTGGAATTTTTTCACTTCTCAGTACGGCCGATTAAAATACATTCATATCCTAATTCACTGCACGCCAATCACACTGCTTCATATCCTACACGCGTTCATGTCCTACTGTGCTCATAGCATATCAGGGCAACCTGCAATGCCCCATGTAGCCTGGGGAAGGATGCTAGCACCAGCAGCAGCAGCCAGTCTATGAGTCTCGTATGCGACCTACCTGTCCTCTGTAGAACTCCCCCTGACTATCCTTGATTTCTTTTCCAAAACTAAGGAACATGTTGATTAACATGATGAGAAGACTGGGAGCCTGCAAAACACAGAAGCAGCAACAGCAACAGCAATAGCACCATGCAGCATGCAGCAACAGCACCATGCAGCATGCAGCACCATGCAGCATGCAGCGAGTATTGTTTCACTATCATGTCATGTGGTCCCATTACCAAAAGATGAATTGCTACAGTGTGCTGCATTGTTATCTATGCGTAGTGTATGCGGAGAAGTTGAGACTGTGACCTGCATTCCGGTGTTCCATTTCCCCGATTTCCACAAACTCGAACCTGAACTCATGCTAATCGGACTTTATCGGAAACACGGAAGCTCTTGTAGCGCCATGGATTAGTGCATTGGCCTTCTAACAAAGACAATTGTGCTATAATGACTGAGGTTAAATAATATTCACAAAACAATAAACAAAAACTGATAGCGTTCAGCGGCAGCAGTTGACACCAACTTGTCAACCCTGACAACCTTCGTTGTCTTTATCTAGGGGAATGGCACCACTGGCCATGTCCATATGATCATTATGTTCATCCAGCCACACAAGACCTAACTAATAACAACCAAACCTCAGATAGCTCAGTATGCCAAGCTAGCGGTGCAGTGACTAGCTAGCCGTCATGACCAAGCTGTTATATCAGTCATGATCATGCGGCGAGGGGAGACTGTTATACTGATACTGCACACCATGTCACAGTGTGTACAATCACTTACCCCTGCTTTGTCACTGAGTGTATCTGAGTCCACTGCTAGCCATTTGAAGAAGATCATGAAGACCAGATAGCCAAATATGCAACCCAGGAACAGAACCTGCATGCCAAGCGCAAGTAATGATATTACATACCAGAAGGACACGATTCACTCTGGTCTAAGCAGGCTTTCAAGTGAACAGAAAAATGAACAAACATTTCCCGCGATTTGTGTTACTTGCACGTGAGCGGGTAGTGGCTAAGCCTAAGATACAGCCGCACAGTCTGCAACTATAGTCTAATCATACATAAGCACCTAGCAGCTAACATGTATGTGCCCCGCTTTGTTCCAATCATTGATTCACCACAATTCAAATTGATTTTAAGGCGAATAAACAATTACTGTGCAGACCAAAGGAACTCAATCTCCGAACCAGGTCAGCACATACCTGGTTGGTTTCTTTCAACCAGGAAACGAACACACACTCTCAACTAGGGCCTACGCATCTTCTCAACTGTGAGTTATTCCTATGCTGCTGACCTAGCGCAGGAACAAGCTGACTTCTGACGTCGGCTTCAGAAGTCCCGTTGGCATGGCGGCATGGCGGCAGCGATACCCCTCAACAGTGCTCACAATTGTCAATACAGCCGGCAATGTGACACCCTACAGCATTTCAAATCTGCGCAATATGTTTTGAACGTTTGACTGTCACTGACTCACCTCAGGTACAAACATACCAATGATATTGATGCGTCGGCGGAAATGTCTGAGTATAGCAAGAACAGCCAGAATGATACCAAAATACGATGCAGATGTTGATACATGATTGCTGGCGATTTGCACCACACGGGCAAAACGCTTAGCACCAATTGCTATTGAGATTGGTTATCAATTAGCATCAATTGCTATTGAGATTGGTTATCAATTAGCACCAATTGCTATTGAGATTGGTTATCAATTAGCACCAATTGCTATTGAGATTGGTTATCAATTAGCACCAATTGCTATTGAGATTGGTTATCAATTAGCACCAATTGCTATTGAGATTGGTTATCAATTAGCACCAATTGCTATTGAGATTGGTTATCAATTAGCACCAATTGCTATTGAGATTGGTTATCAATTAGCACCAATTGCTATTGAGATTGGTTATCAATTAGCACCAATTGCTATTGAGATTGGTTATCAATTAGCACCAATTGCTATTGAGATTGGTTATCAATTAGCACCAATTGCTATTGAGATTGGTTATCAATTAGCACCAATTGCTATTGAGATTGGTTATCAATTAGCATCAATTGCTATTGAGATTGGTTATCAATTAGCATCAAGTCAATACACGTTTTAAAAACTCGGATATTGAGCCAATAGTGCAATAGTATAAATTACTCGTAACGTATTGGTCCTTTCTTCTTTCTTAATCAATACACTTTACCAGTACAATGCGCCCGTGTGAGCTATCTCAAGTTTACCGCTGGGGCTGCAAATCTGACGAAAACAATGCATCTGGTGCCCGTAATAGTTTTGATAAACATGCACATGTGCAACGGACAAGTCTCTTGCTCCTTTTAACTCTCTAGCACCAAGTCAAGTTGATTCACAAGAGGTGATCATTGACTCATCACCAGATAGGAGTGACGCCGGGGAACTTACAGGTGATTGAAAAGGCCCAGGATGACACCAAACATCATCTGACTAACTCCGAGGACGATGGACATTTTCATCTTGTAGGAGTTGGTGAAAGTCAGCTTGTTACTGGCCACCTGCCAGATCTACACGGAACAAACAGAGTAATGCCAAATCGGTCTAGCAGCGATGTTGCCTGCATGCAGCCTACTCAACACAATGACACATGTACTGCGGAGAACCTGGACTGAATGCACAGCAAGTTTCTACAAATAATTACAGTTGTGCCCGGTGAAATCCGACCCACAGCGCGTACTTGGCACCCTCTACTTGCACAGCCCTTGGCGCCCTGGAAGTGGTACGCGTGTGGCTGGACGTACACATGAATCAGTACAGTGGTGTAATCAGAACAGGTCCAAGGCGTCAGTTTAGCACTTCGGGTCGGATTTCACGGTGAGCGTAATTGCACATGCACTTGACATGATAAATAGTGAAAGTGAGACCTGCAGAGGCCGCGGAAGATAGACGAGAAAAGCCATGGTTGGCACACTACTCGATGCAGTGCAAATGCACAATTGTACACCTGTAGAGTTTACCATGTGTACCGGCATATCCAGGCACACATCAATACATACCCCCCCCCCCCCCCCACACACACACACATCTATAGTCTTTACATACCCCCCCCCCCCCACACACACATACATCTGTACATACCCCCCCCCCCCCCACACACATACATCTATACATACCCCCCCCCCCCCCCACACACACACACGCACAAGCATACACATGCATGCAACCACATGCATTCGATCTGGCCCATGCACACACTCGGGTAAGCAGCGGTCGGATTCACAGGCTCTTGAGCAGTTCTCTGCCAAACATTCTGTACATCACGAGGTGCAAGGTTTGACCATGCGGATGCAAGCTTAAAACCACACTTGCCCCCGCATCGGGGGTCTGATGCTACTCGGGTCGAAATATTCCTGGAAGCAAGTCAGGAGCTGCTTAGGAAATACCCTACGTGGTACAGCACACACTGGCACATACTGGATACATTAGCGCACGTTGGCACATACTGGATCAAGACCCAACGGGTACGGATTATGGATGTCAAAGTCGCTGTGTTTTCCTTTAGAGCCCAGTCTGAGCGATAGAGTACCTCCTGGCCGCACATGCTTCAGTTCACTGCCAACATGAAACAAAGTACAATGAAAAGCAATGAGGTGAAACTTGCAAACGCACAAGATCACACTAACAGTACCCTCCCCCCCCCCCCCTCCCCCTCCCCTCTCCCCCCCCCCCCCCCCCCCCGGAACAATACATGTTGATCTGATGGGTTCTTTGGTTCGGCCACTTTGGTGGATCCGATATACTCACCTGCCACCGCTTCAGCCGCACCTGTGCCTCGATCCTTGAGGTAACGCGGTTTGGCAGTTTTTCAGTAATGACACCAAACCTCCCTGCAACATTGCTGTAGACATATTATAACAACAAAATCGCAAGTGTACGAGTGACCGGACCCTCTGTATATGCACTGGTGAATGCAGTATAATATTCTAGTAGACCATACAGTCAAACTGGCAAATATCGCCGACCCTCGATCGGGCATGAGAACAGAGTGGTTATTCACGAGTTATCGCTATTTGCGAGATTGAAAGCCTGCAGACAAAATGTAATAGCTATTTAGTCCGAAGATAGTGTCATTATTCGTAAGTTGTTGTTATCCACGACGTTGATTATTGTATACACAGCACTTACATCTTATTGACACTCCAAGACGAGCCAAAGATGTTGAATGACTTAGAGAAGCAGTCGTTGTACACCAGGCCGGTGTATATGGAGAAAAGACCCATCAACAGAATGATGTAGCGGCCACCATAGAACGTACCAAAAATCTGAATGCGATCCAGAGGGATAATAATATAATTATACATGTTGACTAGTTTGAGGGAAAGACACAAACGGGAAAAGTCTGAAGAAAACATTGACTGTTACCACCAGGACTCTTGACTGTTACCCGTGACCAGGACTTAAACCAGAATTATACATGTATACTTATTATTAAAGAGAGACTGATTATCAGAGTACAGTCGTCCCTCTCTAATCCGGCACTTGTTTATCCGGAACCCTTGCCAACCGGCGCACTTTCTGACGAAACCGATTTTTTTCGTTTAATTCCTACATCTTAATCCGGCACTTGAATTCCGCCTCCGGCAGTGACTTTTTGAAACGAATCGCTCAAACTGCACGTAGTTTGATTTCATAATCCGGCAGTCGTAAATCGCGTACCGTACAGGTGCACTCCTTGCCAGGCCAGGCTAGGCTTGTCCAGGAGACAACGGCAGTCAACCATACTTTCTTATTTATATTTAGCAAGGAGTAGTGTCCTGCCAATTTTCAGGTGTGTGTGTGTGTGTGTGTGCGTGTGTGTGCAAGAGTACATGTGAACATGTTCTCTGTTTTACTTTATCACTGTGTATATTCCCGGAGAACAATTGAGAATATAAAGCCGTGCACCAAATACTTGGGTCGACACGGAAAAACCCTGCGTTTTGACATACATGTACATATGATCCATGCATGCAATTGGGTAGGGCCGGGTCAGAGGGCAGGATTTCTTAATCCAGCACCCTCGATAATCCAGCAGAAAATGCCGTAGCAAAAGGTGCCGGATTAGAGAGGGACGACTGTATTAGTTTAAAAGAGAGAGAGAGAAAAAGAGAGAGAGAAAGAGAGAGAGAGAGAGAGAGAGAGAGAGAGAGAGAGAGAGAGAGAGAGAGAGAGAGAGAGAGAGAGAGAGAGAGAGAGAGAGAGAGAGAGAGAAAGAGAAAGAGAAAGAGAGCCTGAGAGAGAGAGAGAGTCTGTGTGAGAGAGAGAGCCTGAGAGAGAGAGAGCCTGAGAGAGAGAGAGAGAGAGATAGATAGATAGATAGATAGATAGAGAGAGAGAGAGAGAGAGAGAGAGAGAGAGAGAGAGAGAGAGAGAGAGAGAGAGAGAGAGAGAGAGAGAGAGAGAGAGAGGAGAGACAGACAGACAGACAGACAGACAGAGAGAGAGAGAGAGAGAGACAGAGAGAGAGAGACAGAGAGAGAGAGAGAGAGAGAGAGAGAGAGAGAGAGAGAGAGAGAGAGAGAGAGAGAGAGAGAGAGAGAGACAGAGAGACAGAGACAGGGAGAGACAGAGACAGAGAGAGAGACACACAGAGAGAGACAGAGAGACAGAGAGAGACAGAGAGAGAGAGAGACAGACAGAGAGAGACAGAGAGAGAGAGAGACAGACGGAAAGATAGAGGTAGACAGAAAAACAGAAAGAGAGACAGACAGAGAGAAATACAGACAGAAAGAGAAGGCAGACAGAGAGAACAGAAAATTTGACAAGTGGAGCATTGAAAATAGGGTGAGATAGGGTGTGCCATGGCCTTCTTGCAATGCATCTCACATGCCCAAGCTTCCAAATCCATTGATGTGCTCCAATTATTTTATGTAGTAGATCTCAAACACAGAGGAATGTCTGATTTAGGACAAATGCAGTGTATCAGGTTAGAAACACAGCTAGGAACACGAGTGATAATATGAACGCTTACCTCCCCTCCCTTCAATGTCGCCAGCTTCTTCTCATTCAGAACGAGAACGAGTGCAAAGAGAAGCATCATGAGGCCATGTCCACAGTCGCCAAACATCACAGCAAACAAGAACGGGAAGGTGATGATGGAAAACGGAGCTGAAACATACCACCAGATGACACACGCACAACAACACGCCACGGTAGAGTGTACATAACGTTACGAGTACGATACCAGGACAGAGCAAGGATGATGGAGAGTAGATGTTGTAGTTGTGCAATGCCGTGTGTATGCTGGCAAATGCAGTGCACAAGGGAGCAGATGTCACAAGACAACACAGTGTGCTGTGCACCCAGTCCTACCAGGATTGACTTCGCGATACGTAGCAACGCCGTACGCATCTATGATGTTCTGAAAACCGGCGGTGAACTTGTTGACCTTGTTGTAAGTCGGCGGATTCATGCTACTTGTCATCACGTTTAGGATGGGCATCACGGACGAGCCACTAGATGCCTGTCAAACAACATGAGGCAGAGGACAAATGTGTGTTGGGCTGCAACACGTCTCCCATCAGTCAAAGAATAATAAGGGACTGGTAGTTTATAGTAATATTACGAACGGCCAAACTGTATGAGTATAATTATACTGATACTTTCCCACTAGTTTGAGGGAAAGACGCAAACGGGAAAAGTCTGAAGAAGAAAAAAATTGACTGTCACCACCAGGACTCGAACCAGGGATCCTCGCTTGTAGCCAGCGATGCTCTAACCACTGAGCTATGGTGTAGCCGTCATCCCAGAAGAGACAGTTCAACATTTTCAACATTTTCTTCACTCTTTCCTCAAATAAAAAGTTTAGAAATTTCTCCTCGTGCCAATTCCTCGGCTCCCAAACAAAAACGCACCGGTATCCTAGCCATTGGCTGGATCCTTTTCCAGACTATATCTTTTCCAGACTATATCTTTTCCAGCCTATATCTTTTCCAGACAATATCTTTTCCAGACAATATCTTTTCCGGGACTATATCTTTTCCAGACTATATCTTTTCCGGACAATATCTTTTCCAGACTATATCTTTTCCAGACTATATCTTTTCTGGACTATATCTTTTCCAGACTATATCAACAGTTTGCAACACTGGTGAGTACTTTCAAAACACACCACCCCCGATTGCAAAATTCCATTCAGAAAATGCCGTTATTTACAGACTGTTCCTAAGCAGATGTGCATCCTCCTGAGTTTACATCTACTAATATACTAATATACCACACGAAGCAATGAATTGCACACTCAGAAAAACACACTTCCACATCCACCAACCCCTCCCGTCATTATCCTCGTCAGAAGCCACACAAAACACAGAGCGACGAGGCGAACAACTCACGAATCCTCGCCGAAGAGCCGCCCGGATACTTTCCAGATCGGCCACCGGACACCAGCACTCGCCAATGAGACACTTGTGCGTCACGTCCACGTTCAGCATGTTCAGTGTGTGGTAGATGGCTTTGATCTTCTTCACCTGCATGATCATAGCGTTAGTGTACCACAAATAACGTCACAACACGGGCCGTGGCCGGCAGCAATTGTGAGGCCGGCGGAAATTCATGGGTTTTCGGGGTAGGGTTTGACGGCGTGCGAGCGTCCAAAAATCCTTCTGCCCCGTCATGTTGACCTCTCCCGAAAAAGGCATTCATTTTAACAAGCCTCCAAATCAGTGCTTACAGCCCACACAGCAAACAATTTGTCCTAGACTTGTGAAGTAGGAAACTGAATATTACGATAAAGAAGAAAGGACAAAGGTTTACTAGTTACCCGTAGTGGCTGGCAACACTGGCAATTAAAAAGCATGATATATTGATGAGTCATTACGTGCAACAGTTAGCACAAGGACTGCTGTGTTTGTTTGTTTGTTTGTGTTTATTTTTTTGTGGTATTGACATTCAGCGACCTGACCTTTAGCTCCATCACGTCTCGAATAAGCATATCGCATTGATAAGTCCGGGGGCTGTTGACACTGGCGGGGAGGGGGGGGGGGGGGGGGCATGCTCTGTTCTCTGTGCTGAGTGACCTGTGCGCTGGGCTGGAAAGCAAGAGCACACGCAGATCTGACTTTGGTATGCGGTATGCATATGTTCATAGCATTGCTACCGGCCTTGTTACTGGCCTTGCTACCGGCCTTGCTACTGGCCTTGCTACCGGCCTTGCTACCGGCCTTACTACTGGCCTTCCTGCCGGCCTTGTTACTGGCCTTGCTACCGGCCTTGCTACCGGCCTTGCTACCGGCCTTACTACTGGCCTTGCTACTGGCCTTGCTACTGGCCTTGCTACCGGCCTTACTTACATTATTTGCCCAGTCCTTGATGTCCTTCGCCATGCCTTGCAGAACACGATACCGATGATCCGTCGTCTGGATTAGCACGACACCGAGATCCTCGATACGCGTGGAAACACCCATTGCCATCTCACGGCGCTCTGCTGTAGTCTCTGGACAAGGATACTGAGTGGCTTGGAAGCTGCATGGCAAATGCAACAGATACAGCAATTGACCACGTGTTCCTTTTCTGAGCAACACAAATGCCAGCTGAGCATATCGCTTTTTGCACAGCAAAATCTGGCATGGGCCATATTTACGATGCGGCACGTGGCCCTTTAGTGGTCAGCTATGCGCTATGAGTCATAGTAGATCTACATACATAATAGGTGTTTTCTTGTACTTCATCGAAGTTTTGCAGTACTGCGAAGTACTGCAAGAGTGCCTAACCACTTTGACCCCTCCCTGGCTGTGTTTTAGCAGCGGGACGGGTGAGCGAGTCCTGTCAGCAGGTTAAACAACACATATCAATCCTCATTTTCACCTTCGATTAACAGCAAGATCCACATCAGGATTGTAGGTGTATGATCCTAGTACATTAAGGTCCATGCACTATAGGACTTTGGTTCCAATCGACCATGCAATTTTTCCTCTATCTGTCTGTACATGAATTTTGGGAATAAGTACAGTCATGTAGCTTCTGCACTTACCCCTCGCAGATCTTCTTGACTCGCGACCTCAGCTGCTCGCCCTGGAAGAAGAGAATGAACACGTTCTTGTACATCGCAGCCCCCTGTCATGTGGACAAGAACACAACACGCACACACGCGCGCACACACACACACGCGCGCACACACGCACACACACACACACACACACACACACACACACGCACACACACACACACACACACACACACACACACACACACACACACACACACACATACAGAGGAACACCGGTCAGAGCACATGTCACATGCTACGCACTTGCATAGCAGACTAGCACAGAACATGTACTAGTAATTGGAAGCCGGAACGCCATTGTGATGCAATGGGTACCACAGCATTTCCCTCAAAACCCCTTGTGCGGCACCACTCAGATGCTGTACAGCCCACTCACGTACAGCAGAGGGCTGCCAGGCAGAAGTGCGCCCCTGCCCTTACCGTCACGGGATCTTTCAGCTCACAGTCAATCTCTTCATGGCGTAGAAAGACGTTTCCCCGACATGCGCGCCACAGTACTCGCTCAAACGCAACAATACGGGTCCGGCTAACCACGCCAGCAACAAACCTGCAGGGAAGCCAGGGAGCAACGTCCAGAAAACACTCAGATTTATCCAGATTCACAATGATTTATAATAGAACTCATGTGGTAAACTGCATACACAATGGAGGTCGAGATAATGTGATACTAGCACTGATGTATCTAACGAGTGAACTAGCAAAGCACAGATCAATCCAAGCCGCACGATAATTACAACTTGCATGCCTATAAATCGTGTAGGTCATGTGCACTGTTCTCGGCACAGTACATGCGCTATACTGCAGAGTACATGTACTATGCTGCAGAGTGCATGGGACACACGGTGTACTGCAGAGTGCATGGGACACACGGTGCACTGCGGCATAGCTAATAACCCAATATAGTACGGCACACTTACGATAGTGGACTGCTTCCAGGCCGATAGTCATCCAGGAGCTCTGTGCAGGGAAGGAAAAAACCCCATCCAAAGAGCACACGTCTCGGCATTACGTGAAGACGGCGTAGCACTTCTTTGATCATCATGCAGCTAGTGAGTGCTTGTGTGATTTGCGTGATGCACTCATTAATCTGACAGCTCCGGCCGGAGATGTGCAACCCGGGCACTAAGGAGGCTGGGATGTACAATGTACAGTGAATGTGCTAGAGGCTTTTTGTGAATTCATAAGATCAGGTTTCACCCTACTGCCGCGGCTGTACTTGACAATCTTCCTCTTTGTCTACTTTGGTGGTGACGGTTCAAGTGCATACGGCTACTTGCATTACTCCAGGAATTCAGATTCCCTCATACCCGGGACCTCAAGAATCCAGTGATTCAAGGACACAGGTAAGTTAAGTTCCTGCCACAGACTGAACAGTAATGGCTCACTCTAAGCTCAAGGTTATGCTGCAGAGATGCAGCCCACAGCGTGATGACATAAAAGGTCGATTTTCATTACCCTGTAGCAATTACACGTGGACAAGTCAGCAATGTGTGGACGAGTCATTATTTTGTCAGAAGAAAGACAAAAGCTAGCTCACTTTTTTGTTCATCTCTCTGTGGCTGCTCTCTTCCATACCGGAGAAGTGATGCGGCCTGCAACAATAACAACACACCGATGTAGAGAAGACAAACATGATGTGTATAGGCCCCACAGGAGGGTAGGTAGGCAGTAGGTACAGGTATGATAAGGTAGGCAGGTAGGTAGGTAAGTAGGTAGGTAGGTGGGTACTAGGTAGGTAGGTACTAAGTAGGTAGGCGGGTGGGTACTAAGTAGGTCACTCAGGTAGGTAGGTGCTAAGTAGGTAGGTGCTAAGTAGGTAGGTGCTAAGTAGGTAGGTGCTAAGTAGGTAGGTGCTAAGTAGGTAGGTGGGTACTAGGTAGGTAGGTGGGTGGGTACTAGGTAGGTAGGTAGGTGGGTACTAGGTAGGTCACTCAGGTAGGTAGGTACTAAGTAGGTAGGTAGGTACAGGGAGAGAGAGGGAGAGAGGGAGGGAGAGGGAGGGAGAAAGAGAGAGAGATAAAGAGAGAGAGAGATAAAGAAAGAGAGATAAAGAGAGAGAGAGAGAGAGAGAGAGAGAGAGAGAGAGAGAGAGAGAGAGAGAGAGAGAGAGAGAGAGAGAGAGAGAGAGAACATCCCTGGCAGACTTCAAACCCGCGACAAATAGTTCCAACTTGAAACTAAAGCTACAGTACAAGTGAGCCCCTCCTCCTCCCCCCCCCCCCCCCAAAACAAACACACACAAGCAACATTGAGGAACACATGGTCGATTGCACTTACCTCATCAAAGAAATATGTAGTTTGCCTGAGCATGTGCTTCAATTCAGTGAGCTCAAGGAAGTTACGCTTTAGCCGCTCATGATTGGTATTGATCTCACAGATTTCTGCCTCAAGCTTCCCAAACTTGCTCTTTAGTAAAAGGAGAGAGAAAAAAAGAACACTAGATGTACTTGGCAGGTACACCGGCTCAAATCATCTCTCTCATCTATTTTCCACTACTTGCCACTAGTCATACAGTAAAACCTGTGTTTGCCGGGCCCATGTGCCAAGCGGAATCCTGCTGTATCGACCGGATAAATTGCCATGCACCAAAGTGCTGTTGATCGAATGTGCATACCCGGGTCAAGCAGAATCCTGTCCTATCAGGGCAGTTTTCGCTGCACCAAGGGCGTCATCCGGTTAGAGCAGGTTTTTACTGTATTATCCTGGATCTCTAAGTTTCCTCCATGACCGTGAATCTCCAATACACAGTCACACATTGTATCAGTGTTATAATGGGCATGTAAGTCACAGCATTGGACACACGGCACACACACACACACACACACACACACACACACACACACACACACAAACACACACACACATGCATGCATGCATTCAGTACATACCACCACCTCCATTGCAGGTGTGAGCATACATGCACTATCACTATGGCCACTATCATGGTCTACTCCAGTACTTACTTCAAGCTCCATCATGTCACTAGGCGGTGGTGCTTCCGGGTTGTTTCCCTTGTCCAGGACCGGGATGCCCGCACCAGAAGCTTCATTCTCCAAGAAACCTGCATTGGAATGGAAAGGATAGATTTTCTCTCGCACCGCAATGCACAATCCTATTGCCATACAACCTGACTGCACTACCATAGGCCCGGGACACTAAATGAAGTGGTGGCTAAAACGTCAAGACTCGTCCTTCATGCACGTCATGACTTGACTTATGAGCCATTTTAGGTACTGAGTGAAATATGGACTGTGACACCAACATCATTAGCAACAGCAGCAGCAACAGCAGCAGCAGCAGTAGCAGCATTAGCACTAGCACCACCACCACCAGCAGCAGTAGCAGCAACAGCAGCAGCAGCAGCACCACCAGCAGTAGCCGCAGTAGCAGCAGCAGCAGCACCACCACCACCACCACCAACAGTAGCAACAGCAGCAGCAGCAGCCATTGCCGGTGCCAGGAAGCAAGCTCTTGCTACTCACGAAGTTTGCGCTCCATCTCATCGCAGCGTCGTACTTCGCTGACATACTTGCGATGGAAAGCACTCACTTCTGGATTGAGCTAAGATATAGTACATCAACGCCAGTCGCAAAGTAATTGCGCACGCCGGTTAATATAACATCCACACAAACAGGGATCACATAGGAGCAAACTATAGTTCCCTTTCCAAGCTTGTTTGACCCCCAGAAGAGAGGGCAGTAAACGCGACAGGAAATGCTTTTCAATGTTGATACTGGAAACTCTCTGTAAATCCGACCTTCCATCAGTGCGCAATAGGATAGTTTGATGGTCCCAGGATGTCACGGTTCGGAGATAAAGTGCCACGGTTGCATGACCAAAGCACAGTGCTAGGAGTACCTGTAACTGTACCCTCGAGGGAGAATGATGTAATCGAGAGAACATGGTGACGCTTTGAGGAGAGCTTCTTTGCGTGTGCACGATAATCAACCAGTTGCATGAGCGTACGTGATTGCACTTGCAGGATACTGATCTCCAGCAAAACGGTCTAAGGGATGATGTTATGGTGCTTTGCACAAATGGGATATTGAAAACTTTAAAGGAATGTAACCAATTTTGAACTCTAAATCCGAATCATGGGCATAACAAATTTCACAGTGCAAATCATAACAGCCACAAACTGGCAAATTCAGACATACCGATACCAATACATCCTTTATACTGAATGAGTCAGACTTACATCTCGGAACTGCACAAGGCCCTGTGATAAAACACATGCACATACACACACACACACACACACACATACACACACACACACACACACACACACACACACACACACACATACACACACACACACGTATACACACATACACTGTACATACAATATTTGCTGGAGTACAGTGCGCAATTTAGATGCGCTATTTCAGGCCCCAAATCCCAGGTGCGTGCTATGCTCCGGATATGAAAAAGCATGCACTTCATAAAAGTAGTGCAATGTATCAAACGGTTGCGAAGTTTGCCACCTATGAGTCTCTGACCCGGCACAAGCCATATCCAGTATGCATGCATTTGTGGCGTCTTCTGCCAGCTACACTGCAAATGCGAGATGGATACAAGACCCCATTATAATAGGTAGCATGTGCATTATACAGATGCAGTGACGGTACTGTACATCTTTTTAAATTTTATGATAATTTTGTCAATGGTCGCACTATAATACTGTCTTTATAATCCATAATTTTCTGAAATCTAGGCTGCGTGTCAAACTCCGGATACACATTGAATTGCCCAAACATTGGTAAGGGGGGGGGGGGGGGGTGCGCACTATGCTCAGGTGCGGGTTATACTCCGGCAAATACGGTGCATACATACATACATACATACACAGAAACAAATACATACACAAGCCTCCGTCTCCTACAAGTTCCGTTTGGTGGGAGCACATGCAACCAGTAAGTGGTCGCTGGGTAGTACACCTGTAAATAGATTGCCATAGCAACATTTTGGCCAGAGAAATGTCCCCTCTCGCATAAGCATGACGGCATCAGCTGCAAAAGTACTAGTATGCATTTTCATCATTACCCACCCAAATGTGATCAAGAGTACATAACCCCCAAGAGTAAGACATTTCCTTTACCTGCATATCCCTCAGAGCAAGAGTACATAACCCCCTAGAGTGGGCAACGCCTGATCCAGCTCTGCATAGGGTCTAGGTCGAGCGGAATCGGATCTTCTGATGTCATGCGTACACTCCACACCAGCACAAGGCCGGTCTCGAGGCAGGGCACCGTTGTTTCTGATCCGAGAGTACCCGCGACTCCCCGGGTTCCCCTCAGATGTGTACGGTATTATGACGCAAAGATCCGATTACGCTCGACCAAGACCCTATGCAGAGCTGGATCAGGCGTTGCACACTCTGGGGGTTATGTACTCTTGCTCAGAGTCATTACATATTGGTTACATGTTCACAACTTGAATTGAGAATTTGACCATACGGTTAGAGGAGAAGGCAGAAAAGGCTGTTCCTGGAACGCAACCAGTTCATTACGTTACATTTTACTTATGCTGAACTTATCCTAATAGTTCTTTCTATCCAGCAAATTATTTATATCCATGATACAAACTTACATTGTATATTCATGCTGTGTGCACTCATGTACAAGTATTGTTATGACTTCTATTCAAACCGTCTACATGTATACGTCCAAGATGTTGTGAAGGGCAGAGAAGACAGGTTGCATGCACGTTCAGTATGACTGGTGAGGAAACACATACCAATTCGCCCAGCTCGCTAACGCAATAGTACGCAGAATCCGCTTGCAGATATAGCTGGGCTAGGGTCATCTCCTCGGAGCGGAATAGCGACCCCATCTTTGAAGCTGCTTTATCCGGCCTCACTTGGCTCCCCAACAGTCGCACGACATGAGGGAAGATTACAATAGCATCAACGACTCGCGGCAACACCACACGATCAACGTCTTTGTTTCCCAAATACCGCTACTGACACTCGGAGGCAACTTCTTGCTTTAACCCTTTATGGGTCTCACATAAGCGAAAGGGTCGTATGTGACCCTTACAGTAAAATCGCATTTTCTGTGAGTTTTGTTGCTAGGAGACAACTAAAATGGTGCTCCACGCGTAGCTGAGGTCCAAAGCTTTCCAACGGTGTAAAAAACAACCATACTTACCATACAATTTTTTGCAGTAGCGATCGGCTGAAGTCTGGTGAAATTGGAAAAGACGACCATCCGCCATGCGCGCATTTCGAGAATGGGAGTGCATCTCTTGAGGCCGTGTCAGAAAAGCTTTCTGAGGACACTGACGGCACCAGCCTAGGCTGGATGTCCCTGGAGAATTTCCAGTGTAATGTGGTGAGAAAGAGAGCTCCGTTGAGTCCTCCTAGCTCAAATAAATCGTCCCTGAATGAAGAAATCAAATTTACCAACCAGCGAGGAAGCACAGCAACAGCAAATCTTACAAGGACTTGTCAGGTGCGATCAGCTGATTCGCCTGGCCGTGAGAATCACGGCATGCGTGACATCGCGCCTGAGTACTCATCTGAGCGAGAGTGAATCTGACGCGAGCGGCGATGAGGTGAACGAACCAAAATTGTGATATTGTGGAACTGTTGCTGCTGGTGCATCGCCGATGGCTAGGTATTGGAGTTCATGGACGGAATTAGGAGCATATATTCTTCCCAAAAGACGTAGCGCTTACCTGATTGTTTATCATAGGACTTCAGCTCCATCATGAACTTGGTATGCACTTCGTGCTGTGATTTTTGTGCTTTTTGTTCGCAATTGTATTTTCTCTCAACTTGAAGGGCTACCACGGGTCATACCCTTGCCTGGACATGGTCATATTTGTGTTTTCTGGACTCGTCCAGGCATACCGATTTAGAAAATATATGGTTTACCCATACCTACAACTAACAGAACTTGAGTTATGGCTGGTTGTTTGTACGCGTGTTTGCGTGACCACCCCTCACATACATTGAGTAAGACCCACAAAGGGTTAATCTTGTTTTGTTTTGAGACAAAGTCATGTCGAATGTAGTGTGCATGCACGTAGACTACTACGCGACGTCATCTACGTGTAACGACGTAGATCTACAACGCACAAGTACAGTACGTACCGCGTACCGGTACGGTATCATGGGTATGTACGTAGCAACAACAATAATTTTGCTAAAAAGTATTTTTAGCTGCAAATAATAAAAATTTGCCGGGAGAACTTCAAAATAATTCAAAAAATTATTGCAGTCTGCCATGTGCACACTGACAGTCTGTACTGTCTGTAGATCTACCAGTACGTTCGTTCAGTATTATCAAGAGTCCATAACCCCCCGGACTCTTGGTATTATATTATGATCATGTACTTTCATTTTTGCTTTTCGTTTGCCAAAATGTTGAACAACAGATACTGTTACTTTGAAGGAGTCGTGTAGTTGCGGATATTGAGGATATGATTGGTGTCAAGTGACATGTTCCCTTCGGCTCAGCATTGCGGTGGTTGTGCGTCGTCCACAGCCACTCTAAAGTTTGTCTCATGTTTGCACGCACTGTGTGTGCCGTGTTTGCAGAACAACTTGGGATTTGATGGTACCATAAAATGTCCGCAATGCTTTTTCGCTACGCCACTGCCTGTTGGTGTGGAGCCACTACGATCGCTACCAAACGTCGTTTCAGCAAGCGTTGTAGGGTCAGAACTGGGTCAACTTCAAAGTGACGGCTTGCTCGCCTGTGACGAGTGCTGGGATGAAACTCCAGCAACGTCGGTATGTGTTTGTGGCGTGAAGTTTTGTGATGATCACGCAGCTATCCACCCGAGATCGAAATCAGGGAAAGGCCACACCGTTACGTCACTGTCTGCGTCCGACATTGAGTCATCCAGCAGCGGCAGTAGCCGCAGTAGGATCGTGCCGCATAGATGTGTAATACACACGAGTGACGTGTTGAAGCAGTTTTGCTGGGATTGCAATCAGCTGCTGTGTGCGCAGTGCTGCACGCGCATGAGACCATGCGGACACGAAGAACACGAGGTGGTGGATATTGCAAGCGCGGCGCAGACCGCTCGCGATATGCTTTCCACAAAGCTGAGCAGTTGTACGGCAGAATGTGGTGGTGTGGTCAGCAGTGCCATAGAGACTGTGGAGGAAAGTATTCGGACGGCACACAGCCAAACAGAGCGGGCTTCGGAGAAGGTGATTGCCTTCTTTGAGCCATTGGCGGAAGCGTTGAAGAAACAGGAGGAAGCTCTTCTAGCCAAGCTGGATCGGCTGAGATCGAAGAAATTGGAACCGCTTGAAAAGCAACTTTGTGAACTTAAGGCGTGTGCCTCGAAAGGAGAAAATGCTGCAAACATCCTGCAGTCATTTCAGGATGATGTTGAGCTACTCCGTGTGTGGTCATGGGTGCAAACGTCTATTAACGAAACCAGGCAAACTGCTAACGCCAAGAAGAAGCCATGTGTTTCTAGTGGCATTGTTTTTGGCCCCACTGACTACAAGCAGCTACTTGGTGGCATCAGGAAGGCGGGAACAGTGCGGGATATTGCCGAAAGTACTTTGAAGTGCCCTCGCTATGCCAGTGTCCATGGCCAGTGGAGGATATCTATCGATTTATCAGATGGCGGTGTTCCCAGCACTGTGGAGCAAGAACAACTGGACAACATCGGGCTGGAGATATCAATATCTAACTACAGTAAGAGCACATCCAGTGCATCTACACGCACCCCGGTTGCTCCAGGTCCTGGGTGCGTACGGACTGCAAACAACCCTGTGCAGACGCCGGGTCACTATCGCATTTCAGCCAAGATTGGCGGTGTCGACCTGAAGGGTAGTCCGCACGACCTGGCGCTGCTGACAACTCAGACGTTTGATGATGCAGGACGATGTAGCAGTGACCTGGGGATCAGCAACGAGGGCCGCTCATTGGCCATCACTGGCACTGCCAGTCGCTGGGCATCAGGGTGCACCGCACCTATGATAGCTGAGACAGGCACCAGTACACTGAAGGTGAAGATCAATAAGACGCGTAGTGGCAACATCTTTCTCTCCGCATGTTCATCTAGTTCACCCAACCTTGCAGGGTACCAGCAGGACACGGCGCAGTGTTTTGGTTGGTTTGGCCTCAAGGCTGAAGGCCACCACACTGGAAAAGGCCTTGGCCAACCCTGGCAAAGTGGGGATGTTATTCGACTGACTGTTGACCATGATCGCCACACTCTCATAGGAAAACATGAGAGAACGGGAGTTTCGGAAATGATCACGAATGTCACTACCAAACTATATTGGATTGCTGCACTTGCTGAGCGCTCTGACAAGATCACTCTGATGTGAGATGCTTGATTGTATCAAAATGCAGCCAAAATGCAGCCATGCCACTCATTTGCAGTAATACTCACCACCGGAGACTCTCGCCTGTTTTACTGCCTTCTTTGGAAGTTTTCGCTGAGTTACGGCTGTAGTAGGCTAATGCCAGCAGGCTATGCATGCGTTTCCTTGCGCAAGGTTGCACTACTTAGTCAAATGAGAGTCAATCATCTCTTGCGTGGATGTCCACCTTAAGCCACGGCAAGTTCCTCCTTGTCGCTGCGCGGATATCATTTCTGGATTTCACTTGGAAAATGATGTCTGCCGATGTTCATTTTGCATAATATGGAGTGAGTAATGAGGGACCATACATGTACATGTAGTGTTCTGCACAATATCCCCAGGACGTTCCGGCATATTGTCATGGACACCCTCCGTGTGACAATCAATACATTGTATTCTCGGAGTGCTGCTACAGCGATATGCCAAACTTTAGCGTCAGGCTGGGTACACTCATATCATCACGGTTCACGTTGAGCAAGTTTTCATCTTTTTTAAGCAAAACAAACCAAAAACCTGGTGCAGCGCACTTTGAGTTTGACGGGTGTAGAACTACACAGTACTCTGAGAGAGAATCAGGTTCTGCTCTTCTGCCGTGCTCTTTATTTTCCACTTGTTTTCTATACATCTCCTATGTTTATGACTAGTTTTGAGGCACTTTTTTGTTTTAGAAAGGGAGCAGGTGAGTTTGTTTCTCCCCGTTCCTAATTTCAAGTGACAAGAAACAACAAATTTAACCACTAATAATTATGCCTCTGCAAAAGGAGCCTGCTAGGACGGTACTAACACCTGCTGAATGCCATTCATGCAACGAGGCATTCACTCTTGAAGTAACAGAATCTATTTGCCTTTGGCACATGTGCACCACTGGTTTCCACGTGCGCCAGAACCAAGTAGACACATTGTTCAAATACTTACAAACAGTAGAGTGCTGCAGTTTGCCTTACATGTACATGTGCGCCAGAGATTCGTCTGTGTACGACTCCGTCATGTAAAGACACGTGTGCTAGTACCTGGCACTTGCATTGTACATCTGTGCATACCCCTGGGTGTTCAATGGAGGTCTGCATTTCGCCAGTGCCTAGTGATGTTGTTGTCTTGTTTACGCATGTCCATGTCTTGTGCTACGAACTCAGCCGCAGCGAATCAGACTGCCAGCGATTCAACTACCTGCACAACCCAGCTCAGCTCAGTCATCCGTAATAATCACGACATAGGCAATTGGGCGCGAGTTGTTACTAAAAGTAATTTGAGTTATCACATTGACTTCACACTCTGCTATCAATATCAGTAAGTGACGTTATGTGCCTGCACATCGAACGTAGCAATTTGAGCCAGCAAAGACATGCGCCAGGTGGTCCGACAATTCCTGACAGAACCAACACCGGTACGGAGAGTGCTGCTAGGCTAGGAAAAGTCAGAATCGGGCTAGGTGCTTCTGAAGTACACGCACTCGAGGCCAATGCAAACCCAACAGCAAAAAGAACCTAGAATACCTTTGCATATAAAATTAATGGCATGTCACCAATAGCATGTGATGTTTTTTTTTGAAGGCAATCAGTGTAAGAATCCACCAGTGCAGCGCAGCTTAGTAGAGCACTGGCGCCAGCGATTCACCGCAGTAACAGAGCTAAGAAAAGCTTGACAGAGAAATATTTAATTTAGAAAGCAAGATAGACTATGGAACATTGGGAAGAGTAGTAAGTTAGTCTAGCGACTAAGAACTCATACTCATAGCCAAGAAGTGTGAACACACGTATACATGGAGTCGGCTAGGAAACAATACGACATGGCATCAGTATGCACATTTGAACAAACGTGGAATAGTGGAAGGCGGGAAAGGATCACATCACCAACTCCAGTCTGTGGACGCCGCCACGCCTAGAAGTCGTCACTGCCGTCCAGTATCAAGGCAAAGGAAAACGGCTGGAACTTGTAGCCCTCACCAACGTAGAACTTGTTGTTGAACTCGACCCTGCAAGGTGAGAGATTCGCAACAGAACAATCATCACACCATGAACATGAACAGGATGAGAACACTGAGCTTGATGAGAATTCGGAAACATGCTGCACAGCGTCATGTTTACCAGCCACAAGGGTTTTAACACTAGCCAAATCAAAAACTTAAATAAATCCATGAAAGGTTGAGTGGCAACTTCAGAACTGATATCCATCACACTCTGAGCACATACATACGAGGTTTTATTCCATTCCGAGAACTAAAGTATACTATACTGCACAACTCCAAACCCCATCAGTGCATTGCCCTGTCATACCAGTGAAGACGTAGAGCGTGCAAGAATGCAGACAGTCCCTCCATCACCAACAGGATCGCAACCGTCTCAGCTGTACACGTAGTCACACAGAAACAATGCACATCACGGTCATACATACATACATACATACATACATACACAAAGTCATCATGATGAGATCTCACACCGGAAAAGAACCTTTTACAAAAGAATTGTAAGCCTGATGAGATCTAGCAATTTTCTACTGCATACCGGTAAATACTGAATCCGGACCAGACCTGCATGAACATGCACTGCAATCAGACTTCTTATGAAGCAAATTTCAGGACTCTAAAGAGCTTTTGGGTGGAACTGACTTTTCCGCACCCATGATAGGTGCACCATCATACCGGCTCAAGGATCACAGTGGCAGGATACAGTTCCCATTGACATTACGCTCTTCTCATTCTAAAACAGTCTTGCCTGAAAACTGCCACACGCGAGACAAAATTCATACGTCAGGTGTATGACTCTGGATCGCTTACCAGCCCACATAGCAAAGATAGCGAAGACGGCAATGAGGCCAACACCGCCAGTTTGTTTCGTGGCTATTCGCATGCCCATGTTCCACAGCACTTCAGACAACTCTGCAAGGCAACAACCAGCAACAGAACGACGGCAGAAAAATATTGAATAAATTCCTGCAAAGAAAGTACATGTACATGTAACTTGCTACATACCGTGTGTACACATTATTCCTGAGCCGCATATGCCGGGCTACAAGCTGCGGATAAAAACCCGAACTGTCTTACTTCAATATAAACTCTTTCCAGGGTATACGAGTCCAATACAGCGCCTGTAAATCCACCAATGTTTGACCTCTGAAATTAAAAAAAATCATCAAGTCAGCCCCTTTTTGGTATTGTCCTTTTGCTTAAAACACACAAACACACTCACCCGCATGGGCCAGACTGAGAGCCCAGAGACGCAGGTAGGATGCGGTGTTGGAAATGCAGCCCAGGCAGAACTCAATGGTGTGGATGCCCTGGTGCACGAACACATCGCCGGTGCTGGCTTCCTCCTCGTGGCTGTGCTCAGTGTGCTGCACGGCTTGTGCACCATCTTCCTGCACTGAACCACCACCCTCTTCGTCCTCTGAAAATACTGTGTAGGTAGACTGCACATGTGAGCAGAATCCAAACACACGTAGATATGCACATGTGAGCAGAATCCAAACACACGTAGACATGCACATGTGAGCAGAATCCAAACACGCGTAGATATGCACATGTGAGCAGAATCCAAACACACGTAGATATGCACATGTGAGCAGAATCCAAACACACGTAGATATGCACATGTGAGCAGAATCCAAACACACTCAGATATGCACATGTGAGCAGAATCCAAACACACGTAGATATGCACATGTGAGCAGAATCCAAACACACGTAGATATGCACATGTGAGCAGAATCCAAACACACGTAGATATGCACATGTGAGCAGAATCCAAACACACGTAGATATGCACATGTGAGCAGAATCCAAGCACACTCAGATATGCACATGTGAGCAGAATCCAAACACACGTAGATATGCACATGTGAGCAGAATCCAAACACACGTAGATATGCACATGTGAGCAGAATCCAAACACACTCAGATATGCACATGTGAGCAGAATCCAAACACACGTAGATATGCACATGTGAGCAGAATCCAAACACACGTAGATATGCACATGTGAGCAGAATCCAAACACACGTAGATATGCACATGTGAGCAGAATCCAAACACACGTAGATATGCACATGTGAGCAGAATCCAAACACACGTAGGTATGCACATATGCACATGTGAGCAGAAAAATCCACGCGTAGATATGCACATGTGAGCAGAAAAATCCACGCGTAGATATGCACATGTGAGCAGAAAAATCCACACGTAGATATGCACATGTGAGCAGAAAAATCCACACATTAACATGCACATGTGAGCAGAAAAATACACACATTAACATGCACATGTGAGGAGGCACCAAGCACACCATAAACATGCACATGTCAGGATGCACCAAACACATAATATAGATATCATAAGAGCACTGAAGCACATGTCAAGGTACAGCCTCAAATACCCATACTCTTTGGGTGTTTTCAGTTTTTAAACAAAACTGAAGTATATTCTGGCTAAAAACAAAGCTGACGTATATGTCTGGCATGGCATTGGCCAAGCCACACATGCATGTCTCTAACCTAGCACAGCCAGTATATTGTGAAGTCATACTCAGCACTACCCAGTATCCACCAACCTTAGCTCGATTGCGCTTGACGACAGTGTAGATTGGTTTCATCAAAAGCATCCACGGTACAGCCAGCACTGCCATCACCACCAAGAACGACTGGACTGCAGCCTAGTGGTAGACACAAACAAGACATGGAATACATAACCACCAAGAATGACTGGACTGCAGCCTGGTAGACACAAACAAGACATGGAATCACATACACCCGTCATTGTTCTAACGCCTGTTCAGCTTGACAATGGCAATGCAACCATTGGGTCGAGCACAGTCAACCCTGCGAATAACAGCCTCGGATATGACAGCAACTCGCAAATAACGGAACTATCTTCGAACCTGATAAGTTATAACCAACTGACCGCATACTTTCAACCTTGCGAATAATGACTTCTCACGCCCCATCGACGGTTGTTCTTCACGAGGTCGATTTTAGTTTGTATCAAGGGTGACCCAGTGCTGCTCTACTTACCAAGACATTGCAGCTCACCGATATCTCGCATCAATGATCTCCAGCACGCCGGCTGTACACGAGTACACGCATGCATGCCCCCCCCCCCCCACACACACATACATGCCCCCCCCCCCCCACACACATACATATACATACCCCCCACACACATACAGGTACCGCATGGGTCACTCCACAGCCATGCCAGAAATTGGTGCAAATACCGTGATCCGGCTGCCATGAACTGTCAGCCGCGCATGCTCTGGTCATTACCTGTCCGCTGTAGAAAATATTCTCCGGCTTGACACTGCCAAAGCTCAGGAACATGTTGATCAACATGATCAGCAAGCTAGGTGCCTGGACAGGATACACAAGCAAAACAAACAGAATACCAAAGATCGTGTTACAGATGCATGGGACCTATGAAGAATGTACACAAACTAGGGTGTGGAAGTTCTAAGCTAAGCGGCAGTCTCAAATTCCGGGAATTGTTTTGTGTGGGTGTGCGTGGGAGGGAGGGGGGGGGGGGGGGGATGGTCAGAGCATACCAGTTGTGCACAGCATCAGTAGGTGGTTAATGCACTTCAGCAGTATGATGTTCAATACACTGTGTCAGCATGTGATCGTTTCATGTTCAATGGTTGTTCCTTTGTGTTGGGCAGGGGTGGAGCTAAAGCCTATGCACTCGGCTTGGAGGAAGCGTCTGGAATATCGATACAAACTAAGCTACAACCGGGATCCGCCAATGTGCAGACGAAGTGAATGGCTTGTACATGCCAAGTTACATCCTGTCACCTTCACTCACCCCAGCATTGCTGGCCTGTGTGTATGTATCCACTGCTATCCACTTGAAGAAGATCATGAACACCAAGTAGCCAAAGATTCCTCCAAGGAAGAGAACCTGTATGGCAGGGAGTTGGGGGTTACACACCATGCATTGACAAAAGCACAGCAACCGTGTCAGTTCTCAGCCAGGACTACATTGGACATACAGTGATGGCAATATACCGTATTGCTTTGGAATGCTGCAATACATCATGCAAGAGTAAATGAATGATAAAAAAAAAAAAAAAAAAAAAAAATCACGGTTCGCGTGAGACTCGGCCAAAGGCCCAGTTTTCCGCATCCGCAGGAACGCCACCACCCTCTTGGATCAAGGCGCAGATGCAGCTCCTAAACGGTGGGAGGTGAGTAGATCAGACCCACCACAAAGTGGTCAAAGACCGAAATCCCATTCACTGCATCCATGTTTCCCTCGTGCCAGGCCCAATGAATGATAAAGGCAACACTAAATTATCTGACTCGGATACTGAGCCAATAGTAAATTTAAAATAGAAAAGAACACAAGGGAACGAGTTATGAAGCAGCTGCCCACGGCTGTAACAAGATAATCTGCAGCCAGCAAGTGCGATAACTAATTATTTTCTGCACACACATACTTTGAAGCACACACTAATTCCCGCAACAAGAGGGAAGCAGAGCAAGTGAACTTACTTCTGGAATGAATGATCCGACAATGTTGATGTATCGGCGGAAGAACCTACATGCGGAAAAGAAAGTGAACACTTTCTCAAACACTGGCTTCTACTGAAACGAGGAAAACTAAACAATGTGTCCAGCATGCATGCTCCATGTGATGCAGTAACATGTGCACACCTATACAGGTATAATGTATTATGAAAATCTACGCTTTGGGTCCTCGCTTATGTCAGTGAAGTGGTACTTGGCTATGATCTTCATTATCCAGTATTTGTGATGACCACTGATCATGCTTGGACAGGCAGAATCGCACGCAGCTTTCCAAAGTCATGAAAGTTAAAAACAACTCCCTGCATTTCGTTCCATTGGGCGAGACAGAATATTTATTTCCGGCACTGGCTTGTGCAGCATAATCGCACACACCTGACTATTAGACTCGGGTAATGGGCAGCTCACTAACTTACATGTGATTGAAGAGGCCCAGGACGACGCCGAACATCATCTGAGTCACTCCGAGGACGACGGACATTTTCATCTTGTAGGAGTTGGTGAACTCCAGCTTGTTAGTGGTCACCTGCCAGATCTGTATGTGGCGGATAAGAGTGTTCAACAACATTCTAGCAAACGTAGTGAATGTTTCTAGCAATCACGGTATCTGCAGCAACTCCAATTGCCAGCAAGTTAACCACACAGTAATACTGTTAGTTTATTATATATTACATCTGCCACGAACTAAAACACCACACGAGCAGATTGATGGCTCGTGAAGGCTGCATTGGAGGATAGTGAATGGTGAGTGCTACTTAATGTACAGTAGGTTGCATGGCCGATGTCGCGGCGACCTTGTCGCGCGATTTGTATCATGTTTGTGCCTGTTCTTGTTTCAGTACAAAACGCTAGTTCCATGCCCACGTTCCCGTGCTTTGTATGACTTGTTCTGGCCCACGTATGCATGACTGTACATGTACTTGTCAAGGCACGTGCATGCAGCACAGTTTGGCGCGCTTTTGCGAATGTGTTTGCTTCTCCCACGGTGGTGGGTTTTTATGCTGCTCTTCTTGGACACGAGTGGTTTTCAGTTTTGTTGTTCTCTAGTATTATTCTTCGAAAGAGCGATTACTACAGACTCATTTGTCCTATGATGTGTGCCACCTGTAGAGGTGAGATCGGACTTGTGACCTGTGTTGATAAATCGAGAGATTGGGAATTCTAATCTTTCGACATGGTGCTTTAGTGACCAGAGATTTTCCTCAGTTTATTTAGTAAATTCCGACCAGAGTGATGGAGACTATCGCCCAGCTTGTAAAGTGTAGAGCAAACACGAAGCGACGACTCACACGCCTTCGCCACAATTTAACCCGGGAGCTTGCCAAAGACGCTCCATCACCACACTACCTGCTACGAGATTGGCAGCAGGCTGAACGCCTTGCAGCTGAAATCAATGCCACACAGGCTAGAATCCGCGATCTGACCGAACAGGCGACTTCCTCGGATGTTGAGGACCGCCTGGAGCAACTCGACAAGTGGGAGTTCGAGTTCGATGATGACCTGGAAGTCCTGAGGGACGCACGTACCGTTCTACAGAGGGAGAACCCGTCCGGACTCGCCACAGCAGATGCGGAACTGGAGGCAATCGCCAACTCGAGTCGATCCAGTGCCCCACAGCCTCCCCCACGACGTCCCCAGCCGCTGCCTTGACCAGCGTATCCTTCAGCCCATCAGCAGTGGTGGTCCACTCCAAGGGTCCACCTTCCGCTCCTGTGAGCCCTCCTGTGACTGCTGTTAGTCCTGTCCCTGCTACTGGCGCTCCAGCCACTCCAGTCGTCCCGTCTCCCAATGTCTCCGAAGCCCATCAGCAGTGGTGGTCCACTCCAAGGGTCCACCTTCCGCTCCTGCGAGCCCTCCTGTGACTGCTGTTAGTCCTGTCCCTGCTACTGGCGCTCCAGCCACTCCAGTCGTCCCGTCTCCGAATGTCTCCGAAGCCCATCAGCAGTGGTGGTCCACTCCAAGGGTCCACCTTCCGCTCCTGCGAGCCCTCCCGTGACTGCTGTTAGTCTTGTCCCTGCTACTGGCTCTCCAGCCACTCCAGTCGTCCCGTCTCCGAATGTCTCCGAAGCCCATCAGCAGTGGTGGTCCACTCCAAGGGTCCACCTTCCGCTCCTGCGAGCCCTCCTGTGACTGCTGTTAGTCCTGTCCCTGCTACTGGCGCTCCAGCCACTCCAGTCGTCCCGTCTCCGAATGTCTCCGAAACCCCCAGCGACCAACTCGTGCGGCAGCTGACAAGGCCCGGCAGAATATTGCAAAGTGGACAGCTGTATCGTTGCTGCACGTACACATCCCACACGCCTGATAAGTTTGACCGTGTCAGAGTGTGAGGATTAGGTGGTGCTTGGTCCAATTGGCAGTGACCTCACAAGCACATAAAACTCTCTGTATGCCTGTTTACCTGCTTGCTGTGTGTGTGTGTGTGTGTGTGTGTGTGTGTGTGTGTGTGTGCGTGTGTATCTGCATTGCTTATGCTCTATAAGTTACCTCCCGGTGTACATTCCCGGTCGGCTGGAGTGTCGCGGCGACCTTGTCGCGCGATTTGTATCATGTTTGTGCCTGTTCTTGTTTCAGTACAAAACGCTAGTTCCATGCCCACGTTCCCGTGCTTTGTATGACTTGTTCTGGCCCACGTATGCATGACTGTACATGTACTTGTCAAGGCACGTGCATGCAGCACAGTTTGGCGCGCTTTTGCGAATGTGTTTGCTTCTCCCACGGTGGTGGGTTTTTATGCTGCTCTTCTTGGACACGAGTGGTTTTCAGTTTTGTTGTTCTCTAGTATTATTCTTCGAAAGAGCGATTACTACAGACTCATTTGTCCTATGATGTGTGCCACCTGTAGAGGTGAGATCGGACTTGTGACCTGTGTTGATAAATCGAGAGATTGGGAATTCTAATCTTTCGACAGCCGATGAGTCATGATTGCCCTTTTTCGCCACTTACGGGATCAAGGCCAAACGGATAAGGGTTGTGCGTGTGGAAGTCCGTGAATTCTCCAAGCTGCAGTTCTACCGTTCCCTCCTCGGGTGTGTTGTTCAAAACGCTGCCATTAGTCAAGTACACCAGCACACAGAACGCACACATGCACATGTCCGGCTAGCAAAGGTGCTCGCAGTGCATGACAACCAAACAAGCATTTCTCATTTCCAGCACAACCAATCGACGAGGCCGGAACAGGGTCCTTGTACAGCCAATGCTGGCCTGAACAGTCCAATGTATGGATACAATCAATATTGCAGATCATCTGTATACCTCCGGTATAAGTAGGTCCAGAACTAACCTTCTGCTTCAGTGGAATAAAACCATATTATGATCAGGTATCATGAGCAGCTTCTAATTGGTTGAGTGTGTGTGTGGGGGGGGGGGGGGATCCATCAACCAGAGGCCAGGAAAAGGTTCAAATCCCATTTACTGCATCCATATCACCCTTGCGCTAGGCCAAAAGTTCACAAACGGTTGTAGGGCGCAGCGGGGCTGGAAAAACGATCCACTCGATTCAAAGCAAGACTCGATCCTGGCACCCTCGTTTACCAATCATGGTCTAACACGATCCACTGTGCCTGTCTGGACGTGTATCTGCTGGATAGTACACGACAATTTCCCAATGATAGGCAGAGTATCGCTTACGTATCATTGATACTCCACGACGAGCCGAATATGTTGAAGGATTTGGAGAAGCAATCATTATACACAAGACCAGTGTACATGGAGAAGGCACCCATCAACAGAATGATATAGCGACCACCGAAGAATGTGCCGAAGATCTGTATCGGTCAGGGAACAGGGAAAGGATAAAGAACAACCAGTTCAGCTACATGTACATGTAGGTATCAGGCAACTGCGGCAAAGCAGGTGGTGGAAGCAACGTATGCACTGTCATACACCTTGATTCTAAAGCATGGAACCCATTGCTGATTTACATCCAAGGGCTACTACATAACCATACGGCCTAGCCTACACACTCCCAACAGGAATGTACCCACCTCTCCACTCTTCCCGGACCCGAGCTGCTTTTCCTTGAGCACGAGAGTGAGCGCAAAAAGGAACATCAGAAAGCCGTGTCCACAGTCGCCAAACATGACGGCAAAGATGAAGGGGAACGTGATGATAGAGAATGGAGCTATAGCACATAGAGCAGGAAGAAACCATAACACACAAGATCAACTCACTGCCAGCGGCCTGTTGAAGGTGCTCCAACAACTTTGAAGGCAAGAATGGAGTTTGCAAGCTAACACAACCCAGAGTCTTGTCTAGCTGAATACCTAAACAATCCGGTATGGAGTAGGTTCACCAGCTACACTTTATCTATCCGATAGTTTCAGCAACTACACTTCATCTATTTGGTAGTTTCAGAAGCTACACATAATTTATTCAGCAGTTCTTTTTTAATTTTTTTTATACGAAAGTCCACTATATTCCCGAATATGTGCGAGAAGTGGTGGCGGAGCCAGGCTGCTCTGCCGACCTCAAAGGTCTCGGCGTCTACGCAGACAAAGCGCGCCATAATGCAGTAAAACCTTGTAGCAGAGACTCGTACCAGGATTGACTTCCCGATAACTAGCAACACCGTACGCGTCGATGATGTTCTGAAAGCCGGAAGTGAACTTATTGACCTTGTGGTAAGTTGGCGGGTTCATACCACTGGACATCACGTTCAGGATGGGCATCACGGACGAGCCACTCCGCTCCTGTATCAACAGCGCCAACAGGAAGTAGGGCACAAGAAATTACATAACCAGTTCCCCCTAAATACACTCTACCTGGTAATATTCATGGTATCATAGGTTCAGACAGACAGTAGTTGATTAAAGGGGAAGTCCGGTGAAAAATTTAAATTTCAGGGTCGGTAGAGTTTCGGGCGCTGAGTCGAATGGTGTTGGTCCCACGTGTCTCCGACAAAGCGTTCTCGAGATATTTCCGTTTGAAAAACTGAGTTTCGGGGGCTGCGCCATGACGTCATGCGGCCGCGCCACACCCTCCGCAACGTCATAGCGTGCAGCTAGGTCAAAAGGAGTGCGTGAAAGCAATAGTGTCAGTGCTATTTCAAATGATTTGGCGACTGATATTGGGTGGTGCAAGCGACCCCAAGACCTAACTCCTTGTGAGAGTGAGGATGCAGCCATGGCTGACCTTCATGGGTTTGGTCGGGGGGTATTGTAGGGCTGAGAACCTCGGTATCCAGCTGAAGAAATGGCCGCGCGGGACGGTCAAGAGTGAGCGCTACTGAGTTTCCGACTGATGAAGAAGCAGTAGCTATTGCAGACGAGGCTGATATAATTATCAGATCGCTGAAGAGCAGGGTCGCCAAAATGGAGAAGAGTGATGCGAGTGCTCTAAATGTTGTTCCATACCGATTCGCTTAGACTCCAGTAGCCTGCCACATGGTGATGTTTTGGTGCGAACTTGGCATATTTCGGACTACTCAATTGGAGAACAGTGCAGGCTCTTTGAACCATGGCCCGGGCACGACTCTTCGCTCGCAACGCTATGGAATCTGAAAGTTCTAGGTCCGGGAGCTGTTCGCTGTTTTGTCACTTGTCACGGTTGTGCACTCATCGCTGTAGCATAAAATAATGAGGCCCGACTGGAGCGGAAAACTAAAATTTTCTTTCTCAAAGCACAACCACCGGCACCGGCAAGGAGAAACGCACGTTCTCTGACTGCATGACCATGATGACTGTACGAGTGTAGTACTAGTACATGACACGTCCGTGTGTTGACTAGTTTTCTGAGTCTTGTTGTAGCGAGCTAGCCCTGCCCAGCACGGCAGTGCGGGACTAGTTCCGTGTGTGATGAGTCTAGTTTGTAATGTTGACTGCACTACACGTCTACAGCTAGCTAGCATGCACGCAGCGCATTGCTAGCCTAGAGCCGTAGAGCTAGAGGCATGCTGACGGAAAAAGTCCAACTCGGAAACGGCTAAAATACGGTATAACCTCGAGGTTTACCGAGCTGAAAATCATAGGGTACGTAGCGTTTGTAACACTGAATTGAATGGTCTTGGTCCGAAGAAGCTGCGACAAACGGTTCCCCAATCGAACGCGCTCCGAATATGGCCGTTTTGTACACAACTAGATGGTGTGGCTACCTGGCTGCACGCTGTGACGTCATCACCTGGATCTGGGTGAGGCGCGCTCAAATTCGCACATGTTCGATTGGGCGTATCTGACGAACCATAGGCCGCAGCCTCCTCGGACAATAACCATTCGACTCAACGCCCCGAACTCTACGGACTGTGAAATTTAAATTTTTCACCGGACTTCCCCTTTAAGCACATGACTGATCAAGACACCTATACGGCCCGGTGCACAGAGACAGTGCGGGTCGATTTCACCAAAAGTGCCACCAAGCATGTTTACCCGTACATTCACTCACATGTCCGTAAGTTACGAATGTGCACGGAGATAGTGTGGGCATGTATCAACCTCTAAACCTGTACTCACATGTCCACGGCGAAGCGCGTACTGGATGTCATCGAGGTTGGTGACGGGGCACCAGCATTCTCCGATCAGACACTTCTGCGTCACATCCACGTTCATCAGGTTCAGAGTGTGGTAGATAGCTTTGATCTTTTTCACCTGCAGCACATCATTGGTAGCCACATTCAGACACATTCAGAGAATTCTACATGCCAATTTTCAAGGATGGCCACCAAAACAAAAACAGGCCAACCAGTCTGATGCTATTTTAACTGCTACATTCTGAAATATGCAATTTCGATACGAAACAAGCATTGGCAGAAGCGATTGGGTGGCAACAGCCGTAGCAGCTCTATACCTTGACAATCCAGCCGTTGATATTCTTCGCAATGGCCTGCAGAACACGATAGCGATGGTCCAGGGTCTGGCTCAGGACGGTGCTGAGATCCTCAATACGGGTGGCAACGCCCATTGCCATCTCACGGCGCTCAGCAGGAGTGTCCGGGCATGGATACTGAGTAGCACGGAAACTGTTGGGAAATAGGAAGGTAGAAGTGTGCTATGTTACTTTACGTGAAATAACAAGCAAGTAACTTAGTTTTACCACATCCTAGTCTCTAGTGAAGGGCATGCTCAGCGATAGGACTCCGATTTCCTTGGCCAGTTGGAAGGTCTTCTTGCCATGTTAGGAATATGGCCAGCTTGGTTAAGCGCAATTCATGACCCGCATACTGTAAAACACGATATTTTCGGTGTAACTTTAATTTCGGTGATTTCGGTAGAGAAACCAGGCACCTAAATTTAAATTAAACCTAAAAGGCACTAGAGTATGCACTGTATGTGCAGAGAATGCTGGTCACCTAATTCTAAATTACACCTGAAACCTGGCAGGTCCCTGACACCGAAATTTTAATACACCTAAAATTACATGTTTTACAGTATTAAGAAGAACGCAGATCAGAAAGTGGACGGATTGTGTGATCAAACACGAAAAAATGCTTAACATTCATTCCGGTTCCTTTCAGCCTTCATTCTGCCTTACATGGCTGTGTTCCCATTAACACTCTCTTGCAATAGAAAAGGACGGGGATAACAGCAGAACTGTCTGCTGGTCTTCCATAGCAAACAGCACATGTATGTACACCAATCTATACACCAAGACATGAAATCTTTGCGCTTACCCCTCACAGATCTTCTTCACACGAGACCGCAGCTGGTCACCTTGGAAGAAGAGTATGAAGACACTCTTGTTCATGGGATCACCCTAGTAACAGAAACAGCAACGATGATATTATGATGGCGATAACAACAACAACAACAACAACAACAACAACAACAACAACAACAACAACAACCACAACACGCTTATATCCCACATATTGTGTATAGGTATCAGCACCTCCATTACAAACTAAAATTATGATCATGTGTGTCAAAATCATCTTCCACGTGGGTCTAGTACATACTAGTGTCGACTAATGTATTTTTCTCGCTGTACAGCAGTGTCACATTTGGTTCATGTTCTGAGTCTGAGGAGTACTAAGCAGGCCACAGGGTACTTACTACTAGTACTTCTCAAAAAGATTGTGAGAAGCCAGTATGAAGGACATCGTGAGTTCAGATAGACACCTGAGAAAAGTCTACTTCATGATCATTGCTCACCGTCACGGGGTCTTTCAGCTCGCCATCGATCTCCTGATGGCGTAGGAAGACATTTCCACGGCAAGCACGCCACAGCAGACGCTCAAACGTGGGAACACGATCACGGTTGATCACACCAGCAACAAATCTGCAAGTCACCAAACAAATAATAGCCGGAGTCACACGGGATCAAATTGCTCCAGAATCATTTTCAATCCTAAACTGGACCTCTCCCTGGTGAATGCCCGACTTCTTACCCCCAATTCCGCGCACTGTTGCTGTGGTTCTGCACTTGAATCTTTCTCTGTATCAGCGCTACATTGGACTAAAGCATACTACATAAACCGTTTGTTAGTGCACTGTGCTCGATTTCCGCTTCACCTGTAGTTTACGTGACTCCAAGCTGGATCTACTATATATAGGGTGTGAGTCTCTACCAGCTGCTACCCCTGCACTGTCATGTTGTATGGGTGCTCGGCAGCACAAATCAAAGATGTGCCGTGGAGCAAACTCTTCTACGTTAACACAGAAGGATTCGGCACATTAACTCACGACAGAGGGCTGCTGTGGGCGCGGACATCCTCCAGCAAAGCTGTGCACAGACCGGTCACAAAAGCACTGATCAATGTTCATAGCAAGATAGAGCTGAGGCGCCACACAATAGCAGCATGATTCGGTACTGAAAACAACCAATAAGAAGAATATACACATTGTTGTTTCCGCAAGTTCTTGTCTTCTTCAGAATGAGACGTTTAGCCATAGCTAGTGACGATGGCAGCATTCTTGTCTGTCACACTGCTCGCATTGGAGGGAACCAATGGTATACATCAAGATAACACCTAATGTTGACTATGACAGGGAGCCCAATCCCCCCCCCCCCCCCCTTGTTGACGCATACCTGATCCCCTTTACACTCATGCAAAGTCCAATCCTCACCTGCTTCATCCTCTGTTCCTATAAAGTCGCCACTCTGACCCATAGCCACCTCTGCCTGTGGACAATATAATAAGAAACGCAGAAGAGGCACAAGACAGTATGCCAGAAATAAGCTTGTGCAAATCAAGCGTGATGAAGCTTCTGAACGTGTTGACACCGTCTTCATTCGGTGACTTTGGTCCATACATTCACAGTAGTAATATGTTTGGTTTGCTGGTGTCTGCAAGCGTCGTACGGTCTTGTCTGATCCAAAGAAAACCTATTTAACCTCTTTAGCACGAGCGTCGTACTAGTGCGACACACTTGAGTTGCGTGTCCCACGCCCGTCGTACTAGTACGACACACTTGAGTTGCGTGTCCCACGCCCGTCGTACTAGTGCGACACACTTGGGTTGCGTGTCCCACGCCCGTCGTGCCAGTACGACACTGTACAGTGAGCCTGCATGTCAAACTCCGGGGTCCATACAAGGTGCTAGTGTAACGGAGATTCAAGCGCTCAAACGTTTTACTTGATTTCTCAGGATCTAGGACGACAGGAATACTGCTGTACAACAACAGTCAGTCAACGGTGACATTGATCCTTGCCATGATATACATGTACAATGTACATGTATAGATGCTCTTGTCCATCAATAACACAACGATTGATGAACCAAAAAAGAATCCAAAAAAGGTTCATTCCGGCCGACCAAGTCTCCTTTTTGAGGGGTTGCCCACCCGAAACAAGCCTATTTTTGTTTTGGCCTTGCTACTTACTAATCTGAGAGAATTGTTTCACAAAAAATGGATACCTGGCCTACCAGGTTAGCCATGATCAGGCAAGCTGCAAATTAAGTACACAACAGGAAGCAACGAGCATATGCAGCTACCCTACTTCCGATGACTGTGTGGTTGGTATGCGCCAAGTTTTAACCCACATGATGGAATACCCGTCAGACGACACGGGATCGGTCATCTTCTCTCTCTACTGTGAACCAAATTCTGAAGCTAATTGTAACCCTTATACGGACCTACTTCTTGAAAGAAATGGGCGGTCTGTCTGAGGATGTGCTTCAGCTCTGTGAGCTCCAAAAAGTTGCGGTTGAGACGTTCTTGGTTGGCGTTGATCTCACGAATTTCCACCTCCAGCTTGTCAAACTGATTCTGTAGTGGCAACGTGGGAAGGAGAAAATGAAGACAGTGAATGATTGAAACTTAGGGCATGATCCGGCTGTATAGCAGCCACTCAAAAGCGGCTCAGCATAACACATGTGATAGCACACTGAATTTGGGTAGATTATTTGTGGGTGGTAACAAGTTAAGGCAACACCACTGCTATAATCGGGAGAACCCTAAACGAAATACGAGCCAGGCTGCACAATGGGATCAAACGTCTGTGCCAAGGCATTGGGTACTAGTAGCCTTTCCCCCCTCCTATAAGACTGGGAAGCTACTATAACTGGCAGTGGTACATGAAGCAATACACACATGTAAAGACAAGACACACACACACACACACACACACACACACACACACACACACACACGCACGCACGCACGCACACACGCACGCACGCACACACACACACACACACACACACACACACACACACACACCTACACAACCAGGATACCCTGACCTACCTCAAGCTCCATCATGTCCGAAGGCGGCGGTGCATCGGGCAACTCGCCACTGTCCACCACTGGGATTTCAGCCTTGTTTATCTCCTTCTCCAGGAAGCCTGCATCAATAAATAGACAATCAAAAACCTTGAATCCACATGCTCACTTGGATATATTCCCAAATTGATATCACATATTTTTACCGGTTATCACGTATCACCAGACTAGTGTGTGTATTAGTATTGTGTGTGTGTGTGTGTGTGTGTGTGTGTGTGTGTGTGTGTGTGTGTGTGTGTGTGTGTGTGTGTGTGTGTGTGTGCATGTGTGTGCGCGGGAGGAGGGGGGGGGGGGGGGGTGCGCGCCAGGTAAAAGGTAGGGATTCACTGGCTAGAAAAAAGGCAGGTGTAGCCGACCAGGCTGAATAGCGGCAGGCAACTCTTCAGCCTTGCAAACTGTTGAATGGTGCAATCACAGCACAAGTTGCTATGACTTCGTGGCATTATTACAATCGCCTTTGGCAATGGGAGTCTATGATCTTCGACTCACAAGTTTGAATCCGCCTGTTGCCATTGCAAATCCCACCTTGTGATCCCAGTGATGTACATGACTTGTACTAGTGCCAGCCGTACTGGTACAAACATTCCATGGTGTCTAGGACACGGACATTTCCTCTCTCATACACAGAAATAAACTTCGACGTGGCCTTCTAGAATTTGACCTGGCCACACTGAAAAAACAAAACAGCGATGTTGATTCTCCCACCAGAAAGTATGCAAACTATTGCTACTTGTTTTGTACTGAATCAGGGTCTGGGTGTGAGGGACTGAAGTCTCTGATTACGGACAGCCTCAGAGGATTCGGGAGCACAGTCATGATAGTACTCGTGCGCCGGACAGCTTTATAAAGCGTATGAGTGAGGCGCACACCGGCTCTGGTCGATCAGGCTGGAAGCCTGGGACATAGTTATTGTCCACAGACTTTATTACAATGTATTACCGGTATGGTACGTCATGCGCTGTGGCAGTGCGAGTCTGACTTACGGAGTCTGCGCTCCATCTCGTCACAGCGACGAACTTCATTGACATACTTGCGCTGGAAAGCGTTCACGTCGGGATTCAGCTGTAAAAATAATGATGGGCACACACACACACACACAGACAAAGACGGTTTTCAACTAACGTCGATTCGTGCTGCCACAAGACAGGACGTGAAAAAGAATGCACACGGAAATTTTCCGTAACACCTGCGGAAACACCAACTACTAGACGGTACTTACGTCTCTGAATTGGACGAGACCCTGCGCGAACAGTCACAGGCAAAAGAAGAAGAGACAAAAGTCCGAAACCGTATTAGTCACTACCGCCGAGGACACCACTAGGTAGAGAGATCTAGGAGAGCATCGATCACTAACCAATTCGCCCAGTTCGCTGATGCAATAGTAGGCGGAATCTGCCTGCAAGTACAGCTGGGCCAGCGTCATCTCCTCGGAGCGAAATAACGACCCCATCTTGGCTCTCCTTTCTCCTTGCCAGCAGCGATCAAAGAGGAGAAGCCTGAGCGGCAAGTACACTGACAGTCGTCCGCTTGATTCGGACGAAGGCAAACAAGTCGAGATTAGAGACTCCCCTCCAGAAAAAATCGTTGCACTGCTGTGGTGTGTCTGATCCTTCCCGACTTGCAGCTTGGGCAATCCCTGGCCTACGCCCGGGCCATGTCCAGGGCTAGGGGGATCCAGTGCACTACACAGCTACAATGACAATGTAGTCTACACTACAGACTGTGTCAGAATAGAAGAACAAAAGTCACCGACAGAAAATGCACGCGAAGCTAGCAAAAAAGTGCCTGGTACATGGTACGCGCGCACGGTAGTCGCTAGTACTACTGACAGCTAGCGCGCGCCTGTTTCTCATGGTCATGCATACATCCCTCCCTCCTCATGCATAAACTTGGCCAGCTAGTGACATCATAGTGGTAGTAATGATGCATGCCATTCATGATGACTGTTGCGTTTGCGTTTTCACGTGTCGATAATTCGCGCAAGCGCAAGAGCAAAGGAAATGGATTCCCGACTACTACTGTACGATGTCATGTACTACAGTCATTGTGCAGTGCCGGCAACTGAAATCCGACCCCCTTGCCGGCGCGGCGCGCCGGCAAAGGGGTCGGATTTCAGTTGCCAGCACTGTATAAAGACTGATAGTGATACTAAGTACTTGATAGCTATGGGGTAGTAAAACTAGTACTATAGTAGTAGTATGGCTCAGCCGCTGAGCTCATGACTGGTAGCTGGCGGATCCAGCCACGCGCCACGTGCACGGACTGTAATCAAGCCTTATGCAAGTAGTTATCATGGTTATGGCAAGTAACTAGTTATGTAATGCGCCTTCGCGCAAGGAGTCGTATACACTGAAACAGTACAATCATTAGTACCATCATGCATCAAGTGACAAGTATCATCAAGACTAGATAAACAAGTCTCCTTAGGCTTAGTCTTGGTACCATGGTGAACGACTCTTTTGGCCTTGGTTGTTTACTCCTTACTATCTCTGTCTTACTCTTACTGTCTTAGTTATCAGGTTATAGTGCCCCTAGGCCCTGTAGTTAGTGTAGTCATGGTAGATTTTTTTATTTTTTTATTTTTTTTTATCACATTGCACATACCTACGGAAGAAGGGGGAGACAAAACGAAGACGAAACAAAAAAGACAACAATGGGTGTGTAGGCGCTACATGAGCTGCGCTGGTGAGATGCAGTGGACTCCCCCGACCAAGGGTCTCGGGATCGGCGTATCGGCTCACCATGGGAGAGGGGGGGGGCGAGAGGAATGGCGGAGAGAGAGAGAGAGAGAGAGAGAAATAGAGAGAGAGAGAGAGAGAGAAAAAGAGAGAGAGAAAGAGAGAGAGAGACACACACACAGACAGAGGCGACAGAGAGAGAGAGAGAGAGAGAGAGAGAGAGAGAGAGAGAGAGAGAGAGAGAGAGAGAGAGAGAGAGAGAGAGAGAGAGAGAGAGAGAGAGAGAGAGAGAGAGAGAGAGAGAGAGAGAGAGAGAGAGAGAGAGAGAGAGAGAGAGAGAGAGAGAGAGAGAGAGAGAGAGAGAGAGAGAGAGAGAGAGAGAGAGAGAGAGAGAGAGAGAGAGAGAGAGAGAGAGAGAGAGAGAGAGAGAGAGAGAGAGAGAGAGAGAGAGAGAGAGAGAGAGAGAGAGAGAGAGAGAGAGAGAGAGAGAGAGAGAGAGAGAGAGAGAGAGAGAGAGAGAGAGAAGAGAGAGACAGAGAAAGAGAGAGAGAGAGAGAGAGAGAGAGAGAGAGAGAGAGAGAGAGAGAGAGAGAGAGAGAGAGAGAGAGGAGAGAGAGAGAGAGAGAGAGAGAGAGAGAGAGAGAGAGGAGAGAGAGAGAGAGAGAGAGAGAGAGAGAGAGAGAGAGAGAGAGAGAGAGAGAGAGAGACAGAGAGACAGAGAGACAGAGAGAGAGAGACAGAGAGAGACAGAGAGAGACAGAGAAAGAGAGACAGAGAAAGAGAGACAGAGAAAGAGAGACAGAGAAAGAGAGACAGAGAAAGAGAGAGAGAGAGAGAGAGAGAGAGAGAGAGAGAGAGAGAGAGAGAGAGAGAGAGAGAGAGAGAGAGAGGGAGAGAGAGAGTGCACAAGAAAGAAGAGAGAGAGAGAGAGAAAGAGAGATGGGTAAGTGAGGGAAAGAGAGTGAAAGAGGTGGAGAGATATAAGTATAGAGAGAGAAAGAGTTCAGCGGCATATCGTCGCTATGACTATAATGCTACTTTGAGAAGAGGGTCAACATAATGATTTGCGTCCACTGATGGCAGGCCAGTGTGATAGATGTGCATGGCTAGCACCAGTCATGAGCAGAGCACCAGTCACTCTGTTGCAGGTGACGGTATGCAGCAATCTTGAATCTCTGCAGGTGTTTCCGGGCTGGCTGCTTGATGGTCTACAGTTCTGCTCAATGAAATCCAGCCGCGTGACTCAAGTTTGCGCCTTGCACCATTTCGTAGCCCAGTCACGGTTCGCAGGTCTAGGCCGAGGCTAGGGCTGTGCAGCGCCCGGTGCATACTCTTGAGTGATGCAACTGGATTTCATTGAGCAGCACTGTACAATGGTCATGTTGATCCACTACATGTACATGTACAAAAAACAAAACAAAAAAAAAACAAAAAAAAAACATGACTTAAAATCTTGTACTAAGTTGTAGGACGCATCACGCAGCTTCATAAGTAAAAAATTGGTTGTGAGCAACACTGGCTCACACTCAAATCACTGCTTTTCACCAGAAAAATATTATATTTCAACGTTTCGGTCATGAAATAACCATCATCAGGAATTTCCTGATGATGGTTATTTCATGACCGAAACGTTGAAATATAATATTTTTCTGGTGAAAAGCAGTGATTTGAGTGTGAGCCAGTGTTGCTCACAACCAATTTTTTTAAAAACATGACTGTACGTACTAGTATGTTGTTAGTTGACAGCATGTAACAAGGTGGAGGATCACCGTGTTCGGAAACATTGACCTTTCTACAATCACCCACGGTTGATAGAGCGGCCCTGGTCTTGCCACCGTCATCTGAACCGTTTGGGTGTTAGCCCCGGTTCTGACCCTCTGTATTCTAGCCCATACGGTTCAGATGGTCGCAAGACTGGGGCCCTACCAACTGTGACGTGCACGCGTAGATGGTTGTAGAAAGGTCACTGTTTCCGGACATGCTTTATAACATGCTGTCAACACACACACACACACACACACACACACACACACACACACACACACACACACACACACGTACACACACACACACACACGTACACACACACACACACAATTAATAGCATGTACATGTACGACACGTATAGTCGTGGCCAAAAAGATCCGACCCGTGAGACGAAACTAGCACCGAGGCTCATGCGGCCCGGCCCCTGCAGCCCTCCAATAGGTTTTTGGAGTGTGCCTGATCATGTTAAAGTGGAAGTGCAGCGCTGCTTTTGACTCGTGGGTTGGGTTTCTTTGGCCTTGACTGTAGTTGCCAATAGCAGGCGGAAAACTTGAATTGATACGGATATTGGGGAACGGTGTAGCCATATCAAATCGATGCAGATGAAGCAGAGGATGCTGCACACACTCTGTACATAATTATAGTCATGTACAACATACAATACACATGTGTATTGGCCTAGGCTATAGGCTAGGGTCTAACGTTCTCAGCGCGGGCCTTATCACCATCATTCACCTAACCCATGGTGGATAATGCTCCAGCAGTAAATACTGTATTGGCGCCGGGTTTCTGCCCGAAAAGCAGTGAAATTGGCAGAATCATACACACCTTATGGCAGGGCTGACTTCCTTGAATTCTCCTCCATTTCTGAATCCACCAGGGTCCCTCATTTCAAACACTCAATGCGGTCTCTTCGCAGCATACCCCACCACTAAATGAGTAAATGCTTTCATCAATCAGTCACTTTCGGGCATGGCTGAGCGCTCATCATCAGGGTGAACTGAACAGTAAACTCAGTGTACTCAGTGTACTCAGTGTTCTCAGTGTACTCAGTGTACTCAGTGTTCAGTTCACCCTGACCAGTAAACCAGTGGTAAACTCAGTGTTTACTGTTCAGTTCACCCTGACCAGCTCCTGATGGGCCATGCCCGAAAACTGATTGGTCTTGAGTGATCGAGTTGAGGGACCCTGATGTGTAAATGGCTGCAATGGAGTCTGCGAGTACTTAGAAAACACGTCTTTGTCCACATACCAAACATGCAATGAAACATACCAGAAACAGTACCAAATTCTGCAAATTTTTCTATCGGCATTATCCGCGAAGGGCTACCATCACCATCACCATCGCTGCATATCAACCCTTAGAGGGGTACGGTCATGGTGATATTATCAGGGCTTCGAATAACTATACTAATACATGTACTATGGTGAAAAAAGCAAAAAAGTAAATTATCGTGTCCGTTCCCGAAGGGAACTCACCCGTTCCGGCTGTTCCCGAAGGGAACAGCCGGTAAACCCTAGCGGCAGATGCAGCGCCTAACGGTGGGGGTGAGTGGATAAGTCTCACAACCACAGGCACAAGGCAGCTGAGAAACCACATTAGCTGCATCCATGTACCACTTGTGCCTGGCCACAAGTTCCCAGTTGACTGTGGGTAGCAGCACGGCTGGAAAAACCGCTTGGTGAAAAAGGAGAAGGACAAAATGTGCTCACTTTGACTTTAAATCCTAGAAGTTCGAACTTAGATGCCAAGTGAATACTTTTCACATCCCATTCTATTCTTTTTGTACTTTTCACTGTAAACTTACATTGTATTTGTCCCAGTCTTGTCAATTCTGTGCGTAGCGCCAACACGCATGATTCTGTGACGTTCTGTCACTTGACCACCATCCTATCACGAGTTTCGCATACGCCATGCAGAACATCACTGTGACTTGTCAACGTCATGAGGGAAACGGCCATGCTGATTACTATGCTCATGCGAGTCATGGTACCAGGCAGTACCGCTGGTCATGGTCAGGACAAGAAGAGGCTATGACTATGACTCGTATGAGTATGAGTATGACGAGTAGACATACGAGCCTGCATGAGAGAGGCACCGACTGTCGACTCAGTAGAGACAGCACCGAGTATCATGAGCACACGAGTGAAAACTCAGTTCGGAAAGTCCGTACTTTTAGCCTTACCGGTAGTCTTTGCAAACTCCCAATCCATCAAGGAAACGTTGGTAGTTTGCGACGTTTCGTCGGTTACCTTGCAGCTTGGGTCCTGAAGTACTGAGTGCCTGCCTTCTAATACCACTAGCTAGTTCTAGCCGCACCAAGCAATCAGCTACGCTGGGAGTGCGGCTTCAGGCAGACAACCACGAAGAATCAGTGACACTTGAATTCGATATTTGGCTGTTTGTATAGTTAACGGCGAACGACGTTGTAAAGATGGGGTCGCTTTTCCGCTCGGCGGAGATGACCTTAGCCCAGCTCTATCTTCAATCGGATTCCGCATACCAATGTCTGGATCAGCTGGGAGAGTTGGTAAGCTGGGAATGTGAGGATTGTCTGGGCTATCCGAATACTCGTACACGTCGTTACAGGCCAAGTGCCGGAATATGTGGCACAAAGATTTTAGGGAAACGTAAACATCACTGTCGTCAGGAAAATGAGTTCTGTACATCAGATGTAAAACAGCGACTATTGATGTGGGAACTAACTTGATTCGATAGAAAATTCGAATAATTTTAACCGAAGTCGGAGCTTATCGCAGAAACTCTAAACTACCACATTCGTGATCATGGTGATAGAGCAGGAAATGGGCCTTTACCGGGCCAGATAACGCTGCTATTAACGGTATCACATGCATAGCCCACCTAATTAATTGTAACTTTGCAAACTTCAAGGGTATTATATAGGCTACAGCTTCTTGTGTAAATGCCACATTTCAAGTTAGTTGCACCGGTCCATGATGAGTGGAGCGTAAACTGTGTTTTTTGGGGGGGGGGGGGGGGGACATGGATTCACTCATTGGTTTTGAATAGAAGTTTGGCCCTCATGTACTGACTTGCAGGTAGACCTGTGTTAGCTTGTGCCCTCGAGAGGCCGGTCAAAATACTCGTACATCTGGTCAGCAGCGTCTCGGATTATGTGCAGACGGTGCATCTGAATAGCATTGTTGTGGACTAAACGGACAGAGCATGACCTCGAGCGGACAGAGCATGACCTCGAGCGGACAGAGCATGACCTCGTCGAGCGAAGAGTGCTTTAAAATGTACACCGTCGGAAGCTGCTTGCACTATCGCCACCGAGGAGATTGAACAAAACAGTCAAATCTCAGTGTTTCTTATTCTCACGCCAACAATCGTCAGTCAGCTGATGGCCCGTATGCACGGGACTCGGAACCGGGCGTATCATGGACTTCATTGTACATCACATGTGGAATCAGTGAGCTCGTGTTTAATGAACTGCGGCAGCTTAACGATGAGCTTGTATCCTTTGTTTTCTATGTTGGCTATCTACCCCAGGGACTGGTGCAGTTCAGAGATGTAAGTACCGTTTGTATGATGATTGAGTCAGTTAGAGAAAGTCAACAAACTCGGGCTCCACCTTCAACTAAAGAAACAACAACAACAACAACCTTAGAACCATGAATGTTTGGAGGTGTCAATTAGTTTCAAACACGTTCGAAGCAAAATCTGAGTCTATGTGTATACCGACTTTAATGGTACTTGTAAAACGTTCCACGCCCTGACATTTGTTCATCCATTTGAAAAAGGATTCTGAAGTTCCGAACAAAGCAGCAGTAAACTTAATGGGACAAACTGTTTTTGCTGTTCTGTTTCACATCCTTGTCTCTCCTGTTTTTCATGCTTACTCAACGTAGCATATCACTGTCTCGTACAAGTATAATTAGGTAGTCTTCTTGGAAACAATTAACCTTCAAAGCTATTAGGTCACATGCAGCACTGTACCAACACAGCTTTGAGGTTCCATACTTGGATAAGCTGCATGAATTGCTAGCTAACAGCTTGTGCCAGGTGATCTAAATATCCGCCTCCTTGTACTGCATGAACTTGCTAAATGGCATTGAATTACATCTGAATGCTTTGGCATGCTAGCAGGCCTAAACATATAGCCTGTTATGGGCCGCTCATTTGCAGCATACTTGCAAATAATAGTCTCACCCAATGGTAACCATGGTGACTTAAGACAGTACATTGCTGTGGCTGTCGCTTGCCCCCGGCTTTGTTGCACACTGGAAACAATGGCACTGATGGACATCCCGGGACCTACCCCCCCCCCCCTAGCTTGCGTTTGCTAATGAATGGAATATGGCCACACGTAGTGTTGCAGATCGCTGACCAAAGCTTCTGACATGAATTTACTCCTCCTGCATTTTCATGGCAGGTGGATACCTAGCCTGGCAGTCTACATGTATGTTTTATCCCGAATGCACAACCGAAGCTTTGTTGTTTCTATGCTGCAGCTCAATCCGGATGTGAACTCTTTCCAGCGCCGCTATACTGATGAAATACGGCGTTGCGATGAAATGGAGAGACGATTACGTAAGCATGCTCGGTGCATAGTCCCGGAAATAATGCACAGATACCTCCCTGAGCCAAGCTAATTTGATAGCATGTCACCATTGTGTACATGCATGCATACATTTCCTATGAGTGTAACTGTGTGCACATGCCTTTACACAGTTGCTGTGAAGAATGCTTCAATGCCAGTCTATTTGTTCATTAGTTTACCAGGGAATTCCCAGGTGGCACACATGTATTTTCCAGTACGGTACACGTAGTTGATGATCAGTCCTCTATCATTTCGGTGCCACTGCTTCAGGATTTCTGACCAAGGAAATCGAAAGAGCTGGCATCACAATATTGGAGAATGCCGAAGAAGCCAATGCGCCGCTCCCATCGGACATGCTGGAGATGGAGGTATGGTGTCCAGTCTGAATTTGTTGTGTCCGTGATCAAGACCATTCGAAGTTTGAATGGCGTTAGAGAATACTCTAGTGCTCAAGTACATGTAACATCTTCTAAGTAACATGACCCACGTTTCTATCCCTCTGGCCGCAGTGTGTTGTCACTACTGTGACACGGGAAGCTGCCAGCTTGCCGTGTAGCCAAGTGTGCATAATATGTACATGCACTACCTACATGTACAAACTTAGCTGATGAGTTGGCAACTCCTCTGCACCGGTAATGATTATGTGTATCATGGCTTACCCGGCTTGAGACAGCGCCAAATCAGCCTGCTGAGAGAAACTATGATTGTCTTGGAATAAGACATACAGCTACTTCAGCAAGGGCATCTCTCTGCCAACAGTCTACTGGATCAAACTAGCAGCAGCATCGACATCACTATCAGGAAAGCAGAATATACCTGTAGGATATCCATCACTACATTGTAGATCAAACAGGAATAGGGTACATGGACCTTGACTTCTTTTTAAATCTAGGAGGCGTGGGCGTGCAAAGGGCGTACAAAGACATACAGTGTACATTTGCACATCCAGTCCTATCATTCTATGGTGTTATTCTATGGTGTTATTCTATGCATTGTGCAGGAACGATATGAAAAACTGGAAGCTGAGATTCGAGAGATCAACACCAACCAAGAGCGACTGAATCGCAACTGTCTTGAACTGACCGAGCTAAAGCACATTATCCGCCAAACAGTGAACTTCTTTGCCGAGGTAAGAACTCCAAAAATAACACCTCTTCTTCTGACTCTTACTGTGTTCAGTATCAGTATGGTAGTGCTTTCGAAACGGTGTCACGGTTTAGGTATGTTTGCAAGGCTGTGTAGTGATTAGCACCTCCGCTTGGATTAGCCTTTTCTCACTACTCTCATTCAAAGGTGTATAGTG